GAATTATATTAAATTTAAAGAAAAACTTGTTACGTTGACATTCCTAAACCTGCCATGTAATTTTTAAGTGATAATAATTTAATGATATAAATTAAACCTCTTAAAATTTTTGTTTTTTTTGATCAAGAAAGTTCAGAATATTTTTAATTTGATAATTCTTAATCAATATCAGATGCTAAATTAGTTACTATTACGCATGACAATCTTAAAATGGCAATTTAAAATGAAAGTGAAATAATTATTTGGTCTTTTACAAAAAAACAAGTTGAACATAGGTTTGAAAATGATATTGGATGTACATAGAATTTAGTATTTTCAGGAGATAATAAAATACTATTTACTAATTACAATGTTACTATTAGATGTTTAGACGTAACCGATTAATACAAAATTATTAAAGAGTTCAAACTAAAAAAACCTGATGAAATGGATGAATAATAATTTGATTAAGCTTAATGTTTTCCTGTTGAAAATGATAATTTTCTCATTATATATTCTTTTATTGAGCCTCTTAAAAAGATTGTAATATTAGCAACATATGTATCTGATTTTGAGTAATTTTAAATGTTGTTGGAAACAAAAACTAGTAGAGATTTTTTTAATTGTGCATATTGTGATAAAAGACAGATCTTAGCTATTCAAAATAATTTTTATTTCTCTTTATTTGATATGAAATCTAAAAAATAAATTGCAATATTAGAACCAAATTAATTTACAAATTTTAATCCTCATTTATTACGTTTTTAAAAAGATGGAAATTTATTAGTATCCATCGGTTATGATATGAGCATTATTCTATGGGATTTGTCTGATTTAAGAAAAATTAAACTTAAAGTAAACCAAAATTACCAACCAAATCAATAGGAAGTAATTAGCATATCATTTTAAGAATATGAAAATCAAGTTTATATATAAAAAATTCTCAGTAGTAATGATATAAATGCAGATAATATTTCAGATTATGTTGAATACTGTTAATTTTTGATAGAGGATATAAATTATAATTATTTAATAGAAGAGACTTCAGAGTATAAATTGCATATTAAGGAAAACAAAATAGAAATTAACAAATAAAAAGATGGGAAATCGATATATTTTTTAGATCAATTTAATACATAAATTAATTGTGCCACATTTACTCCATGTAGTTAAAACATTATTTTAGGGATGAAAAATGGGTCAATTTTATTTTATAGATTAGATTAAAATTAGAATTAACCAAAATGCTTCAAAAGCTTTACTTTATATCCTTTAATTTTAGCAGATTCATGTAGTATTAAAGGTTCTATATTTTTTAATTAAGAAAATCGTAATTTACTAAATTTATTTCATGAAAAAGGTTCCATAACATAATGATATAAATACGTCAAAATTAAACAATTTAAATTATATTTAGTTGATTTAAATTTCTTCTTCTTTATATTATTTATATCTATTTCATTTATATAGAGTTCTATCTAATATTGATTATATTTTTCTTTACACTTTAATTAAAATCTAAATTTAAATGTGTAAAATTGCAATATATTTCTGTAATTATTTTTGTTAATCTTAAAATGATTCTGATTAATTGCAAATGGAAATACTTCAAGATCCTTTAGAAAATTTTAAGAATAATTTTCAATTTAATTCATCTTTCAATAACAAAATATAAGTATTAATTTACATAGATATAAAGAATAAGAAAATATAATTAAAGAAATAAAGGAGTAAATAACAGAACAACAGAGTTTTTAAATTCAGGTCATACTAGATAATAAGGAATAGTTTAATTTTATAGTTGAATTTTAGTCTTTATATTATTAATAATAAGTGTAATTATTGAATTAAATATAGAAGGAGATGGTTTAGCAATAAATTAAAAAATAATCTGTTATAAATGTATTTTTTGCTAATTTTATAAATACACTTAATTTTTACAAGAAAAAATACCTCTTTTTTTTTGGATTAGATACCTTGATAAAAAAATAGTCATCTAACCTTTTATCAAATCCAAAATATATTAATGATTAGAAGTTTAAGTATTAATTGAAAGTTATTCATCCTTTAAAAGTAATCATCATTATTTTTGGTAGAAAATTGGGCTCAATCTTTTTTTTATTTTGATTATCTAAATAAAGGGGAAAAACCATTTTCATAAAAAAATATCTGAGCATGATAAATATGTAGTTGTATTATTCATAAATAAAGATGGTTTAAAAGTGATATCAGCAAGAAAGGTTAAATCATTTTTATTATGGCACCAAATTCTTAATCAGGGGTGGAGGATTCAAAGTGCGCTTGGATAGTTAAATAAAAATCTAGGTTGAAACACATGGGCATCGTATGTGTTTTATAAATAGCTATTTCTTCACTTTTTAATCTTAAGGAGAATCTAAATTGAATTACTACATTATTTAAATGAATCATTTTTAAATAAAAGAATATCAAATTAAAATCTATCTTAAAGATTGCGCTTATTTTTCCCTCATTTGTATAACAGTTAAAAGAAAATACTATTTAATAAATGCAAAAACACTTTAAATAATTTACCACATTAGGGAGTTATATAGGGATGATTAGCCCAAAAATTATGAATAACCAATCAGTCATCTTTTTAAACGAAACCAAGAATATAAGGAAAAGTGAGTGGAGATGGAAATTATTTAGGATAGTGTATAAAAATATTTATGTAAGAAATATACTATAAAGAAATAAATATTATTTAATAATTCAAAAATTGATTTTATTTACTTCTAAAATTTATTAATAAACAAATAATAATATAAAGAATATCAAAAAATAAAAAATTAATGACTAGTATTGAGATTTTCTAATTTTTTATTTGTCCATTCAAAAATTGTTTGTAAATCTATAATTTTAATGATAAAAAAATTGAAATGCTTTTGAGTAACTAATAATATGGTAACTATTTTTCAATTGAATTTGCTTCCTTCGTCTAAAAGTGGAATTAGAAGCCCATTAAAAAATCATGATTAAGAATAATATNACTTCAAGATCCTTTAGAAAATTTTAAGAATAATTTTCAATTTAATTCATCTTTCAATAACAAAATATAAGTATTAATTTACATAGATATAAAGAATAAGAAAATATAATTAAAGAAATAAAGGAGTAAATAACAGAACAACAGAGTTTTTAAATTCAGGTCATACTAGATAATAAGGAATAGTTTAATTTTATAGTTGAATTTTAGTCTTTATATTATTAATAATAAGTGTAATTATTGAATTAAATATAGAAGGAGATGGTTTAGCAATAAATTAAAAAATAATCTGTTATAAATGTATTTTTTGCTAATTTTATAAATACACTTAATTTTTACAAGAAAAAATACCTCTTTTTTTTTGGATTAGATACCTTGATAAAAAAATAGTCATCTAACCTTTTATCAAATCCAAAATATATTAATGATTAGAAGTTTAAGTATTAATTGAAAGTTATTCATCCTTTAAAAGTAATCATCATTATTTTTGGTAGAAAATTGGGCTCAATCTTTTTTTTATTTTGATTATCTAAATAAAGGGGAAAAACCATTTTCATAAAAAAATATCTGAGCATGATAAATATGTAGTTGTATTATTCATAAATAAAGATGGTTTAAAAGTGATATCAGCAAGAAAGGTTAAATCATTTTTATTATGGCACCAAATTCTTAATCAGGGGTGGAGGATTCAAAGTGCGCTTGGATAGTTAAATAAAAATCTAGGTTGAAACACATGGGCATCGTATGTGTTTTATAAATAGCTATTTCTTCACTTTTTAATCTTAAGGAGAATCTAAATTGAATTACTACATTATTTAAATGAATCATTTTTAAATAAAAGAATATCAAATTAAAATCTATCTTAAAGATTGCGCTTATTTTTCCCTCATTTGTATAACAGTTAAAAGAAAATACTATTTAATAAATGCAAAAACACTTTAAATAATTTACCACATTAGGGAGTTATATAGGGATGATTAGCCCAAAAATTATGAATAACCAATCAGTCATCTTTTTAAACGAAACCAAGAATATAAGGAAAAGTGAGTGGAGATGGAAATTATTTAGGATAGTGTATAAAAATATTTAAGTAAGAAATATACTATAAAGAAATAAATATTATTTAATAATTCAAAAATTGATTTTATTTACTTCTAAAATTTATTAATAAACAAATAATAATATAAAGAATATCAAAAAATAAAAAATTAATGACTAGTATTGAGATTTTCTAATTTTTTATTTGTCCATTCAAAAATTGTTTGTAAATCTATAATTTTAATGATAAAAAAATTGAAATGCTTTTGAGTAACTAATAATATGGTAACTATTTTTCAATTGAATTTGCTTCCTTCGTCTAAAAGTGGAATTAGAAGCCCATTAAAAAATCATGATTAAGAATAATATGGCCAAACTAAAGTAAACTATTATTAATTCATAATTTTCATATTAGATTCAGATTTACGCGAATTTCTAAAAATAAAATAATTAATTCATATTCTTTTGGGTATCTCAAACATATTTATAACATGAAGCCAAAAATAAATTGTAAATTTTTTTAAAGAACTTTGTAAAATCTACAATTAAAAGAAATCAAATCAGAGAGTACAAAATTTGACCATTTATATCTCGAAGTGAATAATAGCAATTTCTGAAATATTTTTGTTTAAATCTACATGATGAAATTATTGTATAATTAATTAGTAATATTAAATTTAAGCATTGAATATGAAGATATATATATAAATTGTAATTATTGTTAATTAATAAATAGGTTTGACGTCATCATCTCATTATTATTATTAATCAACAAAATAATTGCCATCTTATTTTTCTATGGAATGCAAATGTGATAGTATAAATTATACAAATAATGTGATTCTGATTGGGCTAACAATCAAGAAGGAACAAATGCAAATACAATTCGGAGCAGGATGTTTAATTTTATTTACCTCCATGATGTTACATACTTATGGTGTAGTAACAGATGGTACAAACAACTCCAAAACAAAGAAAGAATGGAGGGTATTCTTCTGATGATCTTTTTGTTTGGGCCAAGAGTTGAGCGAACCATTAATATTAAGTCATCCTAATTCAGAAGATCATCTCTTTTCAATATATTATCTTTACTTTTTGATTTCGCTTACCCAAGTCTTATAATCAATAAGAAAATAATAAGATTTTAAAGAATATATTTAAAAATTAGAATTTCTCTAACATCATCAATTGGTTATAAATTGATTATATGAATTAATATTAAGTGCATTTTTGTGAGATTTCTCTGTTTATAAATATAAAGAATAATAGTTTTAATTAGAACTGCTAATCCAATAAGCAATTATTAAAAATATCAATTCCTGATCAAGATTTTGTTCAAACATGTTCCTATCTCTTAATATTGAGATAAAAATTCACAAAGCTTAATGCCTATATTTATGACAAACAAGAAAAATGAGTAATCAATTATAGAAATCAAATTAAGTTATATAATTAACATTATTTATATACAAATTAGTTATTCTATATTCTTAAAGAATCAAGCAATATGCCTCTAGAATTAAATTCTGCATAGCATTTTTTACCTCCAATACAATCAATAAAAAATCTTCGAATAGTATTGGCTTCTAATTTTAAAAAATATAGAAGATATATTTTTTTATTGGTAGTATAAAACTTAAATTAAGGATAATAGACATTCAATATTAAAAAAAGAAAAGAAATTGAATAGATCAACAAGTAGATCTAACTTAGAATTTTTTCAGGTTAAGGGATGGAGATGATGATGTTTTAATTGAAATTTTGATAGGAGAAAACTTGAGACAATATAGGATACCTTTCATAGAACGGAAATTAAAAACATCACTAATACTATATTTCTTAGTTGAAATACCCTTAATTTGTTGTAGAAGTTAGATTTGCAACTAATAACCTCAAAGAAATTATTGATGTCTTATAGCAGATCATGATTTCAATAACAAAGACTATACCTCTGAAGAAAATTAAAAATCTATAAATGATCTAATAGAAACCATAAAGGATGATAGATAGATCATAGAACTTTTGTAATTTTTAGTTTACCTCACATCCATAGATAACACTTTAATTCAATGTGGGTCAAATTCATTACATTTATTAGTTTAGATGAAGGGAAATCTGAGAAACAAAAATTTTGAAAATATTAAAATCCAAAATACTTCTTTGGTCGGAACTAATTTTCCTTATATGAGCTGAAGTGGATCAGAATTTGATAATGTAGATTAAAACGGCTTAAATTTGAAAAGAGCTTTATTATTTAATTGTAAATGGAACGACTTAAGAATCCATTAATTAAATACATTAGAAGTTCATAGTGATTTTCTATTATTTTCTTGCGATCCAGATAAATCTACCCTAATAATAAAAATCTAAATTAAATAGTCATAATAGTTGAATTTATTGAGTATGCTTCTCACCTTATAGTAATAAATTCATCATCATCTTGATTTAGAGATTAAAATGGGATGCTAAGAATAGAGTCGCATATTGAATAAACATAACTATTGTGCCCATTTAATTTAGATTTTTATTGTCTCAAGATTGTAGTACTACATTAGAATCTATTAGTCGATCATTTAAGGGATTTTAAAATAGAACAACTAAAACTAAATTAGAAATTAATCTAGTCACTACTAAATCTTTATCCTCAAACATTTTGTTAATTTAAAAAAATAGCATGAAGCAATTTATAAATAAATAAATTATATATTCTAATTTTAATTATGTATTTAAAAACAGATGTAGTTATTTTGGAAATTTTTAGGGTATCATCAGAAACAAAGGATTATTGAGATTTTGGAGTTACCATTATGATTAGGAGTTACTATGAGATAGCAGGGATTAAATGGAGAACCTTAAATTTGGAATTACATAAATCTAATCCCATCATAAACCTTCTCAGTAAATTATCTAGAATATTTAACATTAATACAAGTTAACCCATAATTCACTGCTGAAGAAGAGACTATATCAATAGATAGATTAAAGATCTTCTTTTATTTGGAAAAATAGTTTAAAAAGGAAAGGCTAACAGACACATCCTTGAAAGAGGGATGATTGAAAATGATTAATGCCTGAGAAAGAAATGATAAAAAGATTATAAAGAATTTAAAATAGTATCATAGAAAAAATTGAATCGAAGAATGAAGGAAGTTGAAAATTTTAGGAGGAGTTCACTTGTAAAAAACAATACTACTCCATAATGAAATGAAATTAAGGACTTGTTTTATACTACAACCAATATTGAGGCTATATCATTCTTTATCATGTTATTCATCTGAAAATAAATTGTGCTACTATCAAAATGCTTCATAATTTATTTCCTAAATAAGAAAATACTCTTACCTTCAAAAAAAAATATGGAATTGTCTTATTGGTATCATTTGATTGAATGCTAAGGCTAAGAAAAAAATATGCTACAATTTGAAATTCCTTTAAAAATTTTAGCTAAGAATGTATCACAATTTAAAAAGTATAAGACACAGGTATTTGAAATTTGCTGAAGTTCATAATCCTTTAATGGAATTGGAATGGTTAACCTTAGTTGAATAATGATAAATGTTTGCAGAAGGGTTATTTCAAACCATCTCTTATCAAACAACAGAACATCAAAAAAATTAGATATTGAAGTTTAACAGCTTGATTCCGGCATCTAAATAGTAAATAAGTAGTTTTTGTAATTATGCTTGAGATAATACTTCTAAAATAGATTATAAAAATACTAAGAACTTTATTGCAATTTAGAAAGATTCTAAATTAGAATGTATTAACCTCACCTAAAGAAAAAAAAATACATCTATGATTTAAGGCAGAACTTAGAATTCAACTAAAGAAATTGAAAAAATCATTCAATAATATATTATTTTTTTCTATTTTCTTTGTGAATTCGTTTCTAAAATTGATTTTTATTTGATGATTCATTATTTTTATAATAATATAAAAATAAGCTTAATTAATATTTGGTGATCTTTACTTCATATTATTATTAATAATAAAAAAAATAAATGTAGGTCTGTTAATTTTGATAAGTATGAATAAGATGATTTAAAAGAATTAAATCAAATTTGAAATAATTAAAAAATTTTCTATAAATTTGAAATAGAAAAATAGATTTAAGAATTTATGATTATTATGATTTTATTGGATATTGATTATTAATTCATAATTGACTTGATAACATTTTATCGTATTTCTTTATTTTTGATTTAAAGATTTATTTCTCTATTTCATCAATCATTTCTATTTCTACAGCTTGAATTAAAGCTTTTGCAAATAGTTTTTCCTGAGAGTTTTATTTCAAATTTTCTAATTCCTAAAGACTGCTATTCATAACTTATTCCATAATCTAAATCATCATAATAGGATAATTTTATTGGCTCAAGTAATTATTAAACTTATTCATAAATTGATTTGAAACGGTGATTCCATCATTATTAATCATTTATTAATTTTTCATATAGTCAATAGCATTTTTCACCAATAATTTTGGTTCAAAATTAGTTATTTATTATAACTCTTCGCATTATTATTAAATTTATTGTATTTAATATTGACTCGCATTCTGCATTTAGTATTCGCTTGTTTGTGACTTAAATTTCTTTATATGACTGTTCAAATGGTCATTGTACTAGTTCTCAAAAATTATTTCTATTGGTTCCATGAATTCGCAATCTATAAAAATATTGCATTATTCTCCTAATTTATTGTATACATCCATGCATATTTCCATGATTTTTGGTCTGATTACTTTCTAATAACATTTATTCATTGATTATTAATCTGATATTTTTACATTATTACATTCATCCTAAATATCTTTATCATTTATATCGAAGGTTGAATTTAAATATTTTTAAATATTGGTATTGTTAATCTCTTTCTCCACTTACTTGGGATTGCAAAATTTTTCAAAATACAAATCTAATTTTACTATTTTTTTTTAAAAGTTCATTGTCTTTCAAATAAATTATTTTGAAAATTTCTGAAAATTTCTAAATTTCATTATTTAGATATTTTTCATTTTTATTAATATTAATGAATTTTGCTTTGTATTCCATCAAATTTTTTATTTCCTTGAGTCTAGCAAATTTCTTCTACTTCTTTTTTTAAATTTTTTTCTGATTTGCTACTTTTACTTTTAGCTATCTATAATCTTAAATATTTTTTTGCTAATTCGCAAAAACTATTTCGAAAACCATTAACTGTTCCTTTAGATTATTAAAAACATTAATTAACTAAATCGTACAGATTAGATGCTGTACTTTCAGATATAGCTCCATTTCTGACTTAATCTCCTAAAACTTCGGTTGCTAAATTTAATATTTGATTATTATTCTATGTTTATAAAGCAGTTTATTATATCATTTATAAAGTTTGATACTAATTTTAGATATTTACTTTATCTAAATCACTTAACCAAAAACCTGCTTTTTTTAATCCATCCACTGTTACAGTTGGGATTTATTTCAAAAATTCAGTAATGCCAATTTATTTTATTGATTAAAACCCTTTGCCTCCTATTTAGAGAGCTTCCTTAACCCCAGAAGGTCCTGCTAATACTAATGCTGATGCAACATTAATCATTTTGTTTTTTCCCCAAGCTCCCCAATCAATATCTAATCCTTTCCAAGCTGCTGTGACAGAATAGACCATATCTGAAATTCCTCCAGTTATAAAACTTTTTGCTATAGGTATCGCAGCTCCACAAGATATTGCGCTCACTGCGCATCCAAAAACAAACTGAACTGCTCCAATTACAAACATGGCTAGATATTGCCACCACTTTTTTTTCTTTTTTTCTTTTTTTGTTTTTATAACTTTTCCTAGCAAAGGTAATGGTCCATCAATAATCACTTCTTATTTATCTTTAGATGAATTCTTTTCATCAGATGGATCCTTATCATCACCTTCTTTCTTTTATTTATCGTGATGAGTACGGGTCCAAATTACAATAATAATTTCTTATTCCTGATCAAATTGTTTTAATGTATTTAAAGTCTCATTAATATTTTTAATAAGTCTTTTGTAAACTTCAATATGATTCTTGGTTTTTGAATCTCTATTATTTTATTTCTTTTGATTATTTTCATTTTCTTCTTTTATATTTTGATCATCAAAAGTATCATTCCGGATATTAGGAATATGATTACGTTGATTAGGAATATGATTATGTTGATTAGGTATATGATTATGTTGATTAGGTATATGATTACGTTGATTAGGAATATGATTATGTTGATTAGATATATGATTATGTTGATGAGAATCTTCTTAGTTAATCTATTGAGGTTTCTATTATTTTTAATCTGGATATGAGTATTATGAAAAAGGATTATTATCAAGATCAAGTTATGGCAACATTTAAGTTTATTTTTCTTTCTAAAATTTTTAATTTTCTTAAGGATCTTTTGAAAATTATTCTATCTATAATCTATTTAAATCAAATGCTGTTTAAAATCCTTATTCATCATCAATTTTATTTTGAAATAGTTATTTTGCTTTCAATAATGATTCCATTCCTTTTTTAAATTCTTACTGTTTTATTTCATATAATCCTTTATAATAATATGCAGAAGGATCGTTATCTTAAATTTGAATAGCCTTCTTAAACATATTAAGATTATCTTTTTCCAATCCTTGTAAAATCAAATACTTTGGATTTTCGACATCATTTTCTTTCAAAATTTTCTCAATTTCATTTTCATTTAATCCAGTCTCTTGATGTTATTCCAAATAAAGGCCTCATTTTTCTTCCAAAGCTTAGAAAGCTGCATAATTCTGCTTGAAACTAACCATGCCTTTTGCAATTTCGCAAAACTTTTCAAAGCATCTATCCTCATTTTCTAATCTTTTCATATCCAATTCTATTTCATCTGAGTAAAATTGTTCATTAAAATTTCTTAAATATACAAGGAGATCTAATTTTGTATAGGATGAATTAACTTTTTAAACATAAAAAGCAATAACATCTTCAATAGTATCTAATTATAATTAACCAATATAAAGATTTTCCTCCAAATTAACTATAAGTTAAGCAGTACCTTTTTTACCTTGCCTACCTATTCTACCAAAACCTTATTGTTAAATTCTAATATTTCTAGGTAAAAATGACATTATCACATGCAGACCTCCATTATTTTCTAACTCTTAGTTAGAAATAAGATCTATTCCTCTTCCAGCCAAATTAGTAGCAATTATAAGAGAATTAGGCTTTATCTCATGATCTATTTTTTAGCTGTCATCATAATATACTACAGATTTTAGATTATTTTTTTGTAGATGTTATTAAATATTATTGACGTCTTAAATTGTCCGATTAATAATAAGAACTGCTCTCTTTTTGTTCATTTATTTTTAAACAGCCTATAGAATAGCATCTTTCCATTCATTTTCATTTGGGGCTGCTAATCCTAGCTCTTCTTTTAATTGTCTCTTTTTGTAAGGAGGCATGAAAACAAAGTCTACATTGTTCTATTGAATAACTTTCAATTTAAAAATTAATTATCAAACATTATTTTTATTTTCATTAACTCCTAATAGAAATTTGTAATAAATATCACAATACTACTTAGCCAATAGATTTTTTGTAACCTATGAACCTAATGTACCTGTCAGCCCTAAAATTTTATTCTTGTATCTTTTAAAAAAAGTAACATTCGATATAAATTTGTGTTAATTGATAATGGGCTAATTGGAAGATTATGCTTTAATTATACAAATTGATGTAATCCTTTTTCCCATGTCATATTATTTCCATGAATAACTCCTGTGTTCTAATAATCAATTATTCTAACATTGTTATTTTCTATTTTGTAATGGTAATCTTAATGGAGATTATATTTTGCATGAATGGCATTTTCAATCCAAGTTTTCTTCATAAACTCTATATAGTTTAATCTGTATTTTGGGATAAATTAGTTTAATACATCTTTTAACTAGATATTCAAAGTAGATTCTATATATTCTTTCAAATCAACACTATAATAATTTTCATCATCAATAATCATAACTTTTTATTCTGTTGATAAGTTTTGTTCTGTCTTACATATTTCATCCCAGATTAATCTGAGTACCTTATTTAAATCAAGCATTCCTGGCACATAAAACTTAATAATGTCTTATTACTATTTCCATCAATAAGCATAGAATCAACTTCATCAACAATAATATATTCTTATTTTCTATCACCCATAGTTCCTCTTTCTGAATATTCATGTCTTAAAATATCAGCTTAAAAACTATGAGGATCTCCATAAATTACTTTGGAATTATAACATGGTAGCATTCCTTAAGGAACTTTTTTTGATCCACCAATATTATGAGATACAGAAACTTAAAATTTTTTATAAAATTCTTCCAATTATTCGGCATCTCTAGTTGCCAAAACAGGAGAGCTAGTTACTACATCAACATTAGAATTTTTCTTTTAACTCAACAGAATTGCAAGCAAAGCTATGATTAGAGTTTTTCCTTCCCCAGTAAAAATTTAAGCCAATCGTCCTTAATTAGGATTGTGATTGTATAACTCTATTACTGACAATAATTAGACTGGTCTTGGATAATATGAAAAGTGTTCTTTTATTTTTAAACACAAAAATATTAGATCTTCATACTGTAATTGTGGAGAGCTTGTAAAATTATCAAAGTTTAAATCTAATTCTTGTTTGTTATTAAGCGATTAATACACTTATTAAAGTAAATTTTATAATTCTTCATTAGATCTTTAATTAATTGAATTAAATTCTTAAAAGAGATCCTTTATTGTCTACTCTTATGATGTTTGATCTTGTTCGGTATTGGGTTAAGTAATGATTAGCTCTTATTTATCTTTAATTAAGCTTTATTCAAAAATAATACCTACTAATTACATAAATTAGTTAGCTGTTTTAAACTCAAATTTTGTAGCCTCCTCTACAATTTTTACATTTATTTTATTTAATTAAACAAATTAAATAATTTCATTAATTTCCTCTTCACTTTCAATTTATTAAGATAATCTCTAATGTAAATTTAATAATTCTTAATGGGTCCAATCTGTTTCAATTTCAATAGTTTGAGACATCTCTTTAATCAAGCACTCTTGAAATTTATCCCAATTATTAAAGTGTTCCAGAAGTAACTATATGACTTTTTCTGAATTCTAAAATCTTTGAATTTATTCATTTAAAAGTGATTTTTAGTTTTAGTTCAAATTCATTTAGATTATAATGGATTGCAAATTCTGATTTTCTTCTGCTGACCAATTTTTATTCTCGATCAACTCCGCCATATTTTTTTATTATTTATTTAATTAAATTTTTTTAGTTAATTTAAATTGATAGAATTTCTTGAAATTCTATTAAATACTATAATTTATCATCCTCTATAATTTCAAAAATTTTAATAAGGCTTCATTTTTTGTTTTAGTCATAGAGATAAAATACAACAATTTAATGGATAATTTGATATTCTAATCAGTTGCTGTTTTGATTCATTATTTATCTGACAGAAAAGAATTATATAAAATACATTTTTTTGTTATAAAAATGAGCAGATATATTTTTGAAAGAAAACAAATGATATATTCTTATAACAATATTAAGTATATTCTTTAGGATTAAGAAAACAATAAGTAAGTTTGCCATATAAAAAATTCTATTAATTCTTCTCAATCAATATTTATTTGAATTTTTCAAAAAATTAGTTAAGGATTAAATATTTGATTGTTTTTTATACCTTATCTACAGATTGAAGAATTTTATTGAAATGAATATAAATTGAGATAGAGAATTTATTCAAGAATATTTCTATTTAAACTATAAATTCATGATAAAAATTAACTGATGATAATATTTATATAATTTAATAATCGCCATTCTAATCCTCATATTTATTTCTAAATTTCTTTAAATATTCTTATTTAATTGATCGTTATGGACATATTAATGGATGGTCGAATTTCGTTTTAAATAGAATTGAGATTGTCTTTCAGCTCTTTGATGGGCTTGGCATAACTAAGTAAATATTTTTTAATCTTTTGGTACTATCCTTAAACACGTTTCCTTCTCTTAATACTACTCTCTAAATAGATTCTGAGACATGGATAATCCATAGTCCAAGGAGCTATAGCAATTATCTTTTCCCTCAATTTGTCCAATTAATCATCTAAGTCCTCCCAGTAAGATTTTAATATTTAATTAAGAAGCATCAATAAGTAAAAGAAATTGAGTACGACTAAGATTAAGAAGTAAGGTATTTAAGTTTCAATATTGCCATATAATTAATTGATGTATATTCCACATCCCAAAATGATGGAAACTTAACAAACCTTTGCTGAGTGGGCATCTAAGTTATTAAGAGTACTCATTTTATATGGCCTAAATCTATAATTTAATTCTGAATATAAATAAACAACAAGTAAAACAAGAGTGCCTTTCTGAATAATATCGTCGTCATAATATGATAGAAAGATGATTACCAACTCTTTTTCCACAATTTTAACAATTTCCCAAAAATAAGCGCTAGTTTTATATTCATTGTACAAATATCCAAGTTTCTGTCTAATTCTTTTCTCATTCAAAATGTTTCTGTTAATGTATAAGGAGATAAAAAATAGAGATGGTATGAGAAATGCAAATAGAAATAGTCCTGGCAAGCAAAAGACTGCCAACCAAATAAAGTGCTAGGGAGTATCATACCTATAAGCTACGTTAGCTTGAATCCATTAATATCCAGATATTGAGCGAAAAGATATTAAGGAAATAAAACCTCCAATTAGATTTGGTTAATTTTAAATGTATATATATATGAATGTAGTGGTGATAACACTCAAACTATATTCAGTAGAACAAAATTTTACAATAATGTTGTAAATTCCTAAAAAAAAAATGATGTATATGAATGGCATGATTAATTACCATATTATTCTAGCATAATGAATTTCCACAGAGAACATTTAAATTAAAAAGCAATCTAATGAATATGTCATTGTTTGGATGGGATTTCCTTTTGAATTTATGGAATTAGTTAAAACAAATGAAAAATCTATTTTAAAAGTAGTTATGGCCGTTAATATTTACAGATGATTAGTAAGCATTTTTATGAGAATAGCAGATTAAGAATATTTTTATTTTTTAATGAACTTTAATTTTGTCATTTAAATTTGAGTTGCAATCTATTCAAGTAATGCTAATGTGCTTTTCACAGAAATTAAGATAGAAATTAATGTCCTAAAATATTATTAACAATTTACTTAATGGTAATCAAAGTGATAATGATAATGTTTGTAAAATTATTTACGCAAGAAGCACAAGAATATTTAACGCTTGTTGAAAACTATCCATATCCTCGAGAGTCATATAAATCACATTCTTCACACAAAGCACCTATGTGTCCAACAGTACAAGAATTATCCCCTTGAGACCAACCTCCATTACAATTTTGGAGTAAATTAATACATTAACTGATTGAATAAGTATTAATATAGGGCCTCCAATATCCTTCTCTCAGATTAAGTTAGGCTGATTTAATTTCTATTGTTGAGACGTCATCTTTGATTTAACATTTTTGAGCATTAATTACTAATGAATATTATCCCTAATCAGGATCACATGGGACACAGATTTTAGTTTAAATCTTCTTAATTTCACCCAATTGGCATGGTAATGATTTAACATTCATTCTCAAATAATAATTTTAATGGTAGGATTGTATTTATTGTTATTTTCCTATTACTGGAATATAAATTGAACTACAGTTAAACTAAAGTTGTAAAGTCATATTTAATTCATCATCTAGATATATTATCATTTTATCCAAATTATAATCTTAATTATCAAATTCAATATGTTCTAAATTTGTAAAATTAGTTGTAAATTCCCTTTCTATTTCATCATCAAGTAATCTACCTTTAATTGTACATTATGTTTTCTCTAAATTTTTTATAATAGAATCATATTGGTCTTAGGCTACTATTCTTAAATGCAATTTGTATGGTTAATATTCTTCTTTCTGCCAATCAAAGTATTTATATTAAGAGATAGTTTATCCATTCGGAAAATAGATAGTATTAGATAACACATTCTTCATAACTTCATACTCCTTTATTTATACTTACTCTATTACAAGATTTTCTGTTTAAAGTATTTTTCTCTTTTATAAATAGTTTACAGTATCTATTGAAACAGCCAATTATGAAGGAACTTGGGCTGCATCATTTCCATACTTTTTTGCATTATTATCAATTGAGTATGAATCTAAAAGCGTCATATTTTAAATCATTTAATCAGTCATAAATATTCCGCCTCCAATATTTGCAATATTTTCAATAATTATTGATCGTTCTATAAAGAAATCTTGTATTCCAATAACTAAAATTGCGCCTCCTTTATGAACAGCAATATTATTTTTAAAAGTAGAAGAAAGAATCAGTGTTGTAATATTTTATACTCTTAAACATGTACCTTCATATCCCTGATTTTATTAGCATATGTAATTTAATACATTTACTTAGTAAGTTTTATTATTGACATATGGAATTAATTTTTATAGTCTACGACGAGATTGGATATTATTGTAAATATTTATACAGCTGGATTTACCACATTTATTTCTATAAATATTGATATATTTGATATCTAAAATACTTTAACTTTCTTTTATGGGTATGTTAAATAAACCATTCTAACAATTTTCACAATCTATGTCTTAGAATTACACTTATAAGATTGTCATATTGGATTTAAATGGAATGATATCAATAACACTCAAATTTTCATTTCTATTTTGTATTTTCATCTTATTTATAACACATCCTGCCTTTTTATCTTACTAATTTTCATAAAATTAAGTTAAATTCTTAGGTGATATCCTGTTAAGGTATTGGTTCAAACATGAAAAAGTTTAGTAAGGCATTGGATTAATCTATTAGATTAAGCACTCAAATTTATCTGGAATAACAGCAAAAATAGAAATATTTGATATATGTAAATCACTCATAAAAATAGTAGTATTTCTTTTTTTGCTATCTATTTATATAACAGCATTCAAGAATATTGATTGACTTATTACAATTTTTTTGATTTATATCTAAAATGTATTGGTTACATAAAGGAATGATTCATATTTTAGATTGAAAATTGAGAAATTTGATATTACAATAGTTTATGCATTATAAATGCAAATCAAATATCTTTAATAACTTAATTACTAAAATTCATCTAAGTCATCTAAATTATTAAATTGACTCAAGAAACTCAATTGGTTATTTTGAGTATTCTTTATATGAAAATTTTATAGATTTATTAATTTAGATGTATTTGATTAAGCAGAAATTTCGCTATAAATAATTGATCCTTAAAGAGCATATACATCTTAAAGTATGACATTAGATATGAAAATTTGAGATTCACCTTGTCCATTAATTAAATATATAAAACCACCCTTTTATCTACATTAAATATTGCTCAATCTAATAGTTTATATTTTTATAGTTGCATTAAAAATTTGTGTAGTATCTAATACAATAGCTCCTCCATTTTCATTTTTTTCCAAAAATAATGATTTTAATGAAGTGAATACTATATCACTAATTACACAACTTGCCTCATTCAAAAGAGATATATAAAATCCAGTACCAGTGGAGTTTGATATGCTTACATTATTTATTTCAATCTCTTTGCCTTCTAATTTAACAATTCCTGTTGATACTTTGATTGGAAAAATGTCTATAATGTTCTCTAAAAATATTTTTTGATCATTTGTAAATCCCCATAATATATGAGGTTGCAAAATGCTAAAATTGGAAATACAATTAAATCTAAACACAGCATTTTTCATTATTATTTTATTTGATTTCAAAAAAAGAATGCCTTATGTCGAATTAGTAACTAGATTTGCTTAAATTGTTAGATTTTCAAGATTAGTTGTACATTCGGAACAATCAAAGTTAAAAAGTAATGCTGAGTTTATTTAATCATTTTGACGATATTAATGCATTAGATTATTTTCCATTACTGAATTTTAAATAGTTATAAATGAATATGATTGGGATGTTATTTAAAGAATAGAGGCTTAGTCCTAAGAATTTAATATCAAAACGAGGTTATTTTTGAAATATAATTCTGAAATAATAATATTAAAGTATGATTCAGGTTATAGAATATGTATGATTGGATTATTTATCATTGTAACAGATTCGATTAATAATTCTTATATTTCAATCGACTCGATATTATAAAGATAGAGTGATGTAAAGGAATATTTTGTTTCTGCTTCACTTTCAACACAATCTGCATATTAATGAAGTCCTTAAATTTAATATGATTTATCCTATAGAATTTGTACTTAACGTAATTTCAAAAATCTTCCTTTTTAGACTACAATATCTGTAATTCCAAAACCTTTTGTGATGACCAAATTGTTTATTTCTAAATCTTATACATCTAAGAAAATAAGAAATTCTTTTGGGTTAAAGGGCGATATTTAATTAAATTTACTATTAAGTACATTGACATGAAGTGTCAAACTATTAAATTTAATTTATTTATATGTATAAAGATCGTTTCTTATGCTAATAAAATTAGATGATTTGTCATATACATTTAATGAAAATTCAATTTGTGTAATATCTACTGTTTCTACTTAAGAATTATAATTGCTAATAAGTGAAGAATAATCCAAAATTTCATTTTTAATAAAATGAAAGAAAATAGTAACAAATTTATAACCCATACCAAATATCTTCGAATAGACTATTTTATTTGTTTATATTAAAACTTATTTAATTTATATTTACATCAATAAGTTTCCTCCAATTAAATTTAGTACATCTTTTATCACACATTATTAAATTACAGTATCTTAAATTAGAAGAGATCCAGAAGTTGAATATATTAGTTTTGATGCATAAAACCAGATTGAGTTAAAATTTGATTAATAGAAAATTAATTAGTCAGTAGATTTAGTATTAAATTAGAAAACATTAAGCATGTTGAATTTACAATTTATCACATTCATATTTTCAATAATAATTTTTTGAATAGAGTTTATATTTTCCACTAAAATAAATGCTTAGACATCACTTAAAATTAAATCTTAAATTGTAAAAGTAGATATCAGAACATCTGTGGAATTCCATATTAAAATTTAAGATTAAAATTAATATTTAAAGTCACTTATATATCTGGTATTTATTAATTGTATTGTTTATTCAAAGATACTGTTAAAAAATAATTGCTTAAAACCAAAATATATAGATGGTTATAAAATTATTCCATTAAAAATAACTTTCTTGAAGTTTACAATCTAAATTGTTTTATCATATTAAAAAATTGTATTCTCATTTCCATAAAGTTCCAATTGAACATTTCTAAATTATATAAAATTAAATACATGGCTGAGAAGATATTTTAACTAAATTTTTGTTTAATACTTTTATTATTATTAGTGATTATGCAATTTTAAGGTTTTAAACTATGAATTGTGATAATTATAGATTTGACAACCTACTCATTGGCCATCTGATAAAATTCTGGTTACTCGAACTAAAAGATTTATTTAAAAAAATACTTATGGAAAACTAGAATTTGAGAATAAATCATCAATTAATATATTCTTTTGCTTAAAGCTTTTAACATCTTCTTCACTCTTCAAAAATTAAATCTCTTTATCATATTCTTCTTTTTAACAATACAACAATAAACTTAAGTACAGTTCTTTCATACAAGCACCTTAAGGACAATCAACATACATTTTCAAATCTTTATCATAATATCCTAGTTATTTTTATAAACACTAATTTGAATAATAATAAAAGTCCAAATTATTAAAAACTGGATTAATTAATTTTATTTCTTCTTATTCTCTAATACGACAAATTACACAAAATGCAGGACATTATATACATTAATTATTTTATACACTTAAACTTCTTTTGCCTTGAATTTATGGACATTAGATACAGATATTCTCATCATTTATTATTTTACATTTTAAACAAGAACTAGGGCAGACTGGAATACATTTTCCATTATGAAGTTAATATCCATCAATACAAAATTGGCAGACAATCTCATAATCTCCAATATCTTAACTAAGACCATATTCAATAAATGAATGTGATTGTAAGTCATCATCTATGATAGACCTATAAAAGGCACGAATTTAATTCTTCCAATTATCTTTGGATATTTTATGTTATTAATAACAAACTTAACATTTTAGTTCTTAAGGACAAGGTAGACAATATCCAGACAGTTTTTCTGCATAATAACCATTATTGCATTCAAGACAAATGTAAGAGACTTTTATATTGATTTATCTAATCATACAAATGTGACAATTATAATTAAGACAAGGGCTTTCAGTAATGAATGATATAGGATCTACGATTGTATTTATTTTAGGTCCAAATAAACAGACTTCTTTTATTAAAGCTTGTGGTGTTATGTAACTATAACTATAGTAACATTCAGCAGATTATTATGATTCACATTGATTCGTATCAATATTATAGGTATATTTTTCTTAGCATTATCCGCATATGGAGAGAGAACCACTTTAAATTGTATTAAATTCATATTCTAATGAGTTAATTTTATTATCATTTCTTGATACTTCAAAAGCATAAAGACAATTTTGTATTTGATTTTCAAAGCAATTTTCACCATCTAATGAAATATAATATTTTTGATCATGTACACATTTTAAACATCTTAAAAGTTATATATCAGAATTCTACATTTACTAAAATTTGCAAATCTAACAATTATGACCACATTTTGTACAACCTTGTTTATTATTAATCTCATATCCATCTGGACATTAAAGTCACTAATACTATTAATAATATTCATAATTTATCATCTGACATTTAGTGCAAAAATTTTCACATATTACACAAATATTATTATATAAATAATATCCATTTTCACATTATTAACAAATTTAAAACCAATAATGTGATTTAATACAATGTTATACAGACTTCAAACATTTATTATTTTCAAAATAATGATCCTATTTACACATAATGTAAAAAGTTTCAAACAAATGAGTTTGCTTTTCTATATTAAAGAAATTTGGAAGATCATTTTCACCATTACAATAATTTTCAACTCCATTAATTAATACTAAATTAGCATCTTAATCAATCAAATAGACATCATAATTAAAAGTAGACCTCTATTCTAATCTATAAGCTGGCTTTTCAGAATCACTATCAACTATATAGTCTATTGTACACACAGGTTTTTAATACCAAGTATTTGGATAAATGAGACAATCAGCACATAGAATAGTAACTTTATTCTCTTATGGACTATTTATTAGTTTAATTAAAAATCATACCATTTAATACATTCCTTGATTGTAGGTAAGTAGAAATATCCATACTCACAAATTAAGTTATTCTAATCTAAGAAAACATCTAAGATTTATATATTAGAATAAATCTGAGTGTATGATTTACACTCATCTTATTATTCAATAAAATTATATTTGCAAGAACAAATCTTTAAGTCTTCTGAGAATATTCTATTTTTGTTACTATCACATTCTAAACAATTTGTTGATAATGGACCATTACATTTACTGCATGTTTAATGACAGCCTACCTTATGATATAATTATAATACCAATATTCAATTCTGTATTTTCTTCATAATTATACTCAAATTTTGCATTAGCGATTTGACCTCTCAATTTTTATTATATTGTTCTATCACTTCCAATAATAGCATAATATTTAGTGTTAGTAAATAATCCTTAAGCATATTCTTCAGGAAATTTCTCATGAATAATATTATTTGAAGAAATAAAATTAAAAGTCACAGAAGGGCCATCAGTTTATCTGTAAAAGAATGAAACAATATGCCACTATTATAATTATTGATAAAAGTATCCACCATAATCTCGAAAATTAAGTCTTTACTAGTATTATTCATTTATAGGACCGAAATTTGGGGTAGAATACATATGGGAAATTACATCATAACCACAATTTTAAGGTTGTGAGTTGTCTAAATCTACAGTGATTTTAGCCAGTTCATCACCTAATCTCAATTCATCCCCATAATTCTTGAATATTGTAAGTCTAAGTAATAAATAGGTTGTTGTGAAACTTGCCTCTGAAAAATCATATTTAACCCAACAAAAAAAGCGAAAACTCTTGCCTACCTAATCTATTTCTTTTATCAATTATGTATTTCCTTTAAAAATTTACACATCATTTATTAAGTAAATTGTTTATCCTCCATTTATGTTTATAGGTACATAGCAGTTAGAAAGAACCCAAATTAAGTTTTAGTTTACTTCATCCTCTATGGTTATAAGCTTAGATAATCTTCCTCTAAATATCCCCAGATAGTATTTGTGACTGACCTAAATTTATTTATAATTAATTTACAATTCCTGTACCACCAATTATGATTTGAAATGTATTGAATATAGGTATTTCATCTTAAATGTCATAATAATTGTTTGATTCTGAAGTTTAGAATTTTATAAATTGGGATCCAATAGTTATCATGCTTAAATACCACTTCCCTTCATAAATCTTAGAATCAAATTTGTATTCATAAACTTTTTCTTATAATTAAGTATTTATATGAAGACTGTGAATTACTTCATTTTTACCACTAATAAAATCAACATACATAAACATTATCAAAGATTGGTCGTTTTGCCCTGAATTTATCAAAAATAGAAGCTATTAATTTCTATTATCTTCAAACATCATTTCCTCAACTTGTGGATAGCCATCAACTTCCCAAGCTGGAATACAGAAACTCCAAAAAGCAAATGATTGGGTTGAACCTTACGAATAAATTATTGTTTTTTCTATTTAATTTTTTTTACTTAGCAAACTTTCTTCATAATCTGTATATTGACAACCCTAAACAATATATAGGATTGTAGCAATCATAAGTTTCACAATACTTCCAGAATATATATTCCTATCTATAATATAGAGCATAATTACTATTTTTATTTTTATTGCGTTTTTCGAAATCATATAATTTTAAATCATNAATTATACTCAAATTTTGCATTAGCGATTTGACCTCTCAATTTTTATTATATTGTTCTATCACTTCCAATAATAGCATAATATTTAGTGTTAGTAAATAATCCTTAAGCATATTCTTCAGGAAATTTCTCATGAATAATATTATTTGAAGAAATAAAATTAAAAGTCACAGAAGGGCCATCAGTTTATCTGTAAAAGAATGAAACAATATGCCACTATTATAATTATTGATAAAAGTATCCACCATAATCTCGAAAATTAAGTCTTTACTAGTATTATTCATTTATAGGACCGAAATTTGGGGTAGAATACATATGGGAAATTACATCATAACCACAATTTTAAGGTTGTGAGTTGTCTAAATCTACAGTGATTTTAGCCAGTTCATCACCTAATCTCAATTCATCCCCATAATTCTTGAATATTGTAAGTCTAAGTAATAAATAGGTTGTTGTGAAACTTGCCTCTGAAAAATCATATTTAACCCAACAAAAAAAGCGAAAACTCTTGCCTACCTAATCTATTTCTTTTATCAATTATGTATTTCCTTTAAAAATTTACACATCATTTATTAAGTAAATTGTTTATCCTCCATTTATGTTTATAGGTACATAGCAGTTAGAAAGAACCCAAATTAAGTTTTAGTTTACTTCATCCTCTATGGTTATAAGCTTAGATAATCTTCCTCTAAATATCCCCAGATAGTATTTGTGACTGACCTAAATTTATTTATAATTAATTTACAATTCCTGTACCACCAATTATGATTTGAAATGTATTGAATATAGGTATTTCATCTTAAATGTCATAATAATTGTTTGATTCTGAAGTTTAGAATTTTATAAATTGGGATCCAATAGTTATCATGCTTAAATACCACTTCCCTTCATAAATCTTAGAATCAAATTTGTATTCATAAACTTTTTCTTATAATTAAGTATTTATATGAAGACTGTGAATTACTTCATTTTTACCACTAATAAAATCAACATACATAAACATTATCAAAGATTGGTCGTTTTGCCCTGAATTTATCAAAAATAGAAGCTATTAATTTCTATTATCTTCAAACATCATTTCCTCAACTTGTGGATAGCCATCAACTTCCCAAGCTGGAATACAGAAACTCCAAAAAGCAAATGATTGGGTTGAACCTTACGAATAAATTATTGTTTTTTCTATTTAATTTTTTTTACTTAGCAAACTTTCTTCATAATCTGTATATTGACAACCCTAAACAATATATAGGATTGTAGCAATCATAAGTTTCACAATACTTCCAGAATATATATTCCTATCTATAATATAGAGCATAATTACTATTTTTATTTTTATTGCGTTTTTCGAAATCATATAATTTTAAATCATCCATTAAATCTTTATAAAAACTTGTTTTCTTTTAAACCAAATTTCTTTTGTTAAAGGGAACTTTAACATTAATAATTCAAAATCATTAAAATAATAAAAATTGAGCTTCTTTTTAATTTTTTTCTAAGTAAGAATATTACTTAAAAAGGATATCAATACTATTTGATTTTAAATATAATATAATTTTTATAAATTAGATTTCTTGAATAATACCTGTTTTTAAGTAAGCAAATATGTCCTTTAGATATATGGGTAATATAAACCATTATAAAATAGATGTTTGAATAGGAGAACTCTTTATTATTAATAATAGAAGATTTAAAATTTGATATATTAAAACATGCATTTATGTATTTTATTATCAATGAGATATACCATAATATGTGGAAACTTAATCAAATAACAATTAAGTTTGAAATCGAATTCAAAATAGTAAAATTGAGAATATAAAAAATATTATAGAAATTTCAGTTTATTAAAATTATTCTAAACTAAAATAGTTAGATAAGTAACAATATAAATTTATTTAATAATACAAAAAGCTATTGATGAATAATCATTTTAATTTGATAAAATAATTAATTATTGAAACCATTTGAAATCGATATTGATATAACTCTATTCAACTTTCTCTAATTTCTTAGGATACAAAAACAATAACTTTTAATAATATTGATAAAAATAATTTGATTTATATATTTTAATCATCTTATAAGCTATATTAATAATTTATTAAAATAATTTATTTATATATTAAAGAAACTTCATATATAATATGTAATACTACATATAGATATAAATAATATTGTAAAGAATTTCTTCCTTAATATTCCTAATCAATTTAAAATATTATAAAACATATATTGATAATCTTCAATAATTGCATCATATTAGAGAAATTCTTATTATCAAAAGATCACTGCATTTCTTTCATATCATTCTTATAGTATTCAGCTCTATAGTTTGTATACTTCAAAAATTTCCAAAAATATAAGGATTTTGTTAGCCTTTATATGAGGAATTGTTCTATTGAACTATATACTTTATTTAAATTCTATAATATGTATAATATACATTCATAAATATTTCTAGGTTTTCAAGATTTTTATTGAAACTAAAACTGTTAAAGGTTAAAAATAATTCACCCAATAGCTTTTCATTGTTTATATATTGTGATTAGCAACTTAAATGTTACAATGTTTATATTTTTACTTAATAATTTGTGTATTTTTTAATTGCAATATCGTTGNATCTTCCTCTAAATATCCCCAGATAGTATTTGTGACTGACCTAAATTTATTTATAATTAATTTACAATTCCTGTACCACCAATTATGATTTGAAATGTATTGAATATAGGTATTTCATCTTAAATGTCATAATAATTGTTTGATTCTGAAGTTTAGAATTTTATAAATTGGGATCCAATAGTTATCATGCTTAAATACCACTTCCCTTCATAAATCTTAGAATCAAATTTGTATTCATAAACTTTTTCTTATAATTAAGTATTTATATGAAGACTGTGAATTACTTCATTTTTACCACTAATAAAATCAACATACATAAACATTATCAAAGATTGGTCGTTTTGCCCTGAATTTATCAAAAATAGAAGCTATTAATTTCTATTATCTTCAAACATCATTTCCTCAACTTGTGGATAGCCATCAACTTCCCAAGCTGGAATACAGAAACTCCAAAAAGCAAATGATTGGGTTGAACCTTACGAATAAATTATTGTTTTTTCTATTTAATTTTTTTTACTTAGCAAACTTTCTTCATAATCTGTATATTGACAACCCTAAACAATATATAGGATTGTAGCAATCATAAGTTTCACAATACTTCCAGAATATATATTCCTATCTATAATATAGAGCATAATTACTATTTTTATTTTTATTGCGTTTTTCGAAATCATATAATTTTAAATCATCCATTAAATCTTTATAAAAACTTGTTTTCTTTTAAACCAAATTTCTTTTGTTAAAGGGAACTTTAACATTAATAATTCAAAATCATTAAAATAATAAAAATTGAGCTTCTTTTTAATTTTTTTCTAAGTAAGAATATTACTTAAAAAGGATATCAATACTATTTGATTTTAAATATAATATAATTTTTATAAATTAGATTTCTTGAATAATACCTGTTTTTAAGTAAGCAAATATGTCCTTTAGATATATGGGTAATATAAACCATTATAAAATAGATGTTTGAATAGGAGAACTCTTTATTATTAATAATAGAAGATTTAAAATTTGATATATTAAAACATGCATTTATGTATTTTATTATCAATGAGATATACCATAATATGTGGAAACTTAATCAAATAACAATTAAGTTTGAAATCGAATTCAAAATAGTAAAATTGAGAATATAAAAAATATTATAGAAATTTCAGTTTATTAAAATTATTCTAAACTAAAATAGTTAGATAAGTAACAATATAAATTTATTTAATAATACAAAAAGCTATTGATGAATAATCATTTTAATTTGATAAAATAATTAATTATTGAAACCATTTGAAATCGATATTGATATAACTCTATTCAACTTTCTCTAATTTCTTAGGATACAAAAACAATAACTTTTAATAATATTGATAAAAATAATTTGATTTATATATTTTAATCATCTTATAAGCTATATTAATAATTTATTAAAATAATTTATTTATATATTAAAGAAACTTCATATATAATATGTAATACTACATATAGATATAAATAATATTGTAAAGAATTTCTTCCTTAATATTCCTAATCAATTTAAAATATTATAAAACATATATTGATAATCTTCAATAATTGCATCATATTAGAGAAATTCTTATTATCAAAAGATCACTGCATTTCTTTCATATCATTCTTATAGTATTCAGCTCTATAGTTTGTATACTTCAAAAATTTCCAAAAATATAAGGATTTTGTTAGCCTTTATATGAGGAATTGTTCTATTGAACTATATACTTTATTTAAATTCTATAATATGTATAATATACATTCATAAATATTTCTAGGTTTTCAAGATTTTTATTGAAACTAAAACTGTTAAAGGTTAAAAATAATTCACCCAATAGCTTTTCATTGTTTATATATTGTGATTAGCAACTTAAATGTTACAATGTTTATATTTTTACTTAATAATTTGTGTATTTTTTAATTGCAATATCGTTGAAAATTTATAAAAGTGCAATAATAATTTAACTTGTTAATGTCACTAAAAGGTTTACTGATTTATTAACTATAGGGAATTTGATAAATAAATTAGGAATAGAATTTTATAAATAAAGTTATGAATAAAACTATAACAACTATTAACTGCTTAATATACATATAAGATTTATCCATTAATGAAACAGTTACTAAAAAAAAGTAACAAATAAATTTTAATTAAGGTTTTTGATCGTTAAAAATATAATAAAAATAACAATTATAATATCACAATAGTGCTGCTATTCTTATATGATGTGTATATTTTAATTTCCTTAGTGAAAATTAGTGAATAATATCCATAATTATACCCTTATCTTTTACTTAAAACCCAAATATTTTTAATAGATACCACAATTATGCCCAATAAATATTTTATTTTCTTTTCCTGATTTTACATTCCAAATAGTTAATAGAGCACAACACTATGTGCTTCATCGCATGGAAAATAGAATTTCAATATGATATTTTTTATTTTATTTTTTTTCTTCCATTATTTTTATTTTCTCTTGATATATTAACCAATACTCTAAAATTATAATTTAGCATCTTATCTCCTTATTGAGTATTATGCTTTTAGAGTATTTCCATTTAATTTGATAATCTTTTAGTAACAGTATTATATTAAGATGTTTTCTCTTTGAAATTAATATTGCATTTTTCATCATAGTAAATTAATCTTAGCATTGGAAGTAAAGCCAAGAAAAGGAAATAAAATAATTAAGTGTTCATATTGTGATATCTATCTGTGTCATCCCTTATTCTTGAATATATTCATGGATAGAATATTAGAGAGAGTAATATATTTCATAAAGAGATACTTCTCTGAATCTTCTGATGTTAATCAGAAGGGGAATAGAGAATATTATTGAAAGACTTAATATGCCATTCATTCAGCATATTTGACTCTTATTTTGTATCACAGTTGCTTTCATCATGAATAAATAATTATTAAAAACATTAATAATTAAATTTATCATCCGTTGATTTAAATAACAAAATATTCAGTTTTATGTTTTTAAAAAATAAATGAATTTGAAATAAAAGTATTTTATTAATATTAAAAATAATGAATTCTAAAAAATCTAAATTGAGAATTTAATAATTATCTAAGAGATTATTATTTCTTCTATTTCTAGTATTTAATTGAATACTAAGACTTACCTCAGAAAATTGAGAGTATTTGAAAGATAAATTGTTTATAAGATAAATACAAATAAAATTCATTACAAAAAAGCAAAATAATTAAGAAGTTGAATAACATTTGCATAAACCTAAAAAGTAATGAAATGTATTAATATTAATATAAATTTAAAACTTAGATATCATGATAATAAAAATTTGAATTCTGGTCTTCAGAAGAATAGTAGACCTATATCTACTTAGGGTTAAACAACGAGATCTAAAAGCCTTTGTCTGGTCATTGAATGGTCCTATGTTGCTCAAGATCTTACTCTCCTTTTGAAGAACTTATTAATGACCACAGATTGTACTAATATGTGAAATTCCATAGGGAATTTGGTCTTAGTGAATAAAATAAAGGAGAATAGATGAATATAATATTCAGTTTCCTAATGTTGTATCATAAATAATAGGATACTAAATCTAGTATTAAACTTAATACAATAGTGTCCATGTTGTCTGTTGTAGGAGTATAATTGGATATCTCTGAATTATGTATGTAAGTACTTTCAGTGAACCCAATATATATTAATCATAATCTTGACATGGCAATACAGAAAATTCAGGAGAATAAGTCAAGTTTATGACTTTCCTAAAGAGAGTATTTGTTAATAAAAATGTTTTATTCTCTAGTTTATCTCTAGAATTGTATTAAACAAGCAAATTGAATGGAGTCATCACTGTTATGGAGTGGAATAATAATGTTGCTTTAGTTACTATGGAAAGAGATGTAATTAATTCCTTAAGAAGACTGGATGATGTCTAACTTGATTCATATTTAGTAAACTAGACTAATTGGATCTGGAAATTTCAAAAATTCTTTGGAAGTTAACTTATTAATTCCTATGAATGTTAACCATCCAATACTATCTGAAAAACGGCTAAGGTTTATTTATAAATTAAAATGTGGTAACCAATAATCAAACTTAACAAATTATAACATAAGTTGTTTAGGAGTAAAATGATGTGAGAATTGCCTCAATCAATTGTTATCTACCAATTGACATCCAATCATGGCTTATAGAAAATTGAACAATAGACATAAAGATAGACATTGGGAGTCCCTCAGTAAGTACCATATAGTATTTCTAAGAGATAAGTGAGATTTCAAACATCGAGGTAACCTGGAGAAATGGGAAATGATGAGAGAGATATTAGAGTATAACACTAATAATGTGAAGAGGGATTATTTTCATAATGAATGGATTTACGAGATTATATAGTCTAAGGTAGAAGCTATAATATTAGGAAATCATATATATTGGAATGGTTGTCAATGGGATATTATAAAGATAGGATCTTTTGGCCTTATTATAATTGGGTTAGGATCACTGAGAGTCATTTGGACTTTACCCTAAGTAGTACTACAAACAACTCATGATATTGCTCTAATGAGAGTTGAGAGAATAAGTCATATTTTAAATACAATTTAATTTGATATAATATTTATTAGCCCTTATTTTTTAAACCTCCTAATCTTCACTTTTCAGTATTTTTTTACAATTAACAAAAAGAGCTACATCAAATTATAGCAACCTGTTTAAAGTTACAACTACTATAAATTTCAATAATAAACATTAAAGATTTATAATCCAATTAATGAATTTTAACATATATATATATTTATTTAAATAATACAATTTCATTTTTAGATTTAGATTTGTTTGTCCTTTAAAAAACTCACTCTTTAAAATATAGTTTGTTGAAATTCTAAATTGGCATTTTAAATTTAATTGTCTAATTTTTGAGATTATTGCTATTCATTTGATTTAATTTTACTCATTCTTTTTTCAATTAACTTAGTTATTTTCCTTTTGATTACATAGAATAAATTATATAGCTCGAAAATTAAAAAGGAAATTAAAACACTTACTAAAAGGAACATCTAAATCCAACTTATTGTAATTATAAAGTTATATGAAAGGTATCGTTATAATATATCCCAATTTAAGAAGGTTGATGCTGTAAATAATGTTAGGGATGTTTCCATGATTATATTTTTGATGTAGAATTGAAATTCTTCAGCGTTCTTCATATTGATAATATAAATTAAATAAAAAGTATTGACAAAAGTCATAAGCAAAGTTTAAAGTATTTATTCACGTTAGTAAAATACTAGAATTGATATAATAGAAATCTTTTTTATTAAAAGAAAAACAGGTTATTTTTATAACCAAAATTGATTTAAATCTTATTTTTTCAAAGGAGTTACTCCTGAAATTTAAGATAAGATTAAAGTTATAATTATGATTAGTATTACAAAAGTTATAGATAGACGAACATAAGATCTATAATAAGAGAAATCATGATCTGAATATAATTCAAGTAATGACATAAAAATAAGATCCCAACTACAAGCTAGCAAAGTATTTTTAATAAAACTAATATCTATTTTTTTAATCTATAAATTGAGTTTTCTTTACTATTTTTGTAAAAAACGAATGAATTTTGGGAATCCTTATAAACTTGAACTTAACTCCAAGATTGAGATGACTCTCTCTAATAAAATACTACATATATAACACAAAAGTAGAGTGAGAGAAACAAGAATTTCTGTTCTAAATCCTTCAGTAATATCTGCATTGACTTCATAATATTAAAATTTTTCATATGACTCTAGATAAGGAAATTAAAGTAATTTAGCTTTCTTATTTAAATCTGTAATGCTATTCAATAATGATTAGACTGATATCAATTCACTTGATTAAAAATATATAATTAAAGTTTAAGGGTATAAGACATTTATAAATTTTAAATATGATTATTATTAAAGGGCATCTAATATTCCCCAAAATGAGAGTACATTCCCTAAGAGAATTAGAATAATTGATATAGCATATATTGATTTAACAGATATTTCACTAATCATTTAAACAGTTTATGCAATATAAACTTATTAATCAGTTGTATAATTAGGTTAATTTAATTATAAATAATCAACCATATTTACTAAAGGAGCTAGATTAGCACTAAATAATTATTCTGTTAATTTCACTTTTAATATTGGATGATTAGGTAAATTTGTAAAGATTTCAATTTACACAATATATTCTACATCTGTTGTAACTTAATATTAAGCAGATTATATTTCCTTAATTGTAATTGCATAAAGTGTTTAATTTAAATCAATAATTGAAAGTTCTATTGTATTTTAATAATTGATATCTGAGAGCATTTAAACAGCCTAAGAGAATTTAATTTAAGCATATTAATATTAATTCTTCTGCATCATATATTCACACTTGAGATTTGGGTACTTAACGAATGTGCAATCATTACCTTAATTACAAATCCAATCAATTTCCACTTAACATATTTAAGAACATCCATCTCCACTTTCTTGATTCCCGTCATCACATTATTCTTCATTTGACATGATACCATCTCCACAAACATTAGTACATTTATTCTCAATAAGTTTAAATCCGAAATTGCAATTAGAGCATATTCCATTAATGCATTCTTCACAATTAAGAGGACATGAAAATTAACATAGATAACAACCATCAAATTCTTAAGTATTATTATCTTCACATTATTCATTACCAGCAATGATTGAATCTCCACATATTGTAGAACAGATATTATTAATAAGATAAAACCCTGGTAAACATTTATCTTGGCATATTCCTTATTCACATTTTATACATTCAATAGGGCAAGAATATTAGCAATAGAAACAACCATCAAATTCAATATTATTACCGTCATCACAATCTTCATGTTCTTAAACAATAAGATCTCCACATGTACTTATACATTAGTTATTAAATAATTTAAAATAGTTATTACATTAATAACAAATACCATCTTCACATTCCTCACAATAAAGATCACAAACACATTCTTCAAGTGTGTAAAGTGCTATTTAATTTCCACAAATGTTTTAACATTAACCTAAAATTAATAGTTATCCAGATTAACATTTATAACAAATATTATCAATACAAATCTAACATTAAGGTTAACATAAATTGACTTTCCCTATCTAAATACAATAATTATTTTCCAAAATAAAATCATTCTCACATACCTAACAAATACCTTAATTACAATTTAGGCAATGATCATTACATTTAATTTAACATCTATTGCAAAATGGTTATAATTAATATTCATCACATAATTCATAATAACTATTAATTTGATCAAAACAAATTTACTCACATTTATCATTAAATTAATTAAAAAAAAAGTCATTTTGACATAAAATACACTTTCCCAATAAACAAACCTAACAATTATCTATTGGAGGAAAACAATCAAATTAAGTTTATAGTTCTAAGATAGTTATTAAAGAATATTCTTAAATAATCTCTTTTTCACAAATTTATTCATATTCCAAATAAATCCAACCCTCATAACAACTTAAACATATCATATCTCTACATTCAGAACAACCATCAACACATGAAAACATACAGTTAAAGCAACCATCAAATGGAAACAAATTGCCGTCATCACATTCTTCTTATAATTCAACTACTTGATCACCACATAATGATTATTCTGAATATATATATATTATATATACTTATAAATATTTATATGTCTCTTATTCCAAAAGACTCATCTGAAAATGCTTAATCTAAAGTATTTAAAATTTTTATTCTGGCACTAGTAATAGAATGAGGAAATGTAAGTTCTATATTAACAAATACTTCTTTTTAAGTTGTTCCACAAATTCCATATAAATATTCATTTAATTATGATAGCTGCTAATCCAATATCAATTCACCATCAACTTTCAATTAAACGTAATCTGACACTTCCCAACTATCAATCTTTAAATACTTTAGCTTTATTTTCATTTATGAATGAGTGGGAATATTTATTAAATTCAAAGACAATACAGTATCTTTTCCACAAACTTCATACCCACATATAGTTGGAATCACTAATATGATATTTCTATATGTTACTGAAACATTATTATTTATTTACATCTCCATAACTAATAGTCCATCCATCTGTAATAAATAAAGTATAATCAATTTCAGTATAGGCAGTATGAGTTAATACCCATGATTTACAATCAAACTCAGAATCACTTTGAATACAAACCAAACATCCTGGAGGGCATAAGTAGAGAAATAGTTTAAAATTCTTAAATCCCCATGATTCCTTTATTTATAAATAATCATACATCCCAAGCACTATTATCCAAAGTACTAGTTAAGTATAGGTAGGTTGTCAATCCTGTATGATCAAACTCAAATTATATATTATGAATTTGATCTTTAGTATATGTTTACTATTATCCACAGATATGACCTGTACCTTATAAACCTGAATATGCGACATTATATACTAAGTTTTAATCAGCATATACTTAAAAGTACTCATTTAAGTCCCATGAATCGATTCTATGTTAGAAAAACTGCTTATTACATATAAAGGGTCATAGAAATTTTCATTCTATAATGAGGAGGTAATAGTAAGATCTTTGTAGCAGCTTATGATTATGCAAATCTTTCAAAACCTCCTATAATATATTCTGATCCACATTAGGTTATTATATTTGAAGGATTTATGTTTAGGAATCTCCAATCTATTTTAATGATGTTTATTACTATCAGTTTAAGTTAGAATTGTATCACTGAATGCTGAATAAAAGAGGGTTTATTAGTTGGTTATGCTTATTAATATACAAATCAAAAGCATTGATTAGAAGGTATTTAGTAAAACTTTTCTTAATTAATAAAAGTTGATAAAACCATTATAGATTAATCAATTTTCTTTTGTTGAAGAAAATTCTTAATAAATATTTTATTTAAAAAAAACAAAAATCATTCTTAAATAAATAACTAGAATGCAATTAATTTGATTGGTTATTCAAGTAAATAACTATTATGGAATCAAAAAACTTTTAAATAGTGAAATTTTAGGATGCAATTAATGAATAAACACAAATATATTGATTCATTTATTTCCTTTATGTCAAAAAAAATTCTTAACATTTAATTATTTAAGTTTTCTCTATTCAACAAGTCAATAAAACAAAAAATATTTTATTTTACAATTCCTATTACATAATTGTTTTTATATTTTAATTTCCAAATTTCAGATATCTTAATTTACAAATATTTCATAAATGATCTAAGTTTATATGTTATGTTTTTCAAAGATTTTGTTTAAAAAAACAAATCATTTATTACCTGAAATTACTTATAAAATCACAATCAATACTACTCTTATATAATAAGGTTTTGGAAAAAATGAATTTTAAATTCAAATTTTATTAAATATATTACNAGGGCAAGAATATTAGCAATAGAAACAACCATCAAATTCAATATTATTACCGTCATCACAATCTTCATGTTCTTAAACAATAAGATCTCCACATGTACTTATACATTAGTTATTAAATAATTTAAAATAGTTATTACATTAATAACAAATACCATCTTCACATTCCTCACAATAAAGATCACAAACACATTCTTCAAGTGTGTAAAGTGCTATTTAATTTCCACAAATGTTTTAACATTAACCTAAAATTAATAGTTATCCAGATTAACATTTATAACAAATATTATCAATACAAATCTAACATTAAGGTTAACATAAATTGACTTTCCCTATCTAAATACAATAATTATTTTCCAAAATAAAATCATTCTCACATACCTAACAAATACCTTAATTACAATTTAGGCAATGATCATTACATTTAATTTAACATCTATTGCAAAATGGTTATAATTAATATTCATCACATAATTCATAATAACTATTAATTTGATCAAAACAAATTTACTCACATTTATCATTAAATTAATTAAAAAAAAAGTCATTTTGACATAAAATACACTTTCCCAATAAACAAACCTAACAATTATCTATTGGAGGAAAACAATCAAATTAAGTTTATAGTTCTAAGATAGTTATTAAAGAATATTCTTAAATAATCTCTTTTTCACAAATTTATTCATATTCCAAATAAATCCAACCCTCATAACAACTTAAACATATCATATCTCTACATTCAGAACAACCATCAACACATGAAAACATACAGTTAAAGCAACCATCAAATGGAAACAAATTGCCGTCATCACATTCTTCTTATAATTCAACTACTTGATCACCACATAATGATTATTCTGAATATATATATATTATATATACTTATAAATATTTATATGTCTCTTATTCCAAAAGACTCATCTGAAAATGCTTAATCTAAAGTATTTAAAATTTTTATTCTGGCACTAGTAATAGAATGAGGAAATGTAAGTTCTATATTAACAAATACTTCTTTTTAAGTTGTTCCACAAATTCCATATAAATATTCATTTAATTATGATAGCTGCTAATCCAATATCAATTCACCATCAACTTTCAATTAAACGTAATCTGACACTTCCCAACTATCAATCTTTAAATACTTTAGCTTTATTTTCATTTATGAATGAGTGGGAATATTTATTAAATTCAAAGACAATACAGTATCTTTTCCACAAACTTCATACCCACATATAGTTGGAATCACTAATATGATATTTCTATATGTTACTGAAACATTATTATTTATTTACATCTCCATAACTAATAGTCCATCCATCTGTAATAAATAAAGTATAATCAATTTCAGTATAGGCAGTATGAGTTAATACCCATGATTTACAATCAAACTCAGAATCACTTTGAATACAAACCAAACATCCTGGAGGGCATAAGTAGAGAAATAGTTTAAAATTCTTAAATCCCCATGATTCCTTTATTTATAAATAATCATACATCCCAAGCACTATTATCCAAAGTACTAGTTAAGTATAGGTAGGTTGTCAATCCTGTATGATCAAACTCAAATTATATATTATGAATTTGATCTTTAGTATATGTTTACTATTATCCACAGATATGACCTGTACCTTATAAACCTGAATATGCGACATTATATACTAAGTTTTAATCAGCATATACTTAAAAGTACTCATTTAAGTCCCATGAATCGATTCTATGTTAGAAAAACTGCTTATTACATATAAAGGGTCATAGAAATTTTCATTCTATAATGAGGAGGTAATAGTAAGATCTTTGTAGCAGCTTATGATTATGCAAATCTTTCAAAACCTCCTATAATATATTCTGATCCACATTAGGTTATTATATTTGAAGGATTTATGTTTAGGAATCTCCAATCTATTTTAATGATGTTTATTACTATCAGTTTAAGTTAGAATTGTATCACTGAATGCTGAATAAAAGAGGGTTTATTAGTTGGTTATGCTTATTAATATACAAATCAAAAGCATTGATTAGAAGGTATTTAGTAAAACTTTTCTTAATTAATAAAAGTTGATAAAACCATTATAGATTAATCAATTTTCTTTTGTTGAAGAAAATTCTTAATAAATATTTTATTTAAAAAAAACAAAAATCATTCTTAAATAAATAACTAGAATGCAATTAATTTGATTGGTTATTCAAGTAAATAACTATTATGGAATCAAAAAACTTTTAAATAGTGAAATTTTAGGATGCAATTAATGAATAAACACAAATATATTGATTCATTTATTTCCTTTATGTCAAAAAAAATTCTTAACATTTAATTATTTAAGTTTTCTCTATTCAACAAGTCAATAAAACAAAAAATATTTTATTTTACAATTCCTATTACATAATTGTTTTTATATTTTAATTTCCAAATTTCAGATATCTTAATTTACAAATATTTCATAAATGATCTAAGTTTATATGTTATGTTTTTCAAAGATTTTGTTTAAAAAAACAAATCATTTATTACCTGAAATTACTTATAAAATCACAATCAATACTACTCTTATATAATAAGGTTTTGGAAAAAATGAATTTTAAATTCAAATTTTATTAAATATATTACAATAATTTGGCATTTATTTAAATTACTGAAGATGAAATTAAACTGTTATTATGATTATTTCAAATTTAGATTTTTTATGATAGTATTAAAATTATAGTAATATTAATTTGATTTCATTTATTTAATCATATTGTAAGATTATATTTAAATTAAAGATATTAATTTTTCATAATTGAAGGTAAATTTCATTTTGATTTAAAAATATATAATCATTATAGAAATCTAAAAATTTCAATAAATTGTAACTCTCATAGTGGCCATTTTAGATTAAATTGTTTATTGTGATGGAAGAATTTTATAAAATTTATTCATTCTTAATTTTGAATTTTTTCTAAAGTTATTTAAATCCTTTAGAAATACTAACAAACGATAAAGATCATGTTAATAATCTAATAATAATTTCTGTAAATATTTGAATATATAAAAGTTAAGTATTTATAAAACATTTAATTTACATTTAAAATTTTATTCTATACATTACTTTCATTTTAATATAAGCTCTAATATTTCACATTCTTCTAAGTCAGGTGTTGCCTACCCAAATAAATGAGTGCTTGTATTTTATATTTAGTATTAATCAATTTAATAAGCAGTTCCTAAAGCAGAGGAGCCACTTGTAAAATCGGATCCAATGTGGATATCATATCCATTACCAAATGATGGCCCATAAGATTAGTGTCTATATATTGCATTTGCTTTATTGGCTTCTTTTAAAGGGAAAAACTGATTATGAGTCTATGAAAATAGGAAAGATGATAATGTGTCATCTGATACATAACCATTTTATTTCTCTAACCATTAACAGGGAGTGTAAGCACCAAAAATATTTCCACTTTTGGATTTATAAATAATGAGTAAATTATACTTTCCATTAATTTTACTCCAACATTTAGTATGATTCATGCCATCTCTTGTTCCCAAGTAAATAAGAAAAGAACATAATATTTTCATTTTAGATTTTTCTTCTATCAATTTACAAACTTCCAAATAAAATTATGGAGTTATTAGTTTAGGTTAATCCCTTAATAGTTATTATAAAGATTTATGCTCTGATGATAACTGATTAATTTCTTGATTCTTTTAATTTAATTATNAATAATTTGGCATTTATTTAAATTACTGAAGATGAAATTAAACTGTTATTATGATTATTTCAAATTTAGATTTTTTATGATAGTATTAAAATTATAGTAATATTAATTTGATTTCATTTATTTAATCATATTGTAAGATTATATTTAAATTAAAGATATTAATTTTTCATAATTGAAGGTAAATTTCATTTTGATTTAAAAATATATAATCATTATAGAAATCTAAAAATTTCAATAAATTGTAACTCTCATAGTGGCCATTTTAGATTAAATTGTTTATTGTGATGGAAGAATTTTATAAAATTTATTCATTCTTAATTTTGAATTTTTTCTAAAGTTATTTAAATCCTTTAGAAATACTAACAAACGATAAAGATCATGTTAATAATCTAATAATAATTTCTGTAAATATTTGAATATATAAAAGTTAAGTATTTATAAAACATTTAATTTACATTTAAAATTTTATTCTATACATTACTTTCATTTTAATATAAGCTCTAATATTTCACATTCTTCTAAGTCAGGTGTTGCCTACCCAAATAAATGAGTGCTTGTATTTTATATTTAGTATTAATCAATTTAATAAGCAGTTCCTAAAGCAGAGGAGCCACTTGTAAAATCGGATCCAATGTGGATATCATATCCATTACCAAATGATGGCCCATAAGATTAGTGTCTATATATTGCATTTGCTTTATTGGCTTCTTTTAAAGGGAAAAACTGATTATGAGTCTATGAAAATAGGAAAGATGATAATGTGTCATCTGATACATAACCATTTTATTTCTCTAACCATTAACAGGGAGTGTAAGCACCAAAAATATTTCCACTTTTGGATTTATAAATAATGAGTAAATTATACTTTCCATTAATTTTACTCCAACATTTAGTATGATTCATGCCATCTCTTGTTCCCAAGTAAATAAGAAAAGAACATAATATTTTCATTTTAGATTTTTCTTCTATCAATTTACAAACTTCCAAATAAAATTATGGAGTTATTAGTTTAGGTTAATCCCTTAATAGTTATTATAAAGATTTATGCTCTGATGATAACTGATTAATTTCTTGATTCTTTTAATTTAATTATTTAGTAGATTCTTATTGAACTTTAGTTATTTATGATTTTAATTATTCAATTTGATTATTTAAAGATTAATTAGATTCATTTAATTGAGATTTATCTTGTTGATATTGTGTAATTTATAAATCTAATTATTCTATTTTAGAGTTAAGAGTTTCAATCTTTTGATTAGATTCATCCAATTAAGTCTAGATAACTTATTGTGATTACTTAATTTAATTACTTTCTTACTCTAAGGATGAGACTAGCTTTTAATTTTCTTCTGCCATAATTAATAACTTCATTTTTTTTGAATATTACAAAAAAGAATGATATTATTTTTATTATTATTCAGCATTAAATAATTAGGATAATTAACCTTTTTCTTGTAAATCATCAATTTCTTATTATAAATTCTTATAAAAATTACAAGAATCATCAAAGATTGAACAATATTATTCTAATAATAAAAATTTCTTAAAAAAAGATTACACATCTGAATTACTATCATATTAATTTTCTTAAATTATATCAGTAATACTGTATTATTCATATTAATCTTAATTTTGTATTCTCATTAAATTATTTTTAGTCAATAAATTATATTTCATAAGATTTTCCAAATGATTTTTTTAATTTTAATAAAATATTAAATCAACTTAATCTTATTCTTATTGTTCTAATTTTAATTTATAATTCTTATCTTTTTAACTCAAGAAATCTACAATTTTTAGTATTTCTTATTCATCTAATTCATATATATCTTCAACAACATTTGAATTATTATTTTATGTATTTTAATTCATATTTCTTTAACGTTCTAATTATTAGATGATATCTGTTAATGTTTAATTATAGATTTCTTTTAATTGTTGAATAGATTTGATAGAAGAATTAAATTTAGAATATCTACTATTATTGTATTTAGAAATCATTAATTTTTATTATCCTTATAATTCTTTCCATTTTGTATTTGCATCTTCTACTGTGATATATTCTCTTTTTGGAAATTATTAAATACACTTCTCACAAGCTAATCCACTTTGATCTTATTCATTTTAACTTAAATTAATCATCATAATTTTTTTACCATGTTGATTACATACATATTTTAATGTTGGTGTTTCCTAATAATAATATTATAATGAGATTTATTACATGTTTATCAAATCTTCTCTTAGGTGTATTTTATCCAATCTAAAATTAAGATTTTATTTATTAAATTGATTCAAATATCTAAGAAAATTATTTTATATTTGAAATCATACTAAGTTCACTTTGTATTTTATCTAACATCTATACAAATTCTTCTAAATTTTATTCTTATTTTATAGATTCACAATTAGAATTTCCTTTATAAATTAATGATAATGTTTCAATATCTTTATCTAAGTTCAATTCATCAAAACTAGTTTTCTTTTATTCTATATGTTGTTCATTTGAATTGATATTTTCATTAATTTTATATTATAATTTATCAAATACTTGAGTAAAGTGTTCATTGATCTTTAATACAGAGCTTTGAAGATTCTATATACTATTCAATGTTTCTTGATTTTTTTTCTCTACTTCATCTTTACATTAATTTTTCATCTCTTTAATCATCTCAATAGCTTCACTTAATAAAACAATATTATTTCCTTAAATCCTTTCAATTAAACACTTAACACATAAATATTTTTATTTTTATTCTCTTGCTGCTTATAAATCAACAGCAAGTATCTCAAATTGATGAGTTTAACAAATCTTGTTTACATTCTCAATAATTGACATTTTTCTAGAACAATTAAATTAAATATTCTTAATTCCCTTAATATCAAAATATTAAGAAAAATAATAGAATTAAGTCAAATATAATTTAATTATTTGATTTATTTAAAAAAATGAGAATAAAGATTGGAAGGATATTATATTTCAATTGATTATAGAATTTTTTGATCTTTATTAATTGTTATTTTATATATATATTTAATTATATAAATAACAGTTTTTTATATTAAATAGGAAATGAAACAGTTTAGATTTTGATAAATTATAAATAATTTAATTAGTATTTGATTGTTCTATTAATTTAGATTTCTCTCATATTATAATTGCATAATATATTAGAAATATTATTAATATTATGTTAAAAATGATAATATATTTTTTGATTTGTTGATTTAATAAATTGTTAATTGTTTATTCCCTTTGAAATAATATATTAATTAAATATTATCCAAATAAATTATTTAGAATAGATAACAGACATTCTTTGATTATGAAATAAAGATGTTATATTTGATTAATAATGATGCTTGATTAGTTAATACGTTTATTAAATTTCTTTTTATAGTAGTAAATTAATAATAATTAGTCATTAAATCATTATTTTTTATTTATTATGTATGAATCAATAAATCTCTCCACTTAGGATTTTCATAAATTATAAACTAACTTAAAGTCAATATGGTTGCCAAAGAAAGAAAAGGAAGCAGAAATTATAGTTTATAATTTGATTAACATAAAATTAGAAGTTCAATCTTTAATGAGAGAAATCACAGAGAAAGTAAATGAAACTTTAATAGTTATTGATGATATGATTTAATTAACATAAAGTGAAATGTATTCTATAAAGAAGAATATAAAAGAGATTTAAATAAAAGAACTTAAAAGTTTGAATGAATTAAAACAGTCTATAAATATAATATTATGTCAGTAAATTACAAGATAAGTTTAATAGTTAAACAATTTGTAAACGATTTGGAGAATTAATATATTGGAAAAATTGGAAAGAAAATTGAAATAAATAAAAGAGGGTGATTCTAAATGTGGTTTTGATTAATATTTTAATTTATCATTGAAACAAGAAAATAATAACATTTGGATATGCAATAAACATTTTGAGTAGATTTATTATGTGAATTTATAAGAAAATGTAAATACTCAAAATAGATTAGCTTGTAAGAAATGTATACAATCAAATCAGGAATTTAAGAAATTAGAGGAATTATAATTATTATGGGAATAAAATGTTTAATTAACTTTAGGGAAGTTTAATCATCATTAAAATATATTAATTATTTATTGGAATAAAATATTAGAATAAGTTCAAAGATTCAATAAAATTATTTATACATCATCAAATTTGAAAAATGATATACTATAATAATAGTATTAATTAATGTTAAAGGATTGGCTATCATTATCAAAAGAAGAATTAAATGATATTGCTTGTAATTTAAATTAATAATATAATTAATTGATTTTCTCTTCAATTGAGAAGGAATCATTAATTAAAGAAAATTAATTACTTAAATTAATAAATCAATTCAAATTATTTTTAGATCATTTAGATCTTTCAAAAGAAATTAATAAAATAGATTCCAATAAAAATATCATTATTAATCAATATTGTTAATAAAAAATATAATAGATTTAATCAATTGAACCTGTTAAATTTAAATTTGAATTAATTAATCGTATAAAACAAGATAGATGTTTTTCCTTTGCTTTTTTTATAGATTCTTCAGTTATGGTAGTTGGATAAAATAGTATGATTAAAGTATTTGAATTTAAGGATGGAAATCTAAAAGAAACATAATAATTAACTGAACATAAGGATTATGTGAGATGTTTATATTTTATGAAGAAGACATTATAATTTGTATCTGGTTGCAATGATAATTTAATCATGATTTGGTCATGGGATGATAAAAGACATTGGTATTGTGAATAAAAGTTAGAAGGACATACAGATTATATTAGAGGAGGGTTAATAATGAATAATAAAGAAGATTTAATTATATCAGGTAGTGATGATAGTACAATTAGGTTTTGGACTAAAAAAAATAATAATTAATGGATTCTTTATTAAACATTAAATGGTCATACAAAAGAAGTAAAGAGTATAAGTCTTAATGATTCATAGAATTAATTAATTTCATGCTCTTTTTCGAATGAAGTTCTTGTTACTGAATTTAAAAATAATGAAAAATTGTGGATTACAATATAAAAAATATAAGTAGATAGGAATGGATATAGTTTATGTTATATTAGTGATACACTTTTTACATTTTAACCTCATGAATTGGAAATCATGTGTATCTATGAATTCGATTATAATAAAGAATAATTTATTAAAACTAAATAAGTAAAAATTAAGTCTGGTGATAATAGATGTGATTTCTTTCCTTAATAATTTAATAAAGAGAAATAAATACTTTTACATAAAAATGGAAGAACTATAAATATTATTAAAACTATTGATAGTCGTGAATTTATTCCTGTTTAATATATAGAAAATAGTGATAATTATTTGTATGGTGCATTAACTAATGATGCTTAATATTTAGTAACATGGGACAATTAAGAGAAAGAAATCAAAATAAGAAAGTATAAAGAATGAATATTAAGTTGTTTCCTTTCTTTTAAATTTAAACTAAAATTGTTAAAAATATAGGATATTATAATTAAAATATATATAACCAAATTCTCTGTTACTATTGATAATGAAAAATATAAAAAATATTAACTTTGTTATTATTACAATCTGAATATCACAACCTATTTGATATACTAAAATATTCTGGATAACGTAATAAAAATATTGATGAATATATTTTATGTTTATAGAAAAAGGGATTCTAATACTGACATGAGTAAATTATTAAATAATATATGATTTTTGATTTAAAATAGATAAATTGAGTAAGAAATTTACTTTCTATTTTAATTTCATAAATTTAGAAGGATAAATAATTAGGTTATGTACTTTAAAATTATATAATAATCTATAATCTAAATCTTTTTTTATTAAATGATTAAAATTTGTTCAAGAAATATGTTTAATATTTGATATTAATTATTTATACTTGAAAATCAAAAGTAATTAAATTTTAATCGCATTTATAAAAATAATTAAAGCATTTTTATTAAATTTAATCTATTTTTTATAATTTAAATTAAATTCATTACTATTAAAATTAATAACATTATGTGTAATCACACTATTTCTGTACTTTATATTCTTTTTATTAAAATCAAATATTAATTAACAGATATATTATATATAAATAATAATTCTAAAATAATATTATCTTTTATTATAATATTCTAAACTAACTTAATTTATTATTATTAAGTTAAATTTCTTATAATATTATTAGAATATAATTTTTGGTATAAATGGTATGTTTTTAAAATTATTTTTTTTTAAAGTATAAAGAAATAATTAAAAGATTAAAATTGATGATATGTGGAATGATGTAATGAATAATATTAAATAAATTATTGATTTTATATTCAGAATGTAACATTAACATTAATAAGTTATTTTCAATATGTAAATAAATAAAATGATCAAAATTCATTTAATCCTTTGTTGCTTAATAATCCTCTCCCATTAATGCTCAAATTTAAAGGATAATACTCTTTTCATAACATCTATTCCTAGCGAGATTATGAGGATTCCTTTGTCATAATTATTTATTTCTAGCAATTATGATTAGATCACTTTTTAACCTGTAGTTCCTTTTTTTACAATTGCAGCTCCATTATAAGAAGTAGAGAAGGTTATTATACACGGGCTAAAAGGGTAGACTATATCTATTAAAATGTTAAAATCCATAATCAGTAGTGAACCATAACATAAGATGGCAATTCTAATATATGATGATGGACTTTATTATTCTGAATATGACTTAAACTATTACTCTACTATTCCTAAATTAGAAGCTGTACATCCAAGTACAAGAAGAGCAAATTCAAAATGCTATGATGTTGCTTTGTTGACTACTATAGTTGTGACAGAATGCTCTGATAATGATGGAGATTACTTAAGTATTTTAAAAATTGAGTAATCATCTCCTACCTATATACCAATAGAGAAGCCACTAGATACTTTCAGAAAATTAGATATGATTGATTAATACCTTTTAAGAGGGACAATCGATAAATTGGAACTATATTAAGAAGAAAATGAAACATTAGTATTCTTAAATAATTTAGACCAAGCTGCAATGAGAATATTATTGAATAAAGTATCATTTGAATTAAAAATAAAAGAGTTTCAAACACATACAAATGGATGGATTAGTATATTGAATGAATCTGGAGAATTAATTATTTTATAGTATAAAGATGATTAATGGTAATTAATTTATGACATTGACACTAAGATATCAGATGTTTATTCATATGATTATAATGTCTATAAGAATACTTATATTATCCTTTCAAAAACATAATTATATTATAAAACAATCACTTAATAAATATTTACTGTAAATATTAATTCCAAACCTTCAGATAAGGTGTATTTACTAAGAAGTTCAATCCTTTTATTTCAGAACAAGACTCTATCCTTATACTCATAACAATTATATAAACTATATTCGAAAACTTTAGGTGATTCCAACTATACAATCAATTCAAATCCAAATTCTGATGGATTTTTAGTAATTGATGATGAATATTTTTATAGATATGCCACAAATAATGATTATTTATTACAATTTTCAGCAGATACCTTACCTGTGAATAAAGATTATAGATTGACTAAAATTTAGTAGAATAATAATTGCTAAGTTGAAATTTATTATACTGCTGTTGATATTGAATGGAAATATATTTACTTATCATAAATTCCTTAAGCCTTTATTGCAACTAGTGTGTTTTAGGATAATGTAGATGTCAAATTGAACCCCATATTTTAAGGATCTAACTTAAAGTATGAATTTCAATTTGATGATATACTAAATATCAAAGTTGAATAATTCAAAGGAATTGAAATATTAAATATAGGTGATATAGAGGATGTTATATATAGGAAATCATTATCAAATTTATATAATCCATATATCTAAATTATTTAATAACATAGTGATCAATAAATAAGTGGATTCTCTTGTGAGATTATATCAAATCTGTAATTAAATTGTTAATCCATTTTTGCTAAAAGACAATTCGATTAATTGTAAGATTCTGATAAATAACTTTGGTGGTTTAATTAAGATTCTATATTCTTAGCAATATTATAAGAATAAATCATGACCATTTATTGTGTTTACTATAAGGAGAATTAATTTGATATATTGACAATTGTTAATTTAGGTGGCAATGTCAAATCAATAGCAACTGATGGCATTCACTTATATGTTTCAATGGAATAATCAATATTAGTATATTAAGTATCTGTTGAAAACAAAGCAATATTGATTTCTTATTAAAATATGATTGGAGATATATATGCATCTCCAGTTTAAAAGAATATTTTATTTGTAGAATTTGATGGAGAATTGAAGATCATCTCATTTGAATATGAAAAGTTGAATGTAATATGGTACACATAAGTTAACACAAATTATGATTAAAAGAATTTAATAATATTTAGAAATCATTTTACAAGAATTATAAAAACAAAAGATTAAGAAGAATATATAGCATCAGTATATTATTATAAGAATTTAAATAATATCTATATGGAGAAAACAATTAAAATAAGTAATTATTCTGCTTTAAAATTATCATAAATATAAGTTAATATTTAATAAAACTTATTTTATATTGTTGGTTAATAAACTGAATAATAAAAACTTCTTATATATAAAGTTGATGAGACAATTATAAATTCTATGTTTTTAAGTATATAATATACATCAACAGCTTAATTTTCAATTGCCAATCAATTTTGTTTTATCACTGATTAAAGTGCAAATAAATAAGTGTAATAAAATTACTATATTACAGGAGATAATATTGTTTAATCAAATATGAAAGAGAATTATTAATAAGTTTAATACTCTAAATATATCATGTTACCTGTTTAAATTAAGAGTGATACATAAATTATTTCAACCTAATTAGTTCCAGCACTTATTGTGAATAGAGGTGTATCAATCTTTTAAACAAAGAATTAATTTAATTTGACTTATAAAGCAGATGGTACTCAAAAACATTGTTTAGATATTGGTTAATAGTGGTATAGTGGTTAAGTATTTAATATAACTTAGAATGAAGGATAAGATAAAATTACATTTGTTTAAACATTATCAAAATAAGTTGAAACATTGGAATTTAGTCCTTATATTTAATAGTTGGATTCTGAAACTTTAGTTTAATTGATTGATAATACAATCATATTAGTAAAGAAGTCTGATTTTACTTAGACTTAATTTTTGTTGGATGAAAATTATAAAATAACTTAATTGTTATGTATTCAAAATCAATATTTATATGTTGAAACATAAAAAGGGGCATAAATTTATTTAAAAGTAATAGAGTGTAAGGATTCTAATTGTAAATTATTAGAAGATGAATTGCAATTTTCAACTAGTATTAATAAGGTTTATTTACATAAAAATAATTTCATCATTTATTCAAAACCCATTATATATTTATTTGACACAAAAGGTGATCCCATTAAATTATCAGGCTTTGAATAATTCAATAAATTTACAATATTTTCATAACCATTTTTTGTTGAATTCTAACATTTACATGATGATATATATTAAGCTATATCTGTTGATGTGAGAGGGAATGTATATTTTAATAATATAGAGTTTTCTAGAACATCTAGTGATAATTAAATATTCACTTAAGATGTTGTTAGTTTATTAAAGTCAAATTAATTATATGTTAATGGAAATTCAGTATGTGTTGGAATGCTTTTAAGAAATGATGAAATAATTATCATTTACAATAATATAGCTACATATTCATTTAAATTTGAATTTAATTGTACTAATAAGAAATTATGTGATCTCAAATATTTTATATTAAATGGTGTTTATTAATAATATGGAGGATGGATAATGTTTAATATATATCCTATTATATATTCAAATGAGAATATACTATCTATGGTATATTGGGCATAAACTCATTATGAATTACTCTTATTTGATCTTGAAAGTACAAGTACTAAAGAGTAACCTAAATCAGCTATTGCTCATTTGATAGCTCCAATTAGTGAAGAGGATCCAGGTGAAATGTATTAAATTTAGTCATTTGTTTATAATTACAATGGATAATTACACTTATTGGCATCTGTAAATGACCCAACTAAATTACAACATTATACATTGAAGAGATCTCCATAAGTTTGTACTTCTACATAATAGACTAATGAAATTATCAAATTAAGTTTAAGTAATACAATTTCAAATGTTAATTGCACTTTGAATATCACTATAATAGAAGATAATCCAAAACCACCTTAACCTCCAGATGATGATGATAAAAAGAGTTTCCCAATGTGGATCATAATCTTAATTGTGTTAGGTATATTAATTATAGGTTTTGTTATATTTATTTCTTGTAAAAAGAAGAGCAAGAATTAGGTTGATGATTAGAAACTGTTATTGACTCCATGATTTTTTTTACATAATTTAAAGAATTGATATAAATAATATATAATTGATATCTACTTTTTGAATAACATGAATAAATGATGAACCATCATTAATATAAGATAAAATAGTTATTTTTATATAGAAAATATAAATTATTTATAATTTTACAGGTCCATTTAAAATGAATGTATATAATTGTAAAGTTATTAATTAATTTAAAAGAAATATGATTGATACTCATTTACGATGTTTATTTGATGGTCATGAATATAGTCCAATCTTGGGATGTTGTAGATGTTTAACTTGTAAAAATTTAAAACCTTATTGTCAATATTGTGTAATAGACTTTCATGCTGAACATTTAAAACAATTATAACCATGGTCTAAGATTTCTGAATGGGTTTAATAAAAGATTCTCTCTTATAAGAATATTACAAAATAAATGAGAGAAATAAAAATATTATCATAAAATCTAGATGATTTGATATATCCCTTATATATAAATTAAGATATCAATTTAACATATGTTAATTTAACTAATTTGAATTTATTAATCATGAAATTAATGAAAATAGATATGATTGAATTGTAAATATTACCAAAATTAAATGATTTAATGCCATCAATAGAACTATTGATTAAATAAATTAAAACATTTGATTCTATGATACTTTAAGATAATCATTTATAAACTTTTATTGCTTTATTTGAGTAATAAGAAATTAAAAAAGCATAAGAAAGTATACCATAAGAAATAAATTCTAATAATAAAACATAATAAAAATTAGAATTTAGAAATACAATTGAAAAATTGAAAATACATTTTACTAAACAAAATATAATTAAAAATAAAAAAATTAAAGTAGAAAATAATGGAAAAACTATTAAAAGTGGACCTGATTGTTCTGGTTTGATAATATGTGAACCTGAAATTCCAACTGATATAATATCTAAGTTTGTATTTTAAATCTAAAAACATAAATGGGTTTGTATTGGAGTTTGTCATAAATCTATTATTTAGAAATAAAAAAATGATTTAAATCTAACCAAAATAGGACATGGGTAAATATTAATTATTATAAATAGAACTTATATGATAGAGAATTCTGGGTCTACCTATTCTCATCTTGACAAGGAAATCAATAATACAGAACATACATTTAGATTTTCAAATAATGATATCATTCTTATTGAAATATATATGAATGATAGAAAAATTATATGGAAAAAATACTAATCAAATCAAATATTATGGGTAAATAATTATTTTGATTATAGAAAATGAACTTAGATACTACTTTAGATTTGTATCCATGTGTTCATATATTTAATTCAAAAGTAGCAATCATAGATGAATACTGATTTTTTATTTTAAATCATTTATATATCTATATATATGATTATTATATAAAACCATTTGTATATATATTTGAATCGTAATCATTATTATAGTTCAAATATTTCACATTCTACTATTTAAGGTTATTGACTTCCAAAAAATTAATTTGGATTAAAATTTTATTATTCAACATTATATGTCTATCCCAATTTACATTGACCTTATTAAAAATTTGGACCAATTTAAATATCAAAACCACTTCCAAATGTAGGACCATAACCAATTGAACAATAAATGGCATACTTTTTTCTCTATTCCTTAAGTGGGTAAAGATATATTTATTAATCTTTATAAGAGAAAATAAATGATGAACATGTAATATCTTCAACATAAGAATTTATATTTGATTCCCATTTACATGGTGAATATGATCCAAATACTACATCTTTTTTGGTTTTAAATATCATCAATAAATTTGATTTGCCATTAATTTTATTCCAAAATGAATTTTAATTAAAACCATCCTTTGTACCTTAAAATATTAATTTAGCTTAGTTGATGATCATCTTTGGATTTTTATCTGTAATTATTTTAATCAAATCTTAGAAATATTCTTCTGATACAACAGTTGATTTGGATCCTTCTAAGAATCCTAACATATAAGTTCTTTTAATTTTAGAAAATAAATTCTAGTATTATAGTAAACATTAATCTATTTATATTTTTAAATTATCAATTTGATAATTATTCTTTAATTATTCTTACAATTTATTTTTATATTAAGATAATATTTCATCTAAATAACCATTCAATCCATTAGTATCACCTTAATTAATTTCATTTAAATGTTATGATAATTTCTATTCTATCTATTTGTAAATATCTATTTGACCATCTTATTATGAATTACCTAATTCTTCCAACAATTTTACAAATTGAGGATATTTAATTTTCTAATTATAAATTATATATGAATACTTAAATCAAGTCATTTTTTATATTTATTCTCGTTTCAATTATTAAATCAACTTACATTTTTGCTCTTGCTATAACTTAATCAATCAAAATTTAAAGTTGTCTTAAGGATGATTCAAAATTTTCAAGTTCTTATTTCAATTCATCTCCTGTTAAATTTCCTAGATTTTAGAACAAGTTACTAAACTTATCCTAAGCTGTTAATTTTTAAATTAAAGAATCTGGAGATGTTAATGCCTAAAATTAACTTAATGTGAATACTTTCTAAATTGATATGATCTATCCAAAATCAACCTTATTTGTATTGTCTTATAATTAATATATGCATTCACCACAAGCTAATTTAGCTTAACCTTAATTTAAGATAATAAATTAATGTGCAAATCCTTAATGAGATTAACAATATGTTTATTATTTCATATCTAAATTATAAATATTATTTATATTAAATTATTCATTCATTAGAAATTATATTTCTAATTGATTCATCTGAATAAATCTGATAATCATTTCAATTGTTAAGCAATCAAAATAACCCTTTAAATTGTTATCTTATATAGAAATTTTAATTTTATATTTGTATTATGTTTCATCTTAATATAAGATCTAATTAATTCATAATTTAATTTCATAAATTCCTTTTAATTATTTTAATAATATTCAATTAAACTTTAAATTAATGTGAAAATTTATTTTTTTATATCATTCTGTTATTCTGTTTATATTGTAATAATTTTATGATTTTTTTATCTATCTATACTAATACTTAAATTGAATCTTTATATATACATATAATGTTTTCAATAATCATTCAATTACTTTTTATGAATATTCTAAGGTTATTGAAAATACTATTGATTATTTCTATAAAATATGATTATCAACAATAGATAGATTAATAGGGATATTTACTTATTAATTAAATAATATAATTATATAGAGAATAATCTTATCCACTACAACATGAAAAATATTAGTATACACTAATTTTAACAAATCCATATAAATATTTAATATTCATTTGAGATTAGATCATCAATTTCTAAGTGCTATTAAATATTCATTATTCTAATTTTCACTTATAATATAATTATCATAATTACATGTATTAATGTATGATTAAATTTCTCAATATAGATTACATCTATTCCCTTAATAAATAAAGTAGAATACATCTCATAATATGAAGTTTTATCATTTATCTTAAGTAATGTAAAGAAATTCATCTAACCGAAAGGTAGAAATTTATTACTGTCTTAATAAATTTAAGTAACACTAGCTTTAAGTCTCCAAAACTCTTATGATTAAATAATACTCTAAAACTTAATATCTCAGAATCTTTCTTGAAATCCCTTGATTAGAGTTCCTTTATTCAATTTTTACCAAATTCAAATACTTCACCAAATAAAATATTTTTAATATGAATTTTAGTTAAGTGAAAAATAAGAATGAAGCCTATTCTTAACTTTTCTTTATGATATTTGTATTTCTATTGTGTTATATTATTCTTTCACCAACATTAGTATTTAAGTGTGCTTAATATACATTGAATAAATTATTATTTTGTTTCATAAACCAGAATACTCCCCAGCACACTAATCCTGATTATTTTTTATAATACAATTTGCTGATCTTTATAAAATCAAATTTTAATTTTAGTTCCAATTGCCTTGATAAACAATCAATTAATCTTTCTAAACAGAGATATTTAGATATTTTAGAGATTAAGCAAATGTGTGATCCAAATACTAAATATGCTCCTATATTGGGAGAATAGTATAATCAATTAATGATAAATTAATACAAGAATATTCATATACTTCTTTTATTCTAATAATATATATATTAATTATATAAATTTCTTATTAAGTAACTTAAATATGGCCTAGATTGCATTTATTCTTTAAGTGATTCTTTTCTTAAAATTAAATACAAAAATCCATAGAAAATATAGAATTAAGCCTCTCTATTCATTTTTCAGATATTTTCAAATCCTTTTTTAAATTCTAAATTATACTATGCTTATGAAATTTAAAATGTACTTTATGTTTAATTTTAAGCGGATTTTTATAATAAATAATTACATTAATCATCTTATTATTAAATCCACACTTCATTTAATTAGGAACAAAATAAAATTATGTTTAAAATCATTATTTTATTTATTAATTCTAAAAATATTTCTAATATCTACAAATATATTTTTCTAAATCATGCGTAATACGATTTAAAACCTTCTAGCAATAAGCTAAAAATTAAAATAAATTTAAATCTAAAATTTAATGAAAAAAGATTCTTCCACCAAAAGACCATATGAAAAAGTCTCAAAAATAAAAAGACAGAACCTTGTTAAGCTAGTGTTCCATCAAGGAATCAAAATAAAACATGTATTATTTAATTCTAAAAATAGGCTGCTAAACAGCTCAAAATAAATTATGCCGCTGCTAAGACTGTTATTAGTCAGCATAGATGCAATGTTATTTTACAGAATATACAATATAAGTCCAACCAAAGATGTGGATTTTAGAAAATAAATAATACTAACAGATCATTCAACTTAATATCCAAATTAGCTGGAGAAATCACAAAAGTTACTAACCATACGATATCTGAGTCTAAGAATATTTGAGATTAACAAATTATGTTTCAAAAATTCTTTTATTGACTATTGATTTCGATCGTCTTGTAAACAATATTTTTTAACATTAATTTATAAATAATAAGAATAATGTTCTCGAACTAATAAGTATCTTTTTAATTGCTATGTGAATAACAATGCAATAAAAAGACTTAATATGTTCAACAGAAATCATATAATTTCTTATCCTCCTCAATCTACAGATTAATATTTTTGAAATTATTACTTTCAAATTAACATTAATATAACATCATATATAGTGTTTAAACTTCTTCCTTTAGAGTAATCTAAAATTCATCTTAAAATATTATTAATAAGAAAAAACAAGAATTGAAAAGAGCATTCTATTTTAAAGTAATAAATTAATTATATAAATTATTGTAAAACCCTAAAATTTTTTATAGTTAAGAAATACAATAAATTTTTATCAATTGTATAAATTGATGGGTAAATTATGAATTAATGAAGATTTCCAAATTTTTACTCAATCACATTTAGATAATAATAATTGATTAAGTCTGTTGTTGATTTGTAAAATATAAAAAATATTTAATTTTTTAATTCTGATTCTAATTACAAAATTATACAATTATGAGAAATTTATTCAATTCATAAAAAAATATAATTAGATTGCCATTCTATATAAATAATATACTACAAAAATAAATAAAAAAGTAAGATTTCATATATTACTAATTAAGATTTCTATTCTATAATAATATCTTATAAAATCGATATAGATCGACTTGAAATTTGTAAATTAATAATTATGATTCAATATTCATAATTATCAAATAGAATTCTTTATTTATAAAAAATAAGTAATAAAGAAGTTAATAGAAATTGATAAATACAAAAAAATAAAATAAATTAAAATAAATGGGTCCCTATCTTTCAACACCAAACACTTAAAAAGAAACATATAAAGGAGAAAATGATAAATTCATCTTCGCAGCTACTCATATGCAAGGTAATATCATTGCCTATTTAGATAAGGTTGGAGAAACTCTATGGAGGATGCTCACATTTCAAAATTGGATATCGAGCCAGGAGTTTCTTTATTTGCTGTATTTGATGGTCATGGAGGTAAAGAAGTAGCCATTTTTGCTGAAAATCATTTTCAAGAAGAATTATTGAAAAATTAGAATTATAAAAACAAAAACTATAAGCAAGCATTAATTGATACATTCATGTAAATTGATGAATTATTGCTTCGACCAGAAGGCTAAGAAGAATTAATAAAAATCAAAGGGAATAATGATGGTATCATTTAAAAAATCAATTTTAATAGAATTATAAGCAGGAGCAACAGCAAATGTTGCTTTAATAGTTGATAAAACTATTTATTTAGCTAATGCTGGAGATTCAAGAGCCATGCTTTGTAGAAACTTTGCTCCTTTAGATTTGAGCAAAGACCATAAACCAGATGATGAAAAGGAAAAAAAAAGAATTGAGGCAGCTGATGGTTTTGTGTAGAATGGAAGAACAAATGGTAAAAATTTAAGATAAGAAAAGGAAATTTATCTTTGAGTAGAGCCATTGGTGATTTAGAATATAAAAAGGATGAAAGATTTAGAAAAAATGAATAAATAATTATAGCAGAACCAGATGTTAAAATAGAAGAAATTCAGGCAAGTGACAAGTAATTATTGTATTACTATTTTATAGATTTTTATTAATGGGATGTGATGGAGTCTTTGAAATTTGGAATCATCAATAAATAATAGATTATGTTAATTCAAAACTTAAGTAAGTAGTGACGTAAGAAGATATTCAAATTGCAGCAGAAGGATTACTTGATTCTATTATAGCAAAGGATACTTCAAGTATTAATAATAATTATTATCAAAGATGGCACTGGATGCGATAATATGACATGCATCATAGTATATTTTAAATGATGAAGATATATAATAAGATGCTATTAAATATCCTTATATTTTATTCTATTTTTTTGATACTCAATTTTATTATGTTGTTCTAGGAGCTCCTCTAATTTTTTATGTTTATGTTGCAGGTCTTTCATTGTTTGTTTCGTTTTATGGATTATTGTTCTTTCTTCTATCTTCTCTATTATTATCTCTATCACCTCTTCTGTTTTTATAGTTATCTCTATCATCTCTTCTGTCATTTGTTCTGTTGTCTCTATCATCTCTTCTGTTGTCTCTATCCTCTCTTCTGTTTTCTCTGTCATCTCTTCTATTGTCTCTATTATCTCTTCTATCTCTATTATCTCTTCTATCTCTATTATCTCTATTATCTCTGTTGTCTCTATTGTCTCTTCTATCTCTATAATCTCTGTTATCTCTTCTGTCTCTATTATCTCTATTATCTCTATTGTCTCTATTATCTCTATTATCTCTGTTATCTCTTCTGTCTCTGTTATTTCTCTAACTATCATTTCTTGGTCTTCTGCTTCCACTTCTTTATCTATCATTTCTTTCTCTAGTTGGTTGGACTTGGTCGGCAGGTAAGGGTTCCTAATATTAAAACAATATATTTACAAGGAATCCTGGCTCTTTTCTGTCTTATTCAGTTGGTGTCTTGGTTAATTTGATTTGGAGGGAAGCCAAATTTTTAGTTAATTTGACTTTCACTAATCCTTCTTCCAATGGTTCATATTCTTCATTGATCTGAACAGCCTAGATTTTGTTTATTTAATATATTCCAGCAATTCTTTTTCTAACAACTTCAGCAATAATGACAGCTTTGGAGATAGCATTTTCAATAGCTGTAATGAAGATTGTATCTTGAACAGGAGGTTGATCTTCTTTACGAGTACCTTACAGAAGCCATAAAGCTTTTCTGACTTGATTTGATAATTAAGCTTTTGTAGCTACTCTAATCACGTTAAAATCAGGCTTTTAATCATCAACGACAATCCTCTCATACTTTCTTTTTGTGGCCATATTAAATATTATTACAAATCTTTTTTTTGAGTAGCAAAAAAAACTTATATAATATATATATTATCATTTTTCTAATCTCATTCCTTTGTACCACATAGAATCAACGACTCTGCCATCCTTATAAATGTATTTTCCTTTGCCATGACGCTCCCCATTCACCCATTCTCCAAAAAATAATTTACCATTATGGTATTCCACCCTTCCTTCTCCAACTTGTTTGTCTAATTCAAAACTAAACTTACATAATTTTCATTTTACTTTCCAATAAATATGTTTCCATCTGGACTTATTAAAGTTCCTCTTCCATGCTTCATACCATTCTTAAAAGACCCTTCATAACGAGTTCCATCAATATTAATTAATAAACCTTCTCCATCTATTTAATTATTAATAAAAGTTCCTTAATAATAGGATCCATTAGGAAATATCATCTTTCCAAATCCTTATTTCTTCCCCTCTAGAAATTAACCTTCATAATAGAGTCCATCAGGCCATTTTTATTTACCATTTCCATTTTATTTATCATTTTTCCAATTACCTTCATAAACAACACCGTCACAGTTCGTAAATATACCATGTCCATTAGCCTTATCATGCTTCCATTCTCCTTCATACACATCACCTTCGCAACTAATATATCTTCCAAAGCCATTACATTCATCATCCTTCCACTCTCCATCATAAATTGACCCTAATAAATCTTAACAATAATTAATTTACCATCTTTCCATATCAATTTCCCCCATCCTTCCCTCTTCTACTTATACAATTCTCCGATATAAATACTCTCTAATCATTCACTTAATATATACTGTCTGACAATGTTAACTAATAAACCTTTTTGGTAGGAGATCTATCACTTCCATTCAAAGATGAATCAGAAATATGGCTATTGTAAAATGATCCATTCCTATGTTCGATTTCTGTATTCTTATGCAAAAAATTGTCAATTATTTCCTTGTCTGCTTATAGATCTAACCATTTAACTCTTTTCCCTTCATTCCATTCACCATATCTATACTCACCAGAAGGAGCCTAGTACAATCCAATTCCGTGTTGTTTTCCTTATTTCCATTCTCCAATGTATTTCCTACCATCATTCCAAATAAATGTTCCTAATCCTTATTTTTTATCATCCATATAACTATTGTAATTCTATTTAATTACCCTCCTTCATATGATCTACCATCAGCCCAAGTTGTCTTACCTATGCCCCACATCTTATTATAGACCCATTCTCCTACATAGTTTCTACCGTCCATCCAATGATATTAACCATATCCATGTATGTCATCCATTTCAAATTCCCCTTCATAATAGGATCCATCTTAAAAAATCAACTTACCTTTCCCATTCTTTTTCCCTTCATAGTATTCTCCCTCATAAGAGGCTCCATCAATCCATGATTCCTTTCCGTAGATATGTTTTAAACTATTTTTCCAATATCCTAAGTAAGTAGCTCCTTATTAATAATGATATTCTCCATAACCATAAATTTCCCCTTCATACCAATATCCACAATAAATATCTCCATTCTAATATATTTTCTTTCCAAATCCATGCTACTTATTATTCTTCCACTGACCTTTAAAAACAGAACCTAATTTTGGTTAAATTCTTTTAATACCATCTTACAATTTAGCAATACCTAAACCATGCTTCATTTCATTGTGTATTTGTCCATCATATTCAATTCCATCTGAAATGATGCGTTAAAAGATTAAATTTGTTTGTATTAGTTATGTTATTTTTTCTGAAGTATAAATTTTCTCCAATTATTGATTAAGTAAATGTTCTAAGTCTTCTTATAGGATGGTTTTTGAACTATAAACAATTTAATTATTTTCAATAACACAGTCTATTATCTCACCATCAATTTTTATTACTTTTCCAACAATTCTATGATCTTCCCAAATTCCTTCAAAAATAATACCTTCTTTAGATTGGTTAAATTACCATTTGGATATATTTAAATTCCTTTGCCATGTCTTTAATTGTTTTACCATTCTCCTTAATATATGGAATCTAGTATATTCAGATATAAAATACACCATCTCCTAAGATTACTTTAGAGTAAATAGAATATTCAGATTCTTATTTAAAGGATTATGCTGATTGTTATTGTTAATAATTTTGAAATTCTTGTCTAGACATTAATGATAAATTAAATTATAACTATCAATTATAAATTCAATTTAATCTGGATGCTAATTCAATTATGTTGTCATTTTATCTGAGTTTTTCCAATTATTTAAAACCCCCTAATTTTTCGAATATTTATTTTGAATTCTCATTCATAAATAAATGAAGTACAGCTTACAAAGCCAAATAGATTGCTTTTGGATCATATATTTCTCTAAAGAAATCTACTAATAGATTTATTACACCATTATTAATTAAGTCTCCATAAAATGTAGGATCACAATTTATAATATAAGTAGAAACAAAATAGCCTAATTCCAATTTCATTTTAAGATCTGATTTCTCATATTACTCATAAATGTCTTAGAAGAGCACTCTCAATTCATTATGAAATGGTTGATGAGTAGCTAAATTAGAGAATGTGGAATAGACTTTGACCTAATGATTAGAGTTCTTAATTCGAATTAATTCATCCACTATAGGATAATCAAGTAATAACTATAAATTTATATGATAATACATACATCAAGTACTTCATTGGATGAATGAGATGAGAGATAGTTGATAAAGTTAATTGAATGATTAGGATGAGTAAACAATTTAAGACAAAGACCTCTATAAAAAGTTAAGAATTGTGCACAATATTCATCTGTAATCATATAACTTAATCCATTTACACTCTCAAATCTAATACAATAGAATATAAAATCTAAGATTTTTTGCAAATTCTCATTTCTAAAGTTATTGCAAAAGTTCTTGATTATAGAGGCTGCTAAATTCATAATGATTTCTGAATTCTATCTTTTCAAACGATGTAGGAATGCTTCATTAAAATTTGAATCTAGTAGAATTCGATCACAGGCTTATTCTTCAACTGTCATATTGAATATCAATTCAAAAACTCTATGAACTATGACTTCATATTTTGATTTAATAAGAAAGTTGATTTATTCTAAGAAATAACCATTCCCATAATCCAATAGATAATTAACACAATCATCTGCTAAAGTTAAGTTGATTAAAATCCATAGACTGTTGTTTGTTAACTCAACTGTATTTACATCATCTGCATATGTTTGGGAACAGTACTTAATCAATTCAGGTAAAATATTGTCTTATTTAGATAAGATAGTTACTTTTAATAGAGTTGTAGAAATCATTTATGTGTTCTTATATCTTCATTGTAGCCACCTTCATACTTAATATTTTAATTTGTGCGAGAACCTAAATGTAATTTATTTCGATGTACTAGGGTATTTCGTTCTGGAAATAACTTGTACTCCTCATATAATTATTCTAGTTATTTAGCAATATCTGAGATTGTTAATTCTGATTCAAATAATTAGTTTAACTCTTCAATTCAAAATAAATTAATTACTTTCATTAAATGGATTACTTTCATGATTGTAGTTATTATTTGTAACAATCCTTTTCTTTTTGAAGATTTCTTCTCTAGCTAATTTTTGAATTGAATTTCTAAAATACTCCCTCTTTAATTTAAGCATTAATTAATATAATGAATATTTCATTTAATGATTTGAAATTTCTACATTAAATAGGTTAAACACTTAATCTTGAAGAGAGGTATTCATTTTATTAAAAAAAAACAGAATGAGATTGTAATTAGCAATACTCAAAATATAAGAACATTATATTTTTGATGAAGTCTTATTTTGGGGTAGAGTTGAGGGAGTAGAGAAAGATTATTACATAGCACTTGGAATTCAATATAAAGGATAGTATGAATTTCCATTGAAGAAATTCTTTTGGAGGTATAAAACATCTATTTATGAATAAAGTTCCAATAATTATCATTTTGCTGAATTACCAAAATATAATGAAGAATTTGCCTAAAGAGCTGAAACTTTAAGAGAGCCCTTTACAGGATAGCATGAACATATAGTATTTAGAACAGATGAAGAAATTAATTTTGAAGACTCATTAGAAATTCCTGCGTAACTGCCAGCTAAAAATTTCTCAGAATTAGAGAGATTATCATATATAGTTTAATCTATTGAGTTTTAATGTGCTTCAATTCCAGTGGGATCATATAGATTAACACCAACTCATGAATTGATAAAGACAACATTTAAGGGTGTTACTGCAGAATTAAAAAATTATTAACATTTCAGATAACCAATAAGAAAAGATAAACAAGATCTTATAGGTTTACAATATATGATATCTTTAATAGCTCGAGATGAAGCATTATATAGACCTGATTTCTTAGATTCTTTAGTTGACGATACACCACATAATTAATGGTCTGTCTAGACTGATTCAACTAAAAGAAATGTATATGACAATTTAAATTGTAGATTACAATTAGAAATTTAATATGGCCAGGTTATTTAGGTTACAATAATGATTATACATTTGGATATGCTTATTTTGGAGATGGAATTAAAAATTCAGATTTTGAATTTTTATTATGATTTCCAACATATAATATATTTTGTTATGTGTATTATTATTATTATATAGGTCAATGTCCTAAACATTGATTGATTGCTTCTGAAGCATGTAAATTTACTTATTAAGCAACATAATCATAATAGGCTCTTGATCTGTGTGTGTAAAATCCATAGATTTAAGAACCTAATATCATAGATCCAACAAATCTAATATATTTATTATTAATACCTTGGTCCTGTTCTTAAGTATGTAAATCTTCTAAACACAAAGTATGATAAAATTGCTGTTCCAAATCCCAATTTAAATCCTGTACTCTCTTCTTATTATAAATCTAAGAAGGCAGTCTTAATATTTTGAACATCATGGATATCATATTAGAAATCTTTTTCTGCACTCATTATTAATAAATATATATATTAATATATATACTCTAAAATAAATATTTACTTTATAATTTATATGAGTCTTCAAAAACTATATATATATAATACTATCATAAATTGTAAATTATATATCATCATCTATTTTAAGTATGCTAAATGTTAAATTATGAGATTACCCAATCATTTAGTATAATGATGATACTATCTTCTCAAACTTCAACAAAGATTTTATCATATTAATAAATATATGATATACAAATATTAATTATAATAATAAATAGATAGAAACATTGTTTCACACTTAATCACAATAATGCTATTATATAAAATATAAGAAATGCTGAGTTTTAAACAGATTTTAGATGAACTTTCTATCCTTAATATTAGATCCTTATACTAAGTAATGCTCAATAAATGGTAAATTTAAACCTTGTTCAGTCTATTTTTTATTTTTAACATTATTACTTTAACACCTTACTCATTTTCAGAAGGCAATAAAGAAATGATATAATCATTAATAATTTTCTTAAAAGTTTCAAGAACCCTTTTACTTTTACATTGATCATTGTCATCAAAGTAAAATTTAATCGCTTTCTTATCATCAAATTTATTTGAGGCTTGTCTTATACTTGGACTAATTTATAAATATAACGCCATTCTTACCTTGGATTACGTATATTATTCTAAGTTTTAAGGATTTTCTCTATTTACATTAATAATCCACCAAAAGAAGGAGTGGATATCTAATCTAAAACATTTTTTGGTTTGGATAAAAACTTAGTTTCTTTATCACGATCCAAAAATATAAATAAATGATTTTCACAATTATCAGAAAGACTCATCAAATTGAAATCATTTTCTGTAAGATTGACTCCAATTATAATTGGAACTGGTGATTAAATCATAGTCAATAATTATTCAGGTAAATTATAAATGATTCCTTAGGTCCATTCTAATGGATGGACTAAGTGATGAAAAAAATGACTAATTAGTTATTAAATTTTGATACATGACAGATGTTAAGATGTTGCTTTTTTCACAGATAAAAATAATTGAGATTTCAGAAATCATAGCTAAGAATATAGTTAAGATTTCATTGTAATTTAAAATTTATAAAGTGACATTGGCACTCCATATTCTCAATTCAATATCCAATTGCAATTGATTAGGAATTCTATACTTTAGTGTACCTGCCAATGTTTGAACTTCTAATTATTGATGTCCCAACATTGGTTTAATGGTTTATATCAAATTTAAAAATTTAGTCAATTCATCTTGAAATTCCTAAATTTATTATTAAAATATAATATACAAGTATTATCTATTAACCATCAACTTCCCTCAAAACTTCATATTCTTCAGAATATTTTTTTAAGTATCTATCAGTTCTATTGATTTTAATTAAATCTAAAAATAATGTGAATAATTTATATTACTAATAATAGAAATAAGTAGATCTTAGAATAATTCATAAAATGGAAAATAAGTAAGAAAGCAATAAGTTTTCTTGTATTTCCAGAAAATTCGTTTTTTTCTATTTTCAAATGTTAATTAAATGTGATCAGGAGTAGTTTCAATAAAATCATAGACAGATAAACAAATTCCATAGAGCAATTTTTCAGGATTAGCTTGATTCATTAAATTCTGATTGATATGTTCTGAAAAATCTTCAGTGGTATCTTGATTTTTAATAGTAAATAGGGAAAATTTGTCCAATAATTCGTATTTATTACCTGAATACATGATTCTGAAATAATGAATTTTAGATACTCTTTTAATTTTCTAAATGAATCATTGACCTTGATTTTTTCAACTTGATTTCCGAAAGGATAAACAAATCCATTGATAATCTCTTCATAAACAGGACTAATAGAAAGTGGATGATAATTACGTGTTCATTGAATCAATCTTGAACAATATATTAGCAGGTAGAATACCTTCTTTAATATTAGGTTCATTATCAAATTCTAAAAATTCTTTTTTTTCACAACCCATAATATAAAATTTTTCATATAATTTATAGGCAGGTTATTATAAAGCAGAGACTTCCATAGTTTCTACTCTATTTTCTTCAATAGATTCAAAAAACTATTATTATCTTCCATCTGAATTTCTACGTTTTTGTATATCTTATTCTTCTATATTTTCACTATCAATAATAGTAGATTTATTATTCTAAAAATTGAATAGTAAGGATTTTCGTAATGAACTATTATTTTTTTCTCCAGTTACTTGACTCTAAAGGGGATATAAATTTAAGATATTACAATCCTATTTGTTTTTTCAGGAATTCTTTCTTTTATCGCATCAATTAATTTGGAATTAGTTAAGCCATGTAAATATGTTTATGATTTTTTGACACTACTAATAGGTCCACTCTATTATCTTTGTAATGCTGAATTGATATCAATCTTAAGATCAAGTTTTGGAATTTTTTTGATATCTTGTTTTGAAGGTGATACCTAATTGAGTATTTATTACTTAAGATTATTAGGATCATTATCAGGTTTTTGAGTATTTTTTGTAGCACTATCAAGTTATTGATCCTCTTTAGTTGATAATTACTTTGATTGATGGACTTCAGATTATGTTTATGTAAATTGAGTATGCTATGTTGGTTTTGAATGAAGCTTTTTGATTTGATCTTTCAATATAGTATTGTCTTTTTCAAGATCCTGATTTCTCTTCTATTCAAATTGTAATTGCTATATTTTAATTGAAAATTACTCTTTTTAATTAGGTGATGGTTTGTTTGAGATGATCAATATGCTTTTAATTAGTTTTGATTAACTCATCCATAATTTTAATTTTCTTATCTTTGTCTACAGGAGAGGGATGAGATGTCTGCATTTGGATTATAATTATTTAATTAATTAAATATGGATTAACAATTATCTGGTGTGCTCATCAAAAGAGATAAATGGAAGGCTGAGAGTAAGGTGACTAAGTGTGAACATTGTGATAGACAATTCTATTATTTGTTTAGAACTAAACATCATTGTAGGAAATGTGGATTGGTATTTTGTTCAGAGTAATATAATTTATTTTATGGAATAGTTGTAGCAGCAACTTTATAGATGGCATTCATTTTGTAGAGAATACAGAGAAGAAAGTAAGATTATGTGGAGTTTGTTATGATTAAGTATTAAAATTGTTGAAAGCATAAGGATACAAATTAGAAAATACAATTGAAACCAGAGTTGTCAGTGTATCTATTGACAAAGGATAATTAAATTTATCAAGAAGAGAATCTATACATAAATTGGATGATCAATCTTATACTATATCTAGATCATAAACAACTTAAGTGACTGAAGAATAGGAGGATAATATGAATAATGATTAAGAATTCAATCCTGAAATAGTCTAAGTGAGTATACAAAGTTATTTTCCACCTGAAGAATAAAACAAAAATAAGGAATCAGAATTATTGAAATCTTAATTATCACTTCTAAAAGATAAATGTTATTAATATATGGAAAATATCTGTGATCATAGTTTAAAGATCTTCATTCAACCTTAACGCAATCATGACAATCATTTTGATGGTCTTAAATCAACAACATTTGAATTTGTTAAAAAAGCAGTTGAAGACATTTAGTTTTCATCTTTAAACTCTGATCCATTAGATATCACTTGTTATGTAAAAACTAAATTGCTTCCATACAAAGATTATTCATTAACATGTTATTTTCCAGGCATTGTTATTAGAAAGAACATAGCTTTAAAAAGAATGTAAACTGAACTCTTTAAACCTCGAATTTTGATTATTCATGGGAATCTAGATTTCATAGAAGAGACTTAATAATTTGATGATTTCATTTTGAAAGAAAAGAGAGTACTTTAAGATTACATAGAGAAAATTAAAGAGAACTTTAAACCAACCATTATTATAGTTGAGAAATCAGTCAGTAAAGTAGCATTAGATATATGTTGTAAATTCAATATTACAGTTGTTTAAAATGTGAAAATCCATTAATTAAGAAAGATAGCAAAAAGTACAGGTTCTAAATTTGTGCGTCTTGATAAGTTAGATGGCTATATATAAAAAGAAACATAAGTAACTGGTAATTGTGAAAAGATTTTCTTTCGTAATTTTCCAAGACCAAATCCAGATAAATAGGATGTAGCTGGAAAAGATAATACATTAATGTTCATTGAAACAAAAGATGGTAAAAATGGAGTTACAATAATGTTATCAGGACCATAAGAAGATTTATTATAGAAATTGAAATAATGCATTATAGGTTGTATGAGATTAGGCAAACACTTTGATGTAGAGAGATATATAATACTTTGTGAATAGAAATTAAGATAAAATAAATAATTCAATTTTTGTGTAGGTGATTTTACAAAGTTTTTATTTGAAAAAGTTAATCTCAAAGAAGTCATAAAACCAGATCTAGCTTATGTAAAAATTAATTATGCTAGAGCAGACATTCATAATTTTAATGATATTAAAGATATGAATGCTTTATTGGCTTATTAAAAAGAGTTTCCACCTTAGAAAGAAAAGGTGGTTGATTTTTTTGCTGATATGTGTAATATGCCAACTGAGAAACCTAAAGCATATTATCATTCAAATGATGATATGTCTATGGGTGCATTTATTATATTAAAAGTTGCTAATTTATAATTCAGATGTGAATATTGTAAATTACCAAGAAATAGTCATGTTTCTATATATTATAATGCTGGTAGATATGTTAAATTTAGTGTGGATGGATAAATGAATTAAATAAAATAAATAGTATTGTAGAAAGAATAATCATAAATTTAATAAAGTGATGAGAATAAAACATTTCTATTAAAAGATTTACCAAGTATAATTAAATAGAATCATTCAAATGAAAAAATATAAATTGAAACTTACTTTGAGTGTAATTTATGTATGCAATAATTAACAGATAGAGTAATTTTGAGTTAGAAATATTTGGAATATTCGTTTTTAAGATTCTTACAATAATTGTTTTTAACTTAAAATATAACAATAAATAATTATCATAATATATCATCATGTAATCACACTCAAATTTAAAGAGTCTATTCATATTATGGATATTAGATGAAAGTAATGGTAGGTGAATTTGATGTTTATTAAACTACTTTATTGAATTTTTAAGATAATTCATTTAATGATTATCTAAAGGTTTGGGAATAAAATTATATTAAATAACTTAGAGATGAATTAATGAACAAATTGAATACTTTTGGAATTACATTGATTAATCTTATACCAAAATCATTGGCTAAGAGTGAGATTGATTTACTCATCAAATCAATTAAATAATTAAAGGAGGAATGTGAAAAAATTCATGCTGAAACATAATATATATCAATATTTTAAATACTCAAATAATCATAAGATTTTGGACTTTAATATAAGAATATTATGTAAAGTATTTAAGAACATAAGAAAAAGAAAGAATTGAATCCAGATTTTAAAAATATAATTCAAAATGCTGCTGTGAATTTAAAGAATTAAGAATCAATATTAACAAATAATACTAATACTATTAAAACTACTTATGAATTAGAGAAAGTTGATTCAGGGAATAATTTAAATGAAGTAAAGTAGTATCATTCAAATTAAGAATTAGAGGATCATCATCTACATTCAGGATAAAAACATTCTATGCAAGAAATTGAAGAAACAAATCATAGAGCAAGTTCTGGAAAGACTGATTTGAGTGATTTAATTATACCACCTCTATATTCTCCTGAATTAGATATATAATAATAGTCACCTTTATTTGTTAGAAATCATAGAAGAAATGGATCTGAAATTCATAATAATAATAATTATGTTATTAATTTAGTTGATGCAAATTAAGGATTATTACAATAATCTATACAAAAAACTCATCATGATTCAAATAAAGATCTTGATAATGTTAATATAAACCAATCTAATAATTTTATACCTACTATAGATATTAATCAAAATAATAATTTTTAAAAAGAATGGAATATAAGTTCATTTCTTGCAGAATAATAGAAATTAATTAAATCTCAAATGATATATGTAAATTTATTATTATTATCTAATTAGGAATTTGTTCCAATCTATGAAAATTAACCATTATCTTACTTATCATTTACACTCAATCATCCCAAATACATCAATGAAATTTATCAAAAAGAAAGTAATTACCTTCATTATATACTTAAGATTTTGGAATGATTGAGTCTGTTCAAAAATCATCTGAGTAGGCTAAATTGTTTTTCTAATAATTATTATCTCCAAAAGAATAGAAATAAGATGTTGAAAACATTAGATACATGAGTGTTGATTTAGGTAATAATAATATAAATCAATAATAATAAATATATTATAAATAGGATAATAGAGATATTTTTGTATTAAAAATCAATTATGATGTTGAAAAAAAGAATGAAAAATCAAATAATTAGATATTTCAATAATAATAACAATTTTAAAATAATTTAGCCTCTTAATTTGATGAAGCTCAAACTATATAAGAAAAATCATTGCCATTAAATAATCCTTAGTAATTTGTACCCACTGCTTAGGCAAGAAAAAATAAATGGATTGAAGTTTTAATTTACTTTCCAACTTAATTTGAAGCTCTTAGATTATTAGCAGGAATTACTCTAGCATAATTTATTAAATCTATATCATCTACTAATATTTGGAGTGCATCTGGAGGTAAATCATAATCTAAATTTTACAAATCTAATGATGAGTTATTTGTATTCAAAAAATTAGAATAAGACAAGGAATTTATGATGTTTAAACAATTTGCTTTAGATTATTTCAAACATATGTACAGACATTTTTATGAATCTAAACCTTCTCTATTAAGTAAAATCTTTGGAATGTTTGAAATTAGAGATAGAGGATAAACTGAATATTATTTAGTTATGGAAAATCTTTATTTTGGTATGGGAGATCCATCTAATCTTTTGGTTTATGATCTTAAAGGAAGTGAAACCAATAGACTAGAAAAAAAGAAGAAAGGAGTTCTATTAGATACCAATTTCAGAATTGATAGAAATTCAGAACCAATCCCTATTCTCAAAGAAAATTATAGATATAATGATAGAGCATTTTAAGTATTCATTTCAATCTTATTTTTAGATTGATTGTAAATTCCTAAATAAATAAAATGTTATTGATTATTCATTATTATTGATTATAGACTAAAAGTAAAAGAAACTTAGAATGGGTATCATAGATTATTTAAGATTCTATACTTGGGATAAAGAAACTGAACATTATTTAAAATATTTATTAAAAGGAGGAATGGTATTATATTAACACTAATTTAAAGGTTCCTACTATTGTTAATCCTGGAGATTATAAAAAACGGTTCATTAATGCAATATTAAAATATTTTATACCAGTGTGAATAAATAAATAATTAATACTTTTCTTTTAATAATATTAGTAAAATTTGTCAATTATTCTGATATTATACTCCATTCTATTCTTTGAATTCCTACATTTCCTCAAAAACTAGTACTTTCCATTAAATAAATAAAAATGTCAATTACACTCTTTTAAGATGAAATCAATAAATTGGATATATTATGAATTGTGAATAAAATAACTTCATTAAATTGTATATATTCTCTTGCAAGCAGTTTTTAAGAGTCAATAACATTATTCATTATTCTTTTATTTTCAACCATTTTTGAAACTTAATCATCATTAAATATACTTATTTATTGAATAATATTGTAATTATACATTACTGAATTCATGCTAATTCATACTAATTATAGATTAAATATTATCAAATTGTTAATAAAAATTATTTATTAAAATAGACTAAAAGTATTAAATTATTTTTGAAAAAAATAGTTAATGGTGTTTCTCAATTTAAATTAATTAGTTAACAAGTTAACTTTCTAAGAGCTATAAATAAGAAAACTAAAGCAAATTTATGTAGAATAATTTTTATTATATAATCACCAAAGTCTAAAACCAGCATGTGATATAACATTCATACAGAGAAATATTCTTTAATTTCCTTAGCAAATTTCATTTAGAGTTTTATTTATATCTAAAGTCTATTGATTATAACTTAATAAGATCATATATGATGGTATATTAACCACACCGTTGAGGATCTAGATTAATTCAAAAACTTCCGTATTGATGGGGCACTATATCTAAAATTGTTTGTTCATTTAATAGAATAAAAGTGTAATTGATATTTATTTTTCATCCTGATCTTCTTCAGATTGATTCATGTTATAAAAGAAAATAAATAATTTTTATTATTATTATAAAAATAATTACTATTTTATTTTCAACAATTTTTGAAACTTAATCATCATTAAAAATACTTTTTTATTGAATAATATTGTAATCATACATTACAGAGTTAATGCTCATTCATACTAATTTTAGATTAAATATTATCAAATTATTAATAACAATTATTTATTAAAATAGACTAAAAGTATTAAATTATTTTTGAAAAAAATAGTTAATGGTGTTTCTCAATTTAAATTAATTAGTTAACAAGTTAACTTTCTAAGAGCTATAAATAAGAAAACTAAAACAAATTTAAGTAGAATAATTTTTATTATATAATCACCAAAGTCCAAAACCAGCATCTGATATAACATTCAAAGAGAGGACTAAAATTTAATTTTCTTAGCAAAAATCCTTAAGAATTGTATTTAATTTCAACGTCTCTTTATTATATCGTAAAAAGATCATATTTGATGGTTTATCAATCGCTTTAGAGATATTTTATACTAACTCATAAACTTAAATATTGATGGAGCATTAAATAGTATAATTTTTGCTCAGTTACACGTATTCAACTATAATTTATACTTATTTTTCATCTTCTCCTTATAGACTCATATTATCAAAATAATAAATAATTATTGATATATATTATTAAAAAATATTTTTTTATTTAGATACAATAAAAATGTTTCAGAATATAATTTTGACAAAGCAACAAAAAAATCCTGCAAAAGAGATTCATAGATTAAAAAATTCTTATCCTAATTTAATAGACATTTATTTTTATTTATAATGTGTATATAAAATAGATCAGGTGATTATTTTAAATCTATATTCAAAAAGCATTTCTATGAGAATGAAATATCGAACCTAATCATAAACTTATTAATATAAAATTTATTATGTTATTTGCAAGATATTTATTATAATAACTATTAAGTAAATATCGTTGTCGGCCATACTAAGCCTAAAGCACCGGATCCCATTCGAACTCCGAAGTTAAGCGGCTTAAGGCGAGGTTAGTACTAAGGTGGGGGACCGCTTGGGAAGTCCTCGTGTTGACAACCCTTTTTTTTATTTATTTTTAATATTATAATATTAATTCATTTAATATAATTAATTATATAAATTTATGATTAAATAATTTTATACTATAAACAATTTTATTTAAAAAATAAGCATCTAATCGAAGAATAGCAGATTTTGAATTATAGGCAATGCTTTGATAAAGAAACGGATTTAATACTATAAATGTAAACTTTTTATATTTTGATCTCTCTGTTTTTTTTTCTCTTTTATTTATTCATTATTTCAATTATATATATTAATCTTAAAAATGGTAGTATAGACATTTTTATTATTCTTAAATTTCTCTATTTCTCCCTCATATTTTCTCAGTTTCAAGTTAAGCTCCTTCTCTTAAATTAATTAAAAATCTCTTGCCTTCATTAATAAACCTTCTTATACTTTTATAATGTTATTATTTGAGTCCATCATAATTTTTATTTTCTGAAATCTTCCTTACTAAGCTGTTCTGTTTTGATCAATATCATCTGTCCCCTCTTAATATTCTTCTAAAAGGGTGGCTACTTAAAGAACATTTGAGTACAAGAATTTTAACTAAAATTATCAAAGAATAAGATTTTTTTATTAAATACAATATTTGTTCCTAATATTGTTATATTAATATTCCTCTTAATCTTTTTTTTATCAATTCTTTTAATTTCCTCTTCATCTTCTTAAAATCTCTCAGATTTTTAATTGAATCTTTATATACATAATGCTGATTGCACAAAGTCACCTTATAATTCTGTCCTATGATATAATCTTTAAAATTATGAATTAAGTAAACAATTTTTTATCATTGTAAACTTAAGATTGTTTATCATTTTTATCAATTAAACCAATAGAATTCTAGATTGTTATTTTATTTTTTAATTTGGTTTAAGTTGAAACAAGACATTTATGTATTATATTATTGTATCAATAACTGCTTTAGAAATTTATAATTGAGTATTTATTATTTNATAGTAAATATCGTTGTCGGCCATACTAAGCCTAAAGCACCGGATCCCATTCGAACTCCGAAGTTAAGCGGCTTAAGGCGAGGTTAGTACTAAGGTGGGGGACCGCTTGGGAAGTCCTCGTGTTGACAACCCTTTTTTTTATTTATTTTTAATATTATAATATTAATTCATTTAATATAATTAATTATATAAATTTATGATTAAATAATTTTATACTATAAACAATTTTATTTAAAAAATAAGCATCTAATCGAAGAATAGCAGATTTTGAATTATAGGCAATGCTTTGATAAAGAAACGGATTTAATACTATAAATGTAAACTTTTTATATTTTGATCTCTCTGTTTTTTTTTCTCTTTTATTTATTCATTATTTCAATTATATATATTAATCTTAAAAATGGTAGTATAGACATTTTTATTATTCTTAAATTTCTCTATTTCTCCCTCATATTTTCTCAGTTTCAAGTTAAGCTCCTTCTCTTAAATTAATTAAAAATCTCTTGCCTTCATTAATAAACCTTCTTATACTTTTATAATGTTATTATTTGAGTCCATCATAATTTTTATTTTCTGAAATCTTCCTTACTAAGCTGTTCTGTTTTGATCAATATCATCTGTCCCCTCTTAATATTCTTCTAAAAGGGTGGCTACTTAAAGAACATTTGAGTACAAGAATTTTAACTAAAATTATCAAAGAATAAGATTTTTTTATTAAATACAATATTTGTTCCTAATATTGTTATATTAATATTCCTCTTAATCTTTTTTTTATCAATTCTTTTAATTTCCTCTTCATCTTCTTAAAATCTCTCAGATTTTTAATTGAATCTTTATATACATAATGCTGATTGCACAAAGTCACCTTATAATTCTGTCCTATGATATAATCTTTAAAATTATGAATTAAGTAAACAATTTTTTATCATTGTAAACTTAAGATTGTTTATCATTTTTATCAATTAAACCAATAGAATTCTAGATTGTTATTTTATTTTTTAATTTGGTTTAAGTTGAAACAAGACATTTATGTATTATATTATTGTATCAATAACTGCTTTAGAAATTTATAATTGAGTATTTATTATTTATTGTTTTTTAAATTTGCAAGAAAAATCTTGAAAAAGTATTTCATTAATTTCTAAAATTCAGATATGCGAAAAAGTGTTTAACTTGAAATGAGCAAACCCTTAAAATATCCATCTAATGATGTTTCTGTTTGTTGGCCCTCTTTTTAATCCTGTAATTTCAGCTCTATGCCAATATGCAATGTCGCTGAAAACAATCCTCATATGTCGCTTAGTAAATTTAGCGATTCTGAAAGTGAAAACAATCATGCTCCTAAAAAATTAGAGAAACTTTGTTCATATCATACTTACAGTAATGAAGAAAGTCGAAAATCTCTTCTGGTCTAATCTGAAAAGTTCTGGTATTCAAAAATTATTTCATCTAACATAATAAACATTACACTCTTTATTTTGACCTTTTATTTACCTTACTTTTACTATGAGAACTTTATGTATTTAGATAATGATTATTTCTAGAGAATCAGATCCATTATATTTCCCAGTTCTTCTTTTTTTATTGATTTTGGAATTGTATACTTAATTCATCAAATTGCTTGGCTAATTTCTGAAAAATAAGCGATTTTCAGTATCATTACTTAATATTGCAATCTTATTAACTTATACACTTTGTCTTAAAGCCAACAATATAATTTTATTTACAATATTATATTTCCTATTGTTCTAAAGAAATTTGAAATTTATTTAAAAAATGCTAAGTTTAATCCTATATATTAATTATTAGTAACACATATAATTTATAAATTAGGTAAATTATTATTACAAAATTGGTCATTTTAATATTATTCTAAATACACTACTTTGCTTGTATTTGGGGAGTAGAATTAAAAAAGACAAATTAAGAAGATCTTATTTATACAGAATGTTTTTATAAATCATTTCTTATGTTTTTTTTAAAAATTGATCAATTAGAAAATTAAAATCATTATTTAATAATAACTCATTTAATTACTAGCATAATAATTATAATTTTTGTATTTACAATTTTTCAATAATGTCTATTACAAATGTAAAAATGCAATCTCGCTTTAAAAACTTATAGATTATTCTTAAAATCCAATATGTTAGAATTAAAAGTTAAATTAATCTTATTTCATTATTCAGGACTCTTTTTATTGATTGAAAATCAAATGAGTATTAAAAATGATATAAAGAAAAAGTATTTGCTTGAATATATAAAAATGAAGTTGATAAGATAAGAACTCAATCATTTAAATTTTTTATCATAATCTGCATTAAATTAAATTAGTGTAAAGGGAGTTTTGGGACAGAATTTGAAGTAATAAGTATTTTTAATTGATTATTAAAAGAATTAATAAGCTGAGATTAATGGATTATACATTATAATTGCTGGAAATATAGATATAGAATTTATGGGAATGAAACTTTAAATTGATAATAGGAAGATTATTAATTTATGTTTGATTGAAATGATGAATACTTAATAATAAGGTAGAGTTAAATTTGAATAAGTTGATATGAATGACTTATTATATTTTTATATCAATCAAAATTAATTTAATGATTGTTTATAAAAACAATAAGAGAAAGTAATTTTACATTATTATTTTTAGGAGAAGTATTAAATGATAAGGGATGATGTTATCTTTAACAATAATACTTAGGAATTAAATATTCAATGTCATTTTTGTAATCTATTTCATCCAACTTTTAATTGCATTTGTTTCAATGTAAAAAGAAGATTCACATATGAAAAAATATATTAAGAAAGAAGTCCAATGTTTTAGAGGAAAAATAACAATAGAATTAAAGCAGGCATCTATTAATAAGTATTTTATAATTGAAATTTAGATAACTCATTAGGGAACTAATAATAATACTGTATTTGATATTAGTTCAGACAGTTTCGAAGCCTTTTCTGATTATTCAAGTGATAAAGTAAGTGTATCAAATTTACCTATTCATTTTGAATAAATTGGTAAGCAGACTTCAATAACTCAGATTCACAAAGATATACTATAAATTGATATGGTTTCAGACAAGGTTACTGATCCTATCATAAGTAGTACTTTGATTAAACATTTGTAAGTTCCTGAATAATAACATAAAAATCATCAAGGAATCAGTTAGACTGGATTTTAAGATTTTGATTCACTTCTTGATATTGACAAAATTTGTGAATATCAATATTACAAAGCTAATTTTAACTTAAATAATGTGCTAATGAAATTAAATTAATAGAAATTTTGAAATAATTTTTATAATATTATTGATTTCCATTTTTGTAAATATAAATAAATAAATAATAAAATATATGTCTCATTAATTGCTTCACAAATTTTAAAATAAATCTGTTCAATAAATAGTTTAAGAATTGATGTATGATGAATACTTGGAAAGAGATAATATGTTTAGAAATGCCTTTAATTCATCACCTTTGAAGGCTGTAAAGAAAAAAATAGTATTTTCAAAGAATACATATAACAATGATTTATAACAATCTATAAGTTCAGTTAGTTAATAGAATAATCAATACAAAATTATTGGAGTAATGGCATTTTAAAAGAAAAAGAATCAAGATAATAACACTAATGTGTCAGTATATAAATTCTGTATTTTAGTCCAAAGAATATTAAGAAGCCAAATAAGCCAAAAGAATTAAGAGGATTATCAATGTCAGATCATATGGAGAATTTGATTAGGGATAAAAGCATTTTCCCTTAAATTCAAAGACAATCTCAGTAAAGCTTAGCTTTTAATGATGATGATTTTGAAGGGTATAGATTAAAATCTGAAGAAATGACCTTAGAAATTGATGAATATATGAAGATGAAAAGAGATAAGGACTCTTTTTAATTGCCTAATATTTACTCAAGATATTAATGATTATTTTTATTATAATCTCGTTATGATGCGATTTAATAATATTTATTGTAATAAATATATTATAATATAAGTTGTTTGGAAAGACACCATCAAATATATGAATGACCTACAATAAAGTGGCTATGTAAAAATAAATTAAAATATAAATTAGAATTATAATTTAATTTAAAAAAAAGGGAACAAATGTCCAAAAAGAAAAAGGGCTTGTATTTCATAGAATAGATTCTCGATTATAAACAATATCAAGGATAAAAATACTATCTTATTAAATGGTAAGGGTATAACAATAGAGATTGTACATGGGAGAAACCAGAGAAGATTCCCAATTTGCCTTAATATATAAGTCAATATGAATAGAATGTCAAAAATTTAGGATCCAATTTTTATTATATTGAAAATGATGAACCACCTTTACTAGAAGATTTTATAGGAGTCCCAAGTCAATAAAAATAATCTGTATTGCAATAATAATAAGAATAAATTAAGAAACTATAAGATTAAGTGAGTTTATTAAAACAAGAATTAAACCAAGTCAAAAAATAATAGGAAGAGATAATATAGTTGATATAGACTCTTCCTTAAGAAAAGAAACCATAACAATCAAATTAATAACAGGATTCTGAGAATATCTAGGATTCTATTTCTGAATTATCTCAAAAGAATACTGAGGTTAAATTACCTAATGAGGGAGGATTTGAATATGGAGATCAATTGGATAAAATAGGATAGGCTGCATAGATCAAATAAACAGGCATCAAAATGTATTATTTATTATGGCAAAAGCGATCTAATGGTAATCTTTAATTATACATATTAGGTATAATTCCTAAAAATCGATGGGTGAACAGTGAATATCTATAAAAATATGATATCAAGTCATTGTGTTACTATCTATAAAAAAAATTATAATGAATTTATGTTAATATAAATAAATAATTCAATCAAATACATATAGGATAAAGCAGATATCTATATAAATATATAAGTGATATCTAAAAATATCCAATGTATTTGAATAAAGTTTAATTATTTACATTATTCTAAAATATATTGGATCTATGAGTATTGAAATAATGTTGTAAATTCAACCCTTTTATATTAGAATATTTCATTTATCAATATAATTTAATGTTCATTATTTCTGTTCTGTAATAACATTAATAGTTTAATCATATACAAGATAAATATAAGTTATTTTTTTCAATATTTACAGGGTTGAATTGCTATATAAATTGTTTAAAATAATGCAAAGTTCTTGTTTAATTTGGTTATTGATAAATTGAACACCTTTGAAGAAGATGGAAAAATTCTCATTCACAAAAATATTTGAGATAATTTATAGATAATCTCCTCTACATGATCTAGAGTATGATATCAAAGATAAATAGCTAACAGAATTCATTTTTGACAATTCATAGTTATTATTCAAAACCACAGCCCGCCTAATAAAATAAAGAAAAAATTAGTAAAAACTTCAAATTAATAATGTAAGTTGGGAACTTGATATTATTTCACCTATTCTAGCTTATTCCTATATTTGCACAAAGTAGAGATTAAGGTATTGAAAATCTTTATATTATTCATTTTATTATTTTATATTAAACTATAATAAACCCCCATGTATAAATAGAGAAATGGATAGTAAATATCGTTGTCGGCCATACTAAGCCTAAAGCACCGGATCCCATTCGAACTCCGAAGTTAAGCGGCTTAAGGCGAGGTTAGTACTAAGGTGGGGGACCGCTTGGGAAGTCCTCGTGTTGACAACCCTTTTTTTTATTTATTTTTAATATTATAATATTAATTCATTTAATATAATTAATTATATAAATTTATGATTAAGAAATCTTTTTAATTAAACTTATAATAATTATACAATTTTTGATACAAATAATTATACATTCAAATTTAAATTAATAGATCTCATTTTAGATCAATCGGAGAGATAAGTCCATAAAAAAGGATGTTAGTGGCTGTTATTATGTTTGATGTTTCCAATTCAAACTAATAAAATATTTAATAATTATTACTCTTCCTTTCATTATTTGCAATATGACCACTACTAATGTAGATCCATATAAAGAAGCAACTATGGAATTGACAAATAACCAATGATCAAATATTAAAGGAATAAGACTAGAGACACAACATAATGCTATGGCAACTAAAATACTAATAATGTTTACCAATTGGACGAATTCTTTACTTTTCAATAACTATATAAATAATGAGAGTTGAAGTAATTAAAATATTAAATAGAAATTATTGTACAGCATATTTAGTAACTAAATCAGCAGCTAGCATAATATATAAATAAAGATTACTAGTATTTTATATTCCATTTGAAAAATGTATTCTTTCATTGCTAAAGGATCTACAAAAAGTCATATAAGTTTAGGTAGTAAAATACACTTGAAGCAATAATATTAGGCAATTTTAAGGATACTATAGAATAATATTTTGAATCTACCTTTCTAGAGAATTTAACAGTTCCAAATTTAGCTATTCCATACATAAAAATTACTGAAATATGGAATAAATAAGGAGATATTAAGTCAATAAGGTTAAACATTTCTCTTTTTAAGAGTATATATAGGATGAAGAATTGAATTAATGACCAAATTAAAAAAATCATCAAGACTTTCAAAATGCATTTCTTCTAAAATTTGAAATTTTATTAATGAATAAGCTCCGAGAAAGCATTGTTTTATAAACTATCCTGATATTCAGTTATAGCTGGTTCTTGCAGAGACNGTAAATATCGTTGTCGGCCATACTAAGCCTAAAGCACCGGATCCCATTCGAACTCCGAAGTTAAGCGGCTTAAGGCGAGGTTAGTACTAAGGTGGGGGACCGCTTGGGAAGTCCTCGTGTTGACAACCCTTTTTTTTATTTATTTTTAATATTATAATATTAATTCATTTAATATAATTAATTATATAAATTTATGATTAAGAAATCTTTTTAATTAAACTTATAATAATTATACAATTTTTGATACAAATAATTATACATTCAAATTTAAATTAATAGATCTCATTTTAGATCAATCGGAGAGATAAGTCCATAAAAAAGGATGTTAGTGGCTGTTATTATGTTTGATGTTTCCAATTCAAACTAATAAAATATTTAATAATTATTACTCTTCCTTTCATTATTTGCAATATGACCACTACTAATGTAGATCCATATAAAGAAGCAACTATGGAATTGACAAATAACCAATGATCAAATATTAAAGGAATAAGACTAGAGACACAACATAATGCTATGGCAACTAAAATACTAATAATGTTTACCAATTGGACGAATTCTTTACTTTTCAATAACTATATAAATAATGAGAGTTGAAGTAATTAAAATATTAAATAGAAATTATTGTACAGCATATTTAGTAACTAAATCAGCAGCTAGCATAATATATAAATAAAGATTACTAGTATTTTATATTCCATTTGAAAAATGTATTCTTTCATTGCTAAAGGATCTACAAAAAGTCATATAAGTTTAGGTAGTAAAATACACTTGAAGCAATAATATTAGGCAATTTTAAGGATACTATAGAATAATATTTTGAATCTACCTTTCTAGAGAATTTAACAGTTCCAAATTTAGCTATTCCATACATAAAAATTACTGAAATATGGAATAAATAAGGAGATATTAAGTCAATAAGGTTAAACATTTCTCTTTTTAAGAGTATATATAGGATGAAGAATTGAATTAATGACCAAATTAAAAAAATCATCAAGACTTTCAAAATGCATTTCTTCTAAAATTTGAAATTTTATTAATGAATAAGCTCCGAGAAAGCATTGTTTTATAAACTATCCTGATATTCAGTTATAGCTGGTTCTTGCAGAGACTAATTTATTTCAATTAATTAATGTGTAAGTCTTGATTAGAGACTTTGATCTTAATTTGAAAATTGAAAAGCACTCTCTTATGGGTAAGAATTCAATTGTTATTGAGATTGTTATAGTTTATTTCCCATTAAATAATATTTAATGATATTCCATATAAATTAAATCGTTACTTTATCATGAATAACATTATATATAACTGATTCTATATTTATTTATTTTTACTTTTTTTTTAAGTAAAAAGTAGAAAATGTAATAAGGGATGTGATATTAATCTATATAAAAAATAAGAGTTTTGTAGAATTGATTTTTTTGTTTTAGATTATAAACAGAATTTATACAATTAAATGAAATTCAAATTTTTATAATTTATTTCATTATAATTCTTAATATTTATATATAATGTTATAAATCTATCAATCATTTTAGAAATTGATAATAATTATGTCATTAAGTATTTTATGTTTCTCTAAGTAATATAATAATGTCATTTATATTTTGGATTTTTTTCTATTAGTTCAATGTTTATAAGTATTAAAAATAAAAAATAATACATTAATTTAATATTTATTTTAGGTAAAGATTTAGAATAAAGAGAATGAGTAATAATTAATCAATAACAGTGATCATAACATATGCATAGAAAAACAAGGTTTATAATATAGAAATAGATCCTTCAACTAAGGTCTAAGAATTAATTAATGAATTTTATGAAATGCTCCACCCAAATGGACAAGAAAAGATAATATTAAAGTATTAAGGAACTCAATTAAACCCCAACGGAACATTTGAAGAATAAAAAGTTAGAAAAGGAACTTAAATTGATTTGCTGGTTGAAACCCAAGGTGGTCTCTGATTTATCAATTAAATAATGATTATTGTATTGTTAATTAATATTATAATGCCAAGAAAGCTATTATTAAATATGTTTTCATTTATTTGACTTAAGTGCAACAAACTAACAGACTATAGATTCATTATAAATTTTTCTTAATAGATTTCTGCACTCTGAATTAAACTAGGAAAATAATAACTATTCTATTGTAGGAAATCTACTTGTAAGCAGTTGTTAAATAAATTAACTAATATAAGGAGAATGGAATACTAAAAGAAGAAAAAACTGATAGAAATAAGCATTTTTTTAAAGATGATGATCATAATTTCTATTTCTATTATTAAAAACTTCGATTAATATAACATTAATGCATTTAAAATATATTCTAAACTAAGTTTATAAAAGAGATAAATAAATAAAAACAAGAAAACTTAAAGGGATTTTTGTGAATAAGCAAAGCAAAAACCTATGACTTAAATAAGATTATTTTTAAATACTATTCTGTTGTTATATCTAAATGACATAAAAAATAATTAAGGAATAATAAGAATATACAATAACGTATTCTAATAACAAAGTAGAACATCAAAGAAATTAAGTCCAATAATTAAAATTTATAAAATTATGAACTCTCTATAAATTTCCTATAATATAAAAAAATCTATTAAGTTAAATCATGCTGACTGTATGTATAATTAATGAGTATTAAAAAAAATAATGTAAATTCGATTGGTAGATATTAGTATCTTTAATAAATAAATGAAGTAAATTATCAAATATAATTTAAATGAAATGTAAAAATATAAATAATCCTAATATCCTAAATTGATATTTAACATCTATCAATTTAATAATAAGTTTAATATGATTCACAATATTGTTCTACAAAGTTTGATTATAATTTATGAAAATTTTTATTACTATGAAGCATTAAAATAAGATGTTTATAAACCTTTAAAATTATTAAATTATAGTAATTACTATTATTTCTATTCTATTTATTGTTACTTTTAGAATTATTTAAACTTGGATACTTTGTTTAATATCTAAAATTTATATCATATTTACTATCATTCTTATATAGTAAATGTAATCATTTCTTTTTTGTTAATTTAAATTATGTTGTCTAATCTATAATCAAATTTATGTAGATGATAAATATAATCATATATTCAATTCTTAATTATTTATGATTAGATTGTAATAACAAATGATGAATATAAATATAATTCAATATCTAGTTTTAGTTTTTGCTTAAATATTAGTGAATTATGATAACTTTTTCAGTTATTCTGGTTGAGATTATATTAAATGATTCTTCTTTATTGTTTCCTTGAGTAATTTGCTTGATTTAGTTTCTACTGATATTCTACTCTTTGCTGTGGATGGTCTATTTGTATATGCTTCTGCTTATTTCTTCTCAGCTACTGTTCCATAATCATATGCTAAAACATTTTTTATTGGAGAAGGAGTTCTTAATATTAGAATTTATTTTATACCTATTTTTCCTGCCGAAAACTTACTATTTAGGAGTTTCAATGATTTTTGGCTTACCTTAAACAATCTTTTATCTGATATCATGTGACTGTCTAAATTCTTAGAATTCTTTTGCTGTACACAAATTACGTTTAATACTCATGATATTAGTTTTTTTGAAATCCTTTTCTGGTCTTATATCCATAGAAGCAAAATGCTCCATATGACACAAGACTTATCCTAATGTTTCTTCTTTTCCAGGCACAGTTCTAGTTCCAAATGCACAATCAGGAATAGGATAAGTATTTGGTTTTGCTTTCCCAACATCATCCTTTACAATTAGGGGATTTGCTGAATATTTTTACCAAGGATAAACAGTTTTATTTGACATGATGATTAAATATATTAATTACTATTTTTTATTAATAAAAACTAAGATTTTGAATTAATATATTGTTAATAAAAATATTACCAACATATATTGTATGTATACTATTTTAACACTCTAATATTCTTAACAAAAACCATTAACAAAGTTAGATTAATAATATAATATTCAATAACAAATATAATTTATCAATTAATAACTATTTTAATGAAATTTATCAAATGATATTTTATAAAAAAACCTAAATATTTTTCAATATAGATGGGTTGTTCTGTTAACCATATTTAAATTAATGAAAGCTAATCTAATTCAGATATTTCTTAAGATTTATAAGAAGTTGAAATTTCCATACTTTCTATTCATGAAGGAATATAATGCTTAAAGATTAATATTGAACACCAAAAATAAAATTATCCAGATGATATTATAAAGAATGAAATCTAAGAATAAATTAAGTTAAATTAGAGTTCTTAAGAATCAGGTGTTTAATCAGATTCTCCATCAAAGAAATCATGTTTAAAATAATTAAGTGGCAGTAGTTTATCACTCTCAAAATATGCAACTTAAAAAAAAGTTTAGTTTAGTGTTATTTAGTCAAAGTTTTCATAATAAAAGAAATAAAAAAAACGAAAAAGAAGACCTATTAATCGTCCAGAAAAATAAATTAATTTAGATGATATATTTTGAAAATAAATATTAGAAAATTAATGTCATTTTAATTATTTTTGGTTACATTATACAAATTAAATATATATCAAGAAAGAAAGAAAATGAAGAAATTTTATTAGGCTTACAATCTTTAGTTAATTATAAATGTTTTTAAATAAATTAAATAAACAATAATATATTTTTTATGTAATGATTTTTAATTATTATTATTAAATAATTATTATGATAATCTTTCTGTTTTTAAATTAATTATTATCTAAAATATGTTAATAATTTTAAATAAATTATAGTGATTACTTAATATATATTTTCAAATAACTTATAAATAATAAATGATACATTTATTAAATATATATATATATTATATTTCAATTATTTAATTATTAATATGCTTCTTCTTCATTTAAATAAACTAAATCTAATAAACGATATATATGTAAGCATCCTCCTCCAAAATATTCGTGTTCTTGACATGTACTAACATATGTCCAAGGACTTTTTTCATTAATATCAAAATCATTGATACTGCCTCTTTATAATGATTATAATAAGAAATTTACTTATGACCAAAATAACAGAAGGTAGTTTCTTTGGTTTAAAAATTAACTGAATATAGTTCTTCACTTCCAATAGTCAAATGATTTCTATCAGGTCCAAATTATAATGAATAAACTTATGAAAGATTATCAACTTCTTTGACATATTCTTAAATTCCAATTGGTTTACGAATATCAATAATATGTACACTTCCATCTAATGAACCACTAGCAATATAATTTTCATCATATTAACTCCAACTTACACAATGAATATCTTTTTTATGTACTTCATCTAAACTCCAACATTTTCCTCCATCCATTCTTTAATCCCAACATATAATTTGTCTATTTTAACAACACGATACTAATTGATCTGTTTAATATTTATTGAAAGACATATCAACAACTTCTGCTTAATGCCCAGTCAAGACAGTTCTTTTATCTAATTTAATTGAATCATTCCCACATATATTGCTTAATTCTCTTTTGCTTGTAAATATAGAACTAGTTGATAAACGAGTTTAATAATCATTGATATCCCACAATAAGATTTTACAATCCTTTCCACCACTACCTAATTTATATTCTTAAGACCAATCCAAAGCTGTAGAATGACCTTATTATGAATGACCCATCAAATATATTTCAGGAATACCTGCATGTGGGTCTTTTGGATTTTATTAATTTTTATGTTTTGTTACATCCCAAACAAGTACATTGCTATTATCACTTTTTGTAGCAATTAATTTTTGAGTTGTATTGCATTTAATGATATTGACATCTCCTGGATGAACAATGATTTGACGTATTTTTAAATGCGGGTTTTTATAAAATTGCAATTACTAAAACACAAAAGTAACTTGGTGATTAATCTAATATTTTACTTGTGGTATATCTAAATAATCATATTATATTACCTACAGTAGCTACGATTAATTAACATGGTGTTTATTTCCATATATTAGTAACTTCATCATAAATTCCATCTGTTTTGATGGCAAAATATACTTTTTGTCTAATGTATTCTTTAGATTCTTGTACAATTGGTCCCCATTTACAAGAAGTAACAGGCCAATCGATGTTGTTTTCATATGTGAAATCAGTAATACAAGGCCCTATTTATCTCCATTTTTATTATTTAGGAGTTAAATAATTCATGTTGCTATAATCAATACTTAAGAAATATATATTTATTTTACTTTATTTAGAAATAATAAGTATTTTCTTATTCGAATATGCTTCTCTCCAATTATTTTTTATTCTAACTGAGATGAAGCTTATTTTAAATTGACTGAACACATTGAAGTATTTCATATGACTTTTCTTAAATTCGGATATTATAATTTAATTCAAAACAATCCACAATTCTCAAATCATTCTGTATTTAATTAAACAAGATTTAAAAAAAAATGAATTAAACTTACTTAAGAAGCAAAAGATAGTATATCAAGAGTTCTTTATAAACCAGAAAACTTTTAGCTGAATTAGTCTTAATTTAAGGACTTAAAATAAAAAATGTATAGATTTCTATATTATGATAAAGGCTGCTAAGAGATTGTAGATTAAGTATGCAACTGCAAAATCGATCATCCTATATTATAAATAGAATGTGATCAAGAAATAACAGAATTGTAAACCAGCCAAAAGATGTTCGTATGCTTCGATTAAAAGTGCTATTTCTTATACTATAGTATCGAAGTTAGCAGGTTAGGATGTTAACTCAAGATGTATTCACTTCTTAAACATGGAAGTATCTAAACAATGAATATATTAAATTATAAATGAATAATTATTGTGGTACATTTCATTGGAGAGGGATATATCAAAGGATATTTATAGATGTAGAAAGTTTGAGAGATTGTAAATTATTTTACAGTGTTATTGGACAGAAATTTATTTTTTATAAAAATCAATTAAAAACTAGAAAATTCATAAGTTACTTTATTATTTTTAAATTCATTTAGAAATAAGGATATCTGGTGATTGGATGAATCATGTTTTTGGTCTTAAATGTCATAAGAATAAACTTAATTCAATATAATTAAGTCAAAAATTAAATGATTATAAAATTTATTGTAATTAAACTATTCCTTAAATATGTAAAAGGTATTTTATAGTTGTCAGGTATAAACAATAAAAAAATATTATATGTTATTCAATCATTATAACATTATTAAATTACACAATAAATTTTAATGGGTCATTGTACAAGTTAAATTTAACATAACAAATCTCCTCAAAAATAAAATCTGAAAAAACTTTCATTAGAAACAATGAAATTCAATAGTGAGTTATCTAATATTAGATTGACTCATCCATCTAAGTCATGCTATCTTAAAATTGATATTGGTGGATATTATAAATGCGATACCCCTAAGCATTTTGATTTAGAGGGGAAACATGGTGTAAGATTGCTTAGTTATATAATAATAGTGGAAGAGAAAAATAACATTACAATTAGAAGCAAATGAAATATAATTGAAAGAAAAATTTTTGGTTTTCTTTCTATATGAAGATGAGAAAGAACTGTCTTAATTGAGAATTGCTTTGTATGATATAATTCAAGGGCCTCAATTTTTTGATTACCAAATTGGAAAAGGAAGGATATCATTTAATATGATTATGGCTTAGATCCTTTAACTAGAAATAAATCCTTAAGATATGATATGCACAATGAATACATGTATATAGGAAAAATAATATGTTTTTAATTTGAGGTTGGTGACAAGAAAGATGCAATTTCTGTCAGAAAATTCAGAGAAATTTAATAATCCTGCTTTTATTAGAGGCAGGAGTGCATCCTACAATAGTATTTAGGATGAATTATTCAGAATACAATGGCTGAGTACAGAAATGCCTCGTTTGATAGTAGAATTGCCAATAAATGAGATTTCAAGTTCTTCATTGCAAGTTTGCATTTGGAGTATAAATAAATCAATTGAGGATCATTCCCCAACTCGAAAATCGGTAAAATCCTTAAATTTTCATGTGGAAGCAATAGAATAAGTGTTATTTGCTGAATCAAATATAGCATTGAATTATTTACTTTAAAATCAAGAAGAATAGTTGGAAGATCATAGTATTCATAGATGCAATATAACAAAGGGATTATGGTTAAGAGGGAATAAGATTGGATAGATGCAATCAGACTTTACGATTAAGATTCCAGTTTATATGAAATAATAGATGATTGGATTGAGAACAGAAAAGGGATGCACTATTGGAACAGGTATATTAGCAAATTAAAGCATAAAGGAAATTAGTGAAGTAGTAAATTAATTTGAGAAATTGAGTTAGGTAATGTTTAAATTATCATCAAACAATCAAGCTTCATAAAAACAATAATTGATGACTGAATTGCAAAATTTAGCTTAATAATTGTTAGTGGCTGTGAGTAAAAGTGATAAGGATTCATAATTAAGACAATTTTATTACAAAAGTTATGATGATTTAATGAAAGGATAAGAGATATTCATAAAAATAGCAGAGAATCTATTAAATTTTGTTGATAAAATTGAAGGTAATATTAGAGAAATTTATTATGAAATATTATTAATTGTATGTACTAGAGGTGAATTAAGTTTAGGTTCAATGGGATATTTTGATGATTGTAAACAATTAAATAAAAAACAATTAAAATTTAAGAGTTAAATCTGTTGTCATTTTTAATAATTCCTATATAACACATTAAATATTGCTTTATAAAAGATATGTTTAAAAGCTATGTCTCCTAAAGAAAAGGCATTCGTTGAAAAATTTTTAGTTAGTTCATTTTTTAAAGTACCTGAATTTAGAGAAGCATTTGTAAATGCACTTCAAAATCCAAATGATCCTGAATTATCAGAATGGCGTGGTACTGATTATTAATTAGATGACCCAGAGAATTTTAGAACTGAATAAGTTACAGTTTTATTTGATTGGTAAAGTTACTTTTATAATTATTTACCTTCTCATTTAAACATTAATGCTGTTACATTGAATTCAGATGAAGAATGGCGTAGGATCATTGCAAAAAGAAACACAGTCTTCTTCTTCCTTGTTTAAGCTTTGTGTTTACATATATAATAAAAATTCTAAAAGGATATAATTCCTTGGAAAGATATACCTGGATATAGAAAGATTTTGAAAGCACTTTTATGTGAATTAAAAATAAGAGAATCATATCCAGACGCAATGATTAATGCTATTACATAAGTTGTTACTAATGGAGGACCTTTAAATGTTATTATTATGATATTATACAATAAAACTAAGTAAATATTGTTTTAGTATGTATTAATAGCATTTATTCAAGTGATAAAGTTGTTTAAGTAATGGATTTGATAAGTTAATGTATACAATAATGTTAAGCTATCCCAACCAATTTTGATTATCCTTTCTTTTTAAATGGATTGAGAGTGGCAGTTACTTAAAGTGAAAATGCTTATGTGATTGCCAAAAGTTTGCATTTAATCTATAATAACTATTTAGTATTCCCATTAGAATTTAAAAAAGCTATTGTTGACTTTCTATTTGAAGGTCAATGTTATGAATTGTTTTTGCATTGGTCTAAGACTGTTAGAAGTGTTTATATTAGTCTTCTCATTTATCGAATATATCATTTACATAGAAATAATAAGATTTAAATTACAGATGAAAATTAATTTGATAAATAATATTTCCAAATTACTAAGCCAAAAAGATTACAAAGTTATTATGAGAATAGAAAAGAGGAAACATAATTGATGGTAACTCATTAATTATTTTTAGTTAGAGTGATTATATCTATTTGAAGTATTCTAGATTTATGATGAATATTGAATCAGCCAAAGCCAAATTTATTAGCAAATCTTAAAATAAAGAATTACCATTATTTTAAAGGATGAAAATGAAATTAGAATAAAAACTCAAAGTTGAAGGATCATCATTTAGAGATTTGATTATTTGTGAAGAATAAAGCAAAAATCCAAATATTGAAACGGATAAAAGAATAATATATGAAAGAAAGATAGAGTTTAGGAATCCTAATAAAAAAAGAACAATTATCCTTAATGATAATCATCTCAGATATCTTTCTGCTGCTTTAACTGAATACAATGAAATGCAAAAATAATATACTAAATGGAGATAATAAAATATTGCTTCTGTTTAAGCTTCTATCTAAGGAATGACTGATGAAGAGAAAGCTGCAAAACTTACATAATTTCCAGTTCCACAGATAAAACTTATGCAGACTTATGATATGAAGGAAGGCAAACAGGAATGATATTGTTTTATATTTCAACTAAATTATTTTGATTAATATTATGTTTAACATTTTCATGACTTATTGAGTTCCAATAATCAAATGTCACTGCAATATAAAGTTATTATATTGCTTATTTGGTTAACTTTGATTTTACATCATATTAACCGTACTAGTCATTTCTAGTTTTGGTTAACATTGAATAAACATCTGATATTAAAACATTTTAAATAAATGACTAATATCTGCTAATGAATAAAATTATCCTATATTATTTGAACATCCTAAACATCTTGGACACAATTGTGGATTAAATTGAATACCAAGTTAATGTGAATTACAAAGTAATTATTCTTATTATTAATTAATTCCTAATTATTATTATTATTATTATTATTATTAATTCATTCCCAATAATAATTATTATTATTAGTTTATTCCAAGCTATCCATATTCCAACAGAAATTTTTAGAAAGCTTCATTTTAATATTCATATTATTAATGTAACAATTCTTAAGGATTCTATTATTTTTCATTTACTATAGGTTCCTCTTTTATAAAGGCTTATTAATCTATTTAATTTTTTCTATCATTCTCATCTATATTTTCTTATTTAACTTAAATTGATGGCTAATTCTTTTCCTTTGATCGTGTTATCCTTTCAGGCACATCTAATTATAAAGTTCTAAGCTAAGATTTCTTTATTTTAATAGAGCTATTTATAAATTTATATTATTTGTTTTTCTTTTTCTTTTTATATTTTGTAATATTTAATGAATCTTAAGAATCTTCTTAATGATCATCTTCATCAGATTCTTCAAGATCTGATTAATACCTTCTTTTTAAATTAGCATAAAATCTATTTTTGACCATATTTTCCTAAATAATAAGTATAGGATATTACAGGACGACCTTTTAAAAAAGTAGAGATATAACTCCACTTAGTTCCAAACTTCTTATACAGTCTTAAAATTATTTTATCCTCCTCTTCAGTCCATTTCTCATTATTGATATGTCCCTAGAGTTGATTTAAATAACGTTCTCTAACTTATTTTCCAGTTCTCCAATTCATAACTGTACATATCTTGCTCCATTTTTTTCCATACTTCTATACTAATTCCTTTAATTATTCATCCTCTTCTTAGGACCACAATTGTCTTTAAAGTGTCTTAAATCAAATTAAAAAATATTACATTTTCCGGATGTAATGATTACCATTTCATCATACACTCAAGTGGGTTTGGTCCATTCAAATAATTACTTATCAATTTCCAGTTCCCTTATAGACAATCGTACTGTTCATTCAGTTTCTCTACATCTTCAGCCGTCCAAACATATTTACACTTTTTAGTTAATAAATTAGAACAAACCTCATAAATGCCTTCCTATTCGGCTCTACTTTTGATTTAGTTGGATGCAGCACTAATCTCAGAAGTAATCATTTCTTTTTTTAAAAATATTACATAAAATCAAGACTCAATATCACATTTAATACTAAGAAATGACAAATTATATTTTATTCCAATCTTTAATTTCTAATTACATACCTATTAATTAGATACAAACTATACCTATAAAGATGCAACTCTAAAACAAAATCAATAATATCATAAATCATTAACGTAAGAATTTCAATTCCTATTAATATCATCTCAAAATATAATTATATATATAATCTTTATATCAAAAAAGCTCCATAATTTCGTTTCCAAATTAAGGATAGACATATTTGGCTCTTTTAAATCATTACTTCAATCTCACAAAATAATAATTTATTTGCCTCATTTTATTAACATCATCCATCTCAAATATATGATTCTTCTAAATGGTCAATTTGTTTCATTCTTTTAAAATTCTTTAACAATTTCCTATTTATTTATTTACCCTATGGTTTTATTAGTATAATTACAAAATTTAGTTGCTCTCTTTGAAAAACAAAATAAAATGGAAAAATTTCATTATGTCATCATAACACTTTGAAGTTTCTATGTATAATTAAACTTTAATTTTCATTGTATTTTAACATTGTTCACTAAATTATTGATTCAATTACAATTATTGTTTAAATTGGTCTAACTCTAAAGTAAATTTAAATAACAAATTTTTAAGAAGAATATAAGGAATAATATCAAATATCAATAAGTCAGAATTTTATTTTTATTTTTTAATATAAATATCTTTTCACAATCCTCTTTTACTACTATCTTCATGCCGTTATTAATTTTAATAAATATTCAATATCATTTTATAAATATATAAAAACTATATATAATTATTAACAATGACTTAGACTATCATCATAAATAACTATCATATCTAACTAGATTAATTCTATTAAGAATTCAAAATAATATATGTTATGATGGTATATTTCTATTACAAACCTTCTTTCTTTTATTTTATTTAATTTTCTCATTTTATATTTAGTCCTCATTATCTTTGGTACAATATCTATACTTATAATCCTTATTTCTAATCTAAAATTCTGGTAATATTTTGATTAAAAACAGATTCAAATATCCAACCATAATTTTTCTTTTCCCTTTTTATCTCATTCTCTAAAGTTTCCATTTAAAATATCACCAAATTCCCTTATTCTCTAATCTTTTCCTTTTATGAACTGTATCTTCTAAATTAAAATATTCTCATTAGCTACTACAAATTTCTCTTTTATATTCTTATTCAATAAATATCCATATAAATTAATCAATATAACACTAATATATTATCATATAACTTAATTCTTTTTCAGTATAAATTAAAGTTCCCCTAAAAATCTATTGAATTTAGTTGATTCGTATTTTATTTTATCATTAATCATTTTTGTTAATCTTTAATTCCTTTTACACATTAATTTGATTAAAATAATTATTTGTAATTAAATAATACTTATCCTATTTTTATTTAAGGGAACATCTTCATTAGACATATTTATTATTTTAGTATAAAAAATATTGAAAATAAATTACTATATGTTTACATTCATAATTCAAAAATAATTTTGAACTTTCTTAAACTAAAATATGACATTTCTGTAGTTAAAATTAAGATTTTAAAACACTTTAGTCTTTAAAAATTATAAAGGATAGAGTATTTGAATAATAATGTAAAAATGAATTTGATTAAATAAATTGAAAAAAGTGATTTATTAATTATTAAAAGTTAAATTCAATATTAATATAGAAATGATAGATTTTGAGAAAATAACATCTCCTATCGCTAAGATGAGAATGAAAATCAAGATTCTATTGAAAACTTAAATTTATTAATAGGCAATTTGAAATGAAAAAAAGAAAAAGACTAATTTTCAAAATCTCAAAAATTGTAATTAATTGCCAAGCTTTTAGTTACTTTTTTTACTTTGGCTATATAGTTTGTTACATATGTCTGTCTAATTTATGACATTTAAAATAATTAGCTTGTAAGTCTATAATGAAATATTATCGAAATTTATAATATTAGGTGACTATTAAATTTTTATTAAGAATAATTCTAAAGAGGCTTGAAACTATATGTAGTATAAAAAAGGGATTCAAATACTTAAGTATGCAATGTAAAACTTCTTTTTGTTATTAAATAATATTAATAATATCAAATTCGAAAATTTATATATAGACCTTTTCTTGTTTTAACAATATAGAGTTTAGCTTAGGGTGAAATAAAAATTAGAACTTTTTAGCATCTATAGGAGTTAAATTATGAGTAATCTGAAATAAGAAAAGTAAATCAAAAGTAGTTTTAAATTTACTTGTTTGCCAATTTGTAATTGATCCACAATAGAGTACTTTAACTAGACTTATCTTTTCGAAATAAAAATATTCATAAAATCGTTAAACAAAAAAGATATTTTGGCAGGTTCTTAATTATAATTATCAAAAATATAAAAAATTTGTGGATTTATTTTCCTTTATAAATTAAAATCAGCCAAGTATTGTCTAATAATTTTTATTATTTTTCAATTTGGAAATCTTATATGAAATAAAGTCAATAATCTATTCTTAAGTTGCGCCCATACAAGAAAGTGCCTTAAGATAAAAAAAAGCAACTAGTTGAACTGGTATTTTAGAAAGATTGGAAAATAAAATAAGTTTCTATTTATTATTATAATCTAGGCTTCACATTATCTACGTATAAATTATGCTACTGCTAAGAATATCATTTTGAAATATAGAAAGACTATTATTCAAAAAAAAACAACTTAGCTTCCAGAATCAAAGAGATGCCAGTACAAATTGATTGGATTATCTAAATCAATAATAAAAGTAATAAGCAGCTAAGGAGGAATAAAGATATAGGATTTGTGATTTCAATATATTATTATATAAATTTCCTTTCTTGTTGTAAATCTTAATTTGCATTTTTAATTTTACAATATTAATAAATAAATAGAGAAACTTAATATAAAATGAAGATAATAGAGCAAAATATTTTGAATAACTTATCAACACAAAAACATAATTTGTAATATTGATATAATTTAACTTAAATAAAAAATGTTATTTTCTGTATAAATGGAAAATCGATATTATGAAAAATAACTAATCTATTTTGTATTCTTAGAAATTTTATTGTAAAATAATACTATTTATGCATTTAAATTCTTCTTAAATAACTTTTGATTTAGTAAATAAAATAAATTTGATTGAAAGAATAAATAGAAAAAATTAAAATAGGTTTTCTTTAATTATAAAATTACACTATATAGATTGAAGTATTTAATTTTGATTTAGTTCTATTATGTATTTTTAGATAGAATGCAAAATATAAATCATATATAAAATACCCTAGAATCTTGAGAGGCCAAATTAAATTATCATGTATTCTTAGAAGCAAATAGTATAAATGGAAATTGTCAAAAGAACTTTAAATTATAAATTGATACTTAAATAATTATATTGGTTTGTTTTTTGAATATTGAGAATGATGATTATAAACTGAAAATTAATATAATATATCTTTAGTTTAGAAATAGGTATTTTTTTTTAAAGAGAGAAATCTTGTTAATTAAAAAGCTAATTTGAATTTTAAGAATAGGAGGAATTCCAATAGAGATTGTAAAATATAAGAATTGAAACAATTTCTATATTGTGCTAATTTTGAATGAAATTCGAGATATGGATTCTTAAATTTTATAGAATAAAATTAATATAAGAATGGAGAATGAATAAATTAGAAATCGATCCTTTTCGAATTAATGCAAAATTGTTTTTTAAAAGAACTTTTTGCTTTACTTAAGGGAGAAATAGGTTTATGGAGATTTTCTACCTCCATTGATTTGTTTTATCATGTTATACATAGCAAGTATTATATTGTAGGATAAAAAGAATCTAGTAGTGATATTGCTGTTTCATAAAGTAGTGCTTAATTTCTACCAATGAGTTTGTTATTATTAACAAGAAATGTGATAACTGCAATGATAAGTGAAAAATCGGAGAGATAAAAAGAAACATAAAAAGTAAATATATGTAATAATGTAGATTATGGGTTTGAAACCTAATTCATATTCATTTGGATGGATCTTAACAAACTATGTTAGATTATTTGCAGTATCATTTTTTTTTCTGATATTGGTTGTACCTACAGGTGTAATGAAAACTAATGAGATTAATAAAAACTCTTTGACGATGAGTGAAACTATTATAAGTTTTGGAATGTATGGTTTGGCTCAATTATAATTGTGTTATTTGATTGCTGCCATCTTTGAGACTCCTAAAACAGGAGCAGATTTAGCAGTAGTAATAAATGTATTTGGTTCGATTGGAAGTTAACTATTAACCATAGAATATATATAAAAGTATGAATTGATTTATATATTAGACATTCATATGTAGTATATATATTGAGTTTGATTCCTTCATTTTGTTACAATGTATATCCATATGTATCAATTACTGGAGTTGTTGAATTTGATTTTGGAAAAAGAGAGTATTTTGGAGTACTTCTATTTGATATAATATTTTATGGATTATTAGCTTAATATCTAGATTAAGTTGTACCTAATGAATATGGAACAAATAAACATCCATTGTTTTTTTTAGGAGTAAAGTATGAAAATTAAAAGAAGAAGAAGAAAAGTCATGTTTAAAATTATTATGTTGAACCATTAAATGAAGATCTATAAGATGGATAAGATGAGAGTTCTGCTATATTTCATGAACAAATGAAAAATAAAATAGTAATTAATAAATCTATATAATTAGTAAAAAGCAGTTTAAATAGAGGATTTAAAAAGATATTTTGGTGAAACAAAGGCAGTTGATGGATTAACTTTATCTATATATGAATCTTAGATTCTTTGTTTATTAGGACATAATGGAGCAGGCAAAACAACAGCAATTTCTTTATTGACAGGTCTAATTAAAAAAGATTATGGATAAATAAAATATTATGGAATTTCAACTGATGAAGATTTAGATGGTATTAGAAGCTTTTTAGGAATTTGTCCATAGAAGGATGTTTTATATAATAAAATGACAGTAGTTGAACATTTAATGTATTATGGAAAAATTAAAGGATTAGATGGTTAAAATTTGGAGAATTAAATTGAAGAAGTTATAGAAAAGTGTGCATTAACATAAGAGAAAACTAAATAGGCAAATTAATTGTCAGGAGGAAATAAAAGAAAATTATGTTTGGCTATGGCATTGATTGGTGGATCTAAAGTAATATTTTTGGATGAACCTACTTCAGGAATGGATCCAGTTACAAGAAGGAAAATATGGAATATTTTATTGTAAATGAAAAATGAAGGTAAATGTTTAATTTTAACAACACATCATTTGGATGAAGCTGAAGTATTATCTGAAAGAATTGCTATTATGGCTAAAGGTAAATTGTTAACTGTTGGAAGTGTTGATTTTGTTAAGAAGAATTTTGGTATTGGATATCATTTAAATATTTATAATTTAAAAAATTCTTTAGAGATTTGGGAAGATAAAGTTGAAAAAATTAAGTCATTAATTATAAATTAAATTAAAGATGCACGTATAGAACCTTAAACAGCTAATTTATGTATTAGTTTTTCAGTTCCATTTGATAGTAAATCCAGTTTATTAAATATATTTGAAATATTAGAAAATGATTAATCTATTTAAATTAATTTATTGATGAACACTTTAGAAGAAGCTTTCATTAATATTGGTATGGATGAAGAAGCATTTTTAAAAAAAGCTTAAAATAATATTACTGTTTAAAGTAATAATCAATCTGATTAAGATATAAATCTTAATGATGAATTTGCTAAGATCATTCCTCCTAATTGTCTTGGAAATGATCCTATTTATTCATTCACTTTACAATTCAAAGCCTGTTTTCTAAGAAAATTATATGGAATGAAAGGTAAAAGATTAGCTGTTCAACTCTTTTTTTCATCACTCTTTTGTTTCCTTGGTCCATTATTAGGTAATCTTACTTAAAGCACTATTAAACCAATTGATGATAATGATGATCTTAAATCATATTATTTAAGAGAATATATAATATCATTTACTATTTATCTATGTGCTTTTATTGAACTTGTAATGGCTATGAGTATATCTAGTACTAGTATAGGTAGTGTACCAGTATAAGAAAGATAATAAAAATAAAAATATGCTCTTAATGTAATGGGATGTAGAATTGAACCTTATTGGATATCAAATTTTGCATTTGATAGTTGTGTAGTTACAATTTTATTTGCAGTTTATTCATTAACAACACTTTTATTATAAGTAGAATAACTTAATTACTTTGTTGTATATGCTTTATTTTTCTGTTGCTTTATAACATATGTAGCCTTATCATATTTATTATCATGGTTATTTACAGAATTTCTATCTTCTTTGAAATATATGATGTTATTAATGGTTTTTATATTTTATATGCCAGGTATGATTTGTTACTTTGTAATCAAAGAAAAATTTGTTAAATGGATACTATGTTTCCTATTTCCAAGTGTTTCATTATTATCAGGATTAACAGCAGTCTTAGATCTCAATTATAATCCATCAATTATTGAAGTTCCTAATTTTTTTATTGAATAACCTTGGGTGTTTGTTTGTATACTAATATTTCAAACATTACTCTATTTAATATTAGCAATTCTCATAGATCATAGAAAATTATTATCAGTAAATCAATAACCAATCATTGTTGAATCCAAAGATGGAGATGTTATTTAGGAAGCTAAAAGAGTTTAAAGTGAATCCTGTTAAGATAGAGTTATTGCTAGAAGGATCTCAAAAGTATATGCAAATGGTTTCTAAGCATTGAAAGGTACATCATTTGGAGTGGAATCAGGTTAAATATTTGGATTGTTAGGTCCTAATGGAGCAGGTAAGTCAACTACTTTTAATATGATAACTTGTAGACTCAAACCAACTACTGGAGAAATTAAATTAATGGGCTAATTGATTGAAAAAGGTAAAGGAGAACTCTTTTAAAATGTAGGAATCTGTCCATAATTTGACAGCTTATTTGAAATGATAACTGTTAAATAACATCTATTTATTTGGGCATATTTAAAGGGTTTGAATGGAATTGAAGCTATTTAATCAGTTGAATATTTTATGAAAGTTATGTAATTAGATGCATATGAGAATGTTCATTCAGATAAATTAAGTGGAGGAAATAAAAGAAAATTATGTGTAGCATTAGCATTAATGGGTGGTACTAATATGTAATTCTTTGATGAACCTTCCTCTGGTGTTGATCCTATTGCAAGGAGATTTCTTTGGAATGCTATTTAAAATGGAGTCAAATTAAGAAATGGTGCTGTTATTTTGACAACTCACACCATGGATGAAGCTGAAAATTTATGTTCTAAAATTGCTATTCAAATTAATGGACAATTTTCATGTATTGGAACACCTTAACACTTAAAATAAAAATTTGGTGATGGATATAGAGTAAGCTTAGAATTAGAAGAAAATGTTTAAAGTTAATAAGTGATTAAATTAGTTAAATAAGAATATCCTAATTGTGATATCTTAGAAGAGAATAACTATAAAGTTGTAGTTCAATTATAAAAATAAGGATTTTCATTCTTTAACTCATTTAGCTTCTTTTTAGAAATTATCTAAAATTAATATAAATACATTAAAGATTTTTAATTAAATTAAGCTACATTAGAATCTGTATTCATGTATTTTGCTGGTTAATAAGAAATAATTGAATAAGATGAAATCAAAAAGAAAAAATGTGTAATTGCATGTTGTGGCAATGATGAAGATGATTGAAATTTATAATTATGTAATTATTAAATAATTTTGTATATTTTTAAATCCTATCATTCTAATTGTTAAATTTATTATTATTATTATTTTCATATATTTATTATTTGTAGAAAATGTAGAATTTATTTTTTTAATTAATCAAAAATCTTTCATTAAATTGATCATTTAAATAATTAAATATTGCAACTTTATTGCTTAATCAATATATATTATATAATATCTATTCTATAATTGTTTTATATACTATAGAATTTATTTATATTTTTAAATCTTCTATAAGAACATGGAAATTCTAATCAAGGCTTCTTATAATATTTTTATGCATTAAATTCATTAAATATACCATAAATAGAGAATTTTTAAAACAAAACCATAAATAATTTGTAGTTCTAACATTATTTATCATATTTGATTTTACTTTCCTCTACAAAAAGTTTATAATATTAAAAAAGACTTTAAAAAATTTCAATCATTTAGATATTATGTAAATAGTACTTCTTTCAAGATTTATTTAATATACTAATATGATTATTCTTTAACGCTTATAAAGGAGCATGCTTGGAAGAAGACGTATATCTAAAGCTCTTAAGTAACTCTAAATCAAATAATATAGATAGTTTCTAGATTTATTGGATTATTATTAATTTATATTATTATCAAATGAAAAATTAGAATGAGAAATTGATACAAGATCAGTTGAGTAAAATGAATGAAATTTATTCAGATCAATAGGGTAATAAAAACTGTAATTCTATTCACTGTTAATAATCATATGGATTTATGTCTAAATAATAATAAATATAAAGAAGCATCAAAGTAAATCATAGCAAAAGAGCATTCTAATTATCTAATTAGGTAGAAAATAAAAAAGATGATAAATAAATATAAATCCAAAAAAATAATGTAGATAGTTAACCTGGATCATATAAATTAAATTAGTTAATTATAACTTGTTAAAAATAAAAAATTATCTATTATACATTAAAACAATTTTAGTATGATCTAGTTATTTTGATGGAGAATAAGTTATTTTATTGTAAATCAGAAAGTTTTAAGGAATTTAAAATTGAAGTTTAAAATAAAATGTAGAATAAAATATTTTATTGTAAATCAAAAAGTATGAAGGAATTGAAAATTGAAATTTAAGGCAAACTTTATTCTACTTAACTTGATAAAAATTAAAACCCAAAATACAATATTTAAGAGGGAACATTTTGTTTTGATTTAGAACAAAAAAAAATTAATTTAATTAAGAAAGACAAAGAATATTTAGGGAAATCAAATATATTACTCTATGAGTATACACAAAAACAATAAGATGAGGCAAATAAAACTAAACACTAAGAATTAAGATCTTAAAGTTAACCTTAAAGAAAAAAAATTATTATAAAAGAAGACGGAATAATTGTTAATAATAGACATATTGGCGAACATAGAAGGTAATACTAAAAATTAAAAATTTGGTGTAAATATAATTAATCATTAAATGAGAAAGNTCCTCTACAAAAAGTTTATAATATTAAAAAAGACTTTAAAAAATTTCAATCATTTAGATATTATGTAAATAGTACTTCTTTCAAGATTTATTTAATATACTAATATGATTATTCTTTAACGCTTATAAAGGAGCATGCTTGGAAGAAGACGTATATCTAAAGCTCTTAAGTAACTCTAAATCAAATAATATAGATAGTTTCTAGATTTATTGGATTATTATTAATTTATATTATTATCAAATGAAAAATTAGAATGAGAAATTGATACAAGATCAGTTGAGTAAAATGAATGAAATTTATTCAGATCAATAGGGTAATAAAAACTGTAATTCTATTCACTGTTAATAATCATATGGATTTATGTCTAAATAATAATAAATATAAAGAAGCATCAAAGTAAATCATAGCAAAAGAGCATTCTAATTATCTAATTAGGTAGAAAATAAAAAAGATGATAAATAAATATAAATCCAAAAAAATAATGTAGATAGTTAACCTGGATCATATAAATTAAATTAGTTAATTATAACTTGTTAAAAATAAAAAATTATCTATTATACATTAAAACAATTTTAGTATGATCTAGTTATTTTGATGGAGAATAAGTTATTTTATTGTAAATCAGAAAGTTTTAAGGAATTTAAAATTGAAGTTTAAAATAAAATGTAGAATAAAATATTTTATTGTAAATCAAAAAGTATGAAGGAATTGAAAATTGAAATTTAAGGCAAACTTTATTCTACTTAACTTGATAAAAATTAAAACCCAAAATACAATATTTAAGAGGGAACATTTTGTTTTGATTTAGAACAAAAAAAAATTAATTTAATTAAGAAAGACAAAGAATATTTAGGGAAATCAAATATATTACTCTATGAGTATACACAAAAACAATAAGATGAGGCAAATAAAACTAAACACTAAGAATTAAGATCTTAAAGTTAACCTTAAAGAAAAAAAATTATTATAAAAGAAGACGGAATAATTGTTAATAATAGACATATTGGCGAACATAGAAGGTAATACTAAAAATTAAAAATTTGGTGTAAATATAATTAATCATTAAATGAGAAAGATGAACTCATATTAAAAAATAAAAAATGGTTAACTAGTAGTATAATAGATAGTTTTGTATTTTATCTTAATTTAGAAGGTGAAAAAGAATATATTAAACAATAAGAAAATAATTATACAAAATAAATTAACAGAATATTATTTTTACCCACTAGTTTAACCACAAATTTTGGAATTTAATATGATGTTTACAAAGCTTAACAATTATTTTAATAAGAATTACTAGAATATTAAGAAATGAATTTTTAATTAAATTTAATCTATGATAAAATAGGAATTCCAATAAATAAAAATAATATACATTGGCAATTCCTATTATTTGATTATTAAAAAAATTGTGTAGAACTTTTTGATTCTCTATCATAATCTTTTAAATTTGATCAGAATTTAATTGAAACATTAGCATAATTATTAAAGTTATAAAATTACAAATAAAACAAACTTTATTATTATAATTAATAATAAAATGGTTATGCATGTGGGTATTATGTTTGTTCATTTATGCATTATTAATATAGACTTTAATTTGATCAGAATCTCAAAAAACATTCTTATGATGAAGAATAAATTACTAAATTATTATTAGATGTTATCAAAGATTAAGAAAATTAATGAATATTTAATCTTATTATATTGTCTATTACTATTTCAAGAATTTTTATTGTATATTATATATATAATTATATTAAATCAATTCATAGTTTATTTTTGTGTAATTTTAGTTTTGAATAATTAAGGTGGTCCTCTTTTTATACTAAAATAAAATTTGAAAGCCTGAACTATTAAATATTTATTATTAATTATAATAATAAAATAATAAATATAAAATTTGATAACAAGTAAATAATTGAATTTAACATCATGGAATTATATATATAATGTATTTACAAATTTTAATCTAAATAATTTGTAATTATTTATCATAATGAAGACTTTATTTTAAACAAATAATTTGAAATATTAGAATTATAATTAAAAAATACAATTGTTTTTTTATTCAATATATTGTTTATTATAAATTATAATAGAACAACATTTGAAAATTCTAATGAAATTAGAAAATAGATTCATCTTTGAGTGATTTATATGATGAATTTAAATTTAGTAAATATTACTGTTAAAATTATAAATGAATAATAAGCATAGATTTCTGTTGAGGTATTTCAATCATTTACTTTATTTATATTCATGTTTCTTGTCTGTTTTATGTAAAAGAAATTAATTTTCATTTATTGAATAATATTTTTCAAAAATAGTGATAAATGAAATTTAATAAAATAGGTGTATTTTCAATAACTTTTATAATGTTATGAGAATAGATAATAATTGAATTTGAGATCTTGGAAAGTTCAACTTAAAGTAAATTACATCAAATGAACATGAGATTAATTCAAATATTCTTTATTTTATTTCTCATATTCTGACATGTTGAAGAAATTTCCATTGAATTAGTCTTACATCTCAATATAGTAATATATAATATTTATTATATGAATCTCAAACTTCTTCAATCTAAGAATATTCAAATGAGATTTAAGAGACAGCATCTCCTCCAACCCTTGTAATAATGGTAATCTTGCACTTTTTTGAATTTACAGAAGCTATCTTGCATTCTGACGAAGATTTAAACTCAAGTTTTTGTTTAATAACATTGTCTCTATGACATACTATGATGGTTTTGGCTGCTGCATATTTGATATTCAATTGCTTTGCTGCCTAACGATATAGATGAGAGTAGAAATTACATGTTTTATTTTAAATCCCATTAGGAATACCATATTCATAAGAGTCTTTTTTTTAATGTTTGAAATTTTTTAATAGGTTCTAGTTTTTTGGGAATTTTATTTCATTTTATTTATAAAGGATTTGAAAAAATTTAAATTTTTAGCTACTTTTAATGAGTTTATATTATAGAGTTGATTTTAATATAATTATGAATTGTACAGGATAATGGTATTCGAGAACAAGTGAAACTAATTTAATAATTAAGCTAGTGATCTGATGCTTCAAAGGCTATTTCTCAACTATTAAGTAGATTACCTTTATTATACTTTGTCTTTTATCCAGTAACAGAAGCTGTATAAAATATGCTTTAAGTCTAATGATTTTTTTAATCTTTTTCAATTTTTCCATATTATTAATGATAGTTGAGTAGATTGATAAAGTAAGAAGACTAATTAGATTACATTTCATTAATAGCAGATTGTATTAAATTTTAATATATGTAATAATAAAATGTAATTTAAAGTGAATTATTTTGGCACAGTTCAAACAGAAAAGTATCTATGTTAGACTCGTTATATTAAAATGTTATAAAATATGCTATTAGACATATAAATTAGTCTGAAGTTATTTTTAGATATTGAATAGATATGAAAATTAGTTTAATTATAGGAGAAGTAGAAAAAGAAAGAGGAAATGATAGGATTCTAGGAAATATTTGAGTTTAAAGTAAATTTGAATAAAGCATTCTATCAAACTAGATGTTGAATTGAAATATCTGAAATATTTATTAAAATATAATATTTTTATATAAATTTTGGTTATCTGTCTATGTGTTGATTATAAAAATATTGTGATTTATTGTATATCCCCTTTTAGTTTGTCTATAAATATTGAGAATAATGATGATTTGTTAATTTAAATGAAAAATATATATTTATCAGAATTTCTTATTATATTTCAACTTCTAAATAATTTTTAAGGTGTTCCAAAAAAGAAACGATTGGTTGTATTTTGAAATGGCAAATTTGTAAATAGTGCACAGATTGGATCTAAGAGCTTAGCACGATATTATTCTTCTTTTAATAAAGCATGGTATTCATAAAATGAAATATGACCATCTTAATTTTAATCAATTTTAACAAATAAATTTGAGCCCCATTCATTAATTTATTATTCATAAATTATTTAGTTTTAAATATCCTAAAGTAAAATTTAGTAATTACAAATATTGTTTACAAATATTCACATAATTAATCTTTTCCAAATTTTCCTTCCTTATTTGCATACAAAAGATAAGTAAACTTCATTATTATAGTTTCACTAAAACTTAAATATTTAATAATTTAAATAAATTACCTTTATTAATAAAATATAGAAACAAAACAAATAAAATCTTAGAAATCAATTGGATTTTTGAGTCCATTTCTTGCTAAGAAAGTGGCAATTTTATCACCTAATAAGGGTGGGATTTTCATATCTTATAAATAATCTTTAAAATTATCTTGTTGTATTTATCTATATTACTATTATAGATTATTTTTATCAAAGAATTAATTAATTGACTAGGTATTATAATAGTATTAAAAATACATCGAAAAGATTCTCTATATATGTATATGGGAGTTTAGTCAATTAAAATATTTATTACAATTATTAACCTTTGTCTTTGGTATCTATTGAATATTTACAAATAATACATACCTGAATTATTCTCCAAAAACCATAACATCTAATTGTCTTGAATTTATTTGAATTAAATATATGATGAACCTTTATTTAAGATTTCATATATTTTCTTCATTGAATAATCTTCCATCTTTAATCTAAAGAGTTCAACAGCTATTACTTCTTAAGAAACTTTGACACTTCCAAATTAAGTTTCTATAAATTAATCTGCAAGTTCTTTGAATTTCCTAAAACATACTTCATCTATGATTGAAAAATCATCATATGGTATTTTATTGGGATGATTCTAATTAATTACTAAGTATAACAGAGGACCAGATGTTTATAAACCTTATTCAACATGTTTTTCAAATTCTAATAGGGTAAGCTATGGTTTTAAAACTATCTTGCATTTAGAGGAATTTTAATATGTATTTAAATAAACTGTGGTTACAACACAACCATCATAAGTAGCTTCAGTGCCAATAATTAATAAAGTATCATCAATTAATTCTTTTTTACTTGTTAAATATTCTTAAAACATAGCAAGATCATTTATTAAATATTGTAAGAAGGAGGTAAAATTATTATGAAATACTTGATTGTTCTTAATAAGATCATTTAATGACAATATCAAATGAGTTACTTAAGTAACTATCTCACAAACTGATTAATAGAGGGGTTTCAAATATTTTTTTAATATTAATGGTTAATATTTATCTATATTCTCTAAAAGTTTAACAAAATATTATTTAATTTCATTAATAGCTTATTGATTTGGAAGTATTTAATAGATAGTTTCTAAGGCTTAATATGATAATTATGGTTTTTATCTCAACATTGGTTAAAAATGTAGATTAAAGGTGATGCAATATTCAGTAATTTCATTAATAACAAGATAATCATATTGACAATTAATCATTATCTAATTATTTGAAGTAAAGACTTAATTATTATCATTAAGTGCTTTAATGAGTAATTTGAAAAGCCATTAATCAGTGGATAGAATTTAAAAGGTATTACTATCTTGACTCATTAATCTTAAGATTGTAAGTATTTTATATTTAAAGTACTTTTAAAAGTTAGCATCTACATTTTAAACGAATTGACTTTCAAGAACATAAAGGAATGACTATAAATTATTAGATTCTTATAAATATTTTAAGAGTATTCCAGAATTTTCAAGACATAGAGTTTTAAAAAATAATTTTTTTGCTTAATAACTAATTTATGAATTAGGATCTGTAATAAGTTACATTAAAATATTCAATAGATTATTGGATAGAAGAATATTTTATGCAGTAAAATTTTAATAATTTAATTGATAAGGTAATTTAAATATCTTTTTTAAGGTACTTAAAATTTATAATTTAAATCTATTATCTGTAGCTTAATTTTGTAATTATTATAATAAAGCTATAAGTACATCTTAATGTATTTATGTAGCCAATAATGGTTAAATAATAATAAGCATATTAATTTAAATTTGTATTCTGATTTAGTTTTTTTCTATAGATTAAATTAATCCATATTATTAATAATAAGCAATAATACTTTATAGCCAAAGTAAATTATCTGGTAATTTATTCATTTAAGTCATAAATTTACTGGCTTAATGACTTTCATATCTAGAGAATAGACAACCAATAAACCAACTATGATAGAATATCTTTTCATCATCAATTTATTAGATATCTAATAATGCTTATCTTTTAGTAAATAATATTTATTGAAATGATTTATCGTATAATATTAGATGTCCAAGTAATATATATCCTTATTCAATAATGAGATCATTTTATGTTTCAGAGATGATATTTAATATTGTATCTACTAATAAATTACTTTAAATTGGTATGAGTATTTGAATATCATAGATGTGAATAGTAGCTGCAATTAATGTAAGTGCTTGCATTCCTAGAATTTAATTTTAATCTTTTTCATCTGTAATATTTTAACCTTATTCTTTTTCATCATCAACTAAAAGTAATTTGAATAAATGATTGCAATAACCATTATTTATAATCTAAACAATCATTTAATTGGCATAATCTATTTTGTTAATTTTTACGTGGGGTAATCTTTATAATAATAAACTTTTGAGAACTTATATAATTTATGCTGGCAAAATATTAAAGTCTTAAAATAGTATGATATCTTAATGAAGTTAATTTAATGAAGGTTCAAAAGAATCTCTGCAAATGAAATAATATTTTTTAATTTATTTATTTGATGATCTATTTTCAAAGGATGCTAAAATTTGTTCAACTGATTATAAATTTTAGGTTGTAAACAATTATTTGAATGGAGATGCTAAAAAGGCTATTTATAATTATTGGAGATATCTAGAAATTAATTGTAATCCATTACTAACTCTATTCTTCAAGGGAAGACTATGATTTCAAGTATGTTAGACATTATACTTTTTTAAGGTATTCTACAAACAACTTTAAATATTCATTCCAATCAAGTTTTCCATCTTTGTTTTCATCGAAAATGTTAAAGCATTCTTGGATAGTAAATTATGAGACCTGATTATTTTCTGCCAATCTATGTATTAGATTGGTGAAATCAGTGATTCTTGAGATAATTTTTAGAGGTATTACCCAAAATGAGTTTTATTGATTCCTAAAATACTAATGAAATTATTTCTTATTTCATTTAAATGAAATTCATTTAGTATTCTCTAACTAAGTATACGCGACTCTTAATCAATAATTTCCATTTATTTATTTTATTAATTTATTTTACTAAATATAAAACTTATTAGTTTCTGATTCCCATAATAGAGATATATGATTATGTAAATTGTGTCTATTCTTTTCAATTGTATTATCAATTATTAAATTATAGACAATAAACTTTGTTAACTAATTTTAATTCATTCATTTTTCAAACATCATTTCATATTAAAGTAGTAACTCTGTTTAAGATTCTAATACTATATTATATATATTATCAATTGATCAAAATATTTATCTATGACATTTGTAATGCATTTATATATTATTATATATCAATAATCCTTTAAGTTATTATAATCTCTAGAAAAGAATCCAATATAATTATTCAGTCATCCTATAATTCTCTTTGTATAAGGAATCTAATATATAATCATTTTAAGTGTTTTTCTTATTGATTAATACTTATGTGTTTAAGAGACAGAATGTAATTAATAATATTTCATATTTCTATTTTGCATAGATTTTGGGAATAAGAATCAAAACATTTTACAATAAGTATTCATTTAAATTAGTCTATATAGATCTATCTATTCATAGTGTAAGAAATGCAGATATGTTTTCCAAATTCATTATTGTTATAATAAATCAGATTCTTTTTCAATATTTAGTACGTTTATTAAGAATGAGTTTTTTTTCATAAAATTAATTATTGAGTAACAAATCAATTTAATGCAATTATATCCACAACTTTGACTCTTTGATTTTCTCCCTATACGATTTTCAAGATAGCCTATATTTACTAATTAATTATCAAATAAATAATCTTACACTTCTACATATCAAACATTCTTTTCGTTGTTAGAACCAATCAAAAGCACATTTAGAACATACACCTCCATGACCACATGGAATGTAAACTGTACAACTTTATTATTAAAAACAATTAAAACATTATTTCATTGTACTATCATGTTAAACTACCTCTGTTAGAGTTGGAGATTTATTAAAAACACCACCAGCTGAGTTAATTTCAGTTTAGTTTTTTTAATCTTCTGGTAGATAGTAAGTACTTGAGATCTTAATTAGTTATTTAGGAAAATCATTTAAAATGTTATCCCTAAAACAATGAACAAATTTCTTTTAATTTCTTGAACTAGGAAAACTGATGATTTCCATTTCTCTTTCAATATGTTGTTGAGTTTGTGATGATAATAAATTCAATATAAAAGCTGATAATATATCTTTTCGATATAAAGTATATACCATAAAAACTAGAGTATAGAATACACTTGTTAATATTGAAAGAATGTAATAATGTTCCACTTTTTAATCTAATGAAATACTAATTTTAAATAGTGTATATGCAGGTATACCACAAAAACCAAAAAGAAATAAATTGATCCAAATCATTCCTATAATTTTAATCATCAATAATTATCTTTAATCAATATTACTATTGAAATATTGATTTATTATGATTGACAATTTAAATAGAGAAAATAATATCAAAAGTACTATTATAAATAAGAATAACCAAAATATTGAAAATGTGTATATCCATCTAATTGATAACCAATTTATCAATTTCATATTTATGAACATCAATTAAGTGACAAAACAAAATCTAATCAATACTACAATCTATCTTTATTATTTATAATAATACCAATTTCTGTTGATGATCTTAATCTTTATTTCTATATAATTAAAACATAGATTGCATCAACCATATGATTGTATAAAGTGTTAAAAACATCGATAAGTATTGCATTTAAAAATCATTATTATCAACAAAATAAATCAAGCAACTCTGATCATATTTATCAAACATACATAATAAGATATTAATCCAACACCCCACATCAATTCAAAACAACATTCTGGATTACTATTTCCTCTGTCTATTAAACTATTTTTTTATACATCTTATGATAAGCAATGCAAAATTTTATCAAATATAAGAGATGTCCAATACTTAGAAATAGAATTGGTATCCTAAGGCTTAAATTAAATGTGAACGATGAAAGTAACAATGTCAAAAAACAATTAAACAATATCACTATCAAAAGAGCCTAAATAGAATAACTATTACTGTAGTTAACCAGCTATAAGCTATTTATAAATAATTTATTGATTCAGGTTCTACTGGTAGGGCCTCAATACTCAACTCTGAATTATTACGCCTTCTTGGAGTTGAACTTTGAAATTATTATTAATTCATTATAATTAATTACATCAAATTCAAATATATTACTTTCAAGAATGTTTTAAGGTATATAATAAAATATATATTATAAAAAAATTCTAATTTCATATATCGTTATTAATTTTTGAATTTCAAATAATAAAATATATGAATAGTTCTCCCTACATAGTTAAGAGAAAACAAAGAGTTGGTGATTGGATCTGTGGTGTATGTAAAAACTTAAACTTTTCATTCCGAAATCAATGTAAATCCAATGAACAATATCCAGGCAATCGATGCAATAAGTTCCCGCATAGAAAATCATCAAAGCAATAATTTAGAGGTTTTAGAACATTGGTTCTCATCCATTATGAGGAACCAATAGAAAGTGTTGATGAATTACTAGAAAACCAAATTGATCCAATAGTTAAATCAAGCCTTTTGGTGTTGGATATGGATCAATTTTGAATTTACAATTTTTGTATTTTTTATTTTTCTGCTTTTCATAAAAAAATTGAAAGCATAATTATATAATAAATTTATTTACAAAATATATGAGTGATCAAAGACCATACTTATTAAGTCAAAATAAAAGTGTACATCATTTCTAAAACACTTTCTTCAAATAAGAACCATCTCCTAGCAAATCCCATCGTAAATAACTAGAATAACATGGATCACCTAATCATTTATCTACTTCTCTTTCCTTTTCAAAATAACTTGCAAATAAACCAAAATAAGCATAATAAGACACTTCTTATGTCTATTATCTTATACAATAAATCAAATAGATGGAATAAACAATAGAAGAATTAAAATAAGAGAATCAGTTATTAAAATCTCAATAGAAGATTGGATATCTAGTATGATTTATTATTATAAAACATAGGATTTACAATTTTAACATAAATAAATGAATAAATATCATAATATATTGAAGTCTGTTCAATAAGTTAAATTGGATAATATAAAATTAAGAAAAAGTATAGAACAAATGAATTTGATGATGAAAATCCATTTGGCACCTGTGAATGAAATGTTTTAATAGTTGATTCATCCAGAGAGTACAGCTATTGCTTTTGCTCATAAAGATTCAATAAATCATTAATAGAATGATTCAATAAATGACTCAACATTAAATATTAAAATACATGCTAATATAAACAAATATTAAAAATGTAAAACTGAGACTTAACTCAAGGATTAAAAATGAATTTATAATATATATATATATATATATCGTATGTATAAATAGAGAAATGGATAGTAAATATCGTTGTCGGCCATACTAAGCCTAAAGCACCGGATCCCATTCGAACTCCGAAGTTAAGCGGCTTAAGGCGAGGTTAGTACTAAGGTGGGGGACCGCTTGGGAAGTCCTCGTGTTGACAACCCTTTTTTTTATTTATTTTTAATATTATAATATTAATTCATTTAATAAATTAATTTTACAATAGGAAATATAAAAAAGTTTATTATATTAATTATTAATATTAAAGTGGATTAATGGTTAAATTAGGTATATTTTAATTGAATCTTTGAGCACCAATATTCTATGGAATTATGCAAATCTATTTGCTAAGCATTTTTAGCATTGTAGATGATAGTTTATTTGAAAGTTCAAAATTGGGTACTTATTATTTCTATTTGATGATAATGTTTACTTTAATTTTCTATGGTTTTACTGCATACAAGGATGTAAATAATAATGATATGATAAGCCAGGATTTGTTACCATAAGTGATTATTAATACACAGATAGTTCGAATCCATATTAAAAAAAGCGATAATAATTTCATCAATTCCCAGGAAATTCTCAATAGAGAACAAAAGAGCAAATACAAGAGGAACAAATCGATTTAAAAGTTGTAGAATAAGCTAAAGTGAAGCCAAAGTATAATAAATCAATTTATTATAGGAATAAAGATGAATTTGAAATGGAATGTGAAGCTTCAGTTGATGAATAAAATTTCCCTGATAATGAAATTCAAAATATAGATAATAATGCTAAATCCTATGAAAAAACTCCAGAGAAATCTAAGACTCCTTCTAAGATGGTTTCATAAATGTAAAGTCCACATTAAAATAATGCCAGAACTTCTTAAGTACTATCTTAAGGAAGTACTAAGCCTGATATAAATAATAATAATAATCCTAATACACAAACAGAACCTCCATTTAATTATCAATAAGAAATCAATGTTGAATAAGTTGAACATCAATAATCACCTAAATCTGCAAATAATGATAAAAACATTGATTAAAGTGTACATCATGGAAATAGTATGTTTATTGAAAAGAGATATTGTCCAATATGTAATCAAGATTAAATTATTCGTTCTAAACATTGTAGATAATGTAATAGATGTATAGCATTATATGATCATCATTGTCCATGGGTATTAATATAAATATTTNGTAAATATCGTTGTCGGCCATACTAAGCCTAAAGCACCGGATCCCATTCGAACTCCGAAGTTAAGCGGCTTAAGGCGAGGTTAGTACTAAGGTGGGGGACCGCTTGGGAAGTCCTCGTGTTGACAACCCTTTTTTTTATTTATTTTTAATATTATAATATTAATTCATTTAATAAATTAATTTTACAATAGGAAATATAAAAAAGTTTATTATATTAATTATTAATATTAAAGTGGATTAATGGTTAAATTAGGTATATTTTAATTGAATCTTTGAGCACCAATATTCTATGGAATTATGCAAATCTATTTGCTAAGCATTTTTAGCATTGTAGATGATAGTTTATTTGAAAGTTCAAAATTGGGTACTTATTATTTCTATTTGATGATAATGTTTACTTTAATTTTCTATGGTTTTACTGCATACAAGGATGTAAATAATAATGATATGATAAGCCAGGATTTGTTACCATAAGTGATTATTAATACACAGATAGTTCGAATCCATATTAAAAAAAGCGATAATAATTTCATCAATTCCCAGGAAATTCTCAATAGAGAACAAAAGAGCAAATACAAGAGGAACAAATCGATTTAAAAGTTGTAGAATAAGCTAAAGTGAAGCCAAAGTATAATAAATCAATTTATTATAGGAATAAAGATGAATTTGAAATGGAATGTGAAGCTTCAGTTGATGAATAAAATTTCCCTGATAATGAAATTCAAAATATAGATAATAATGCTAAATCCTATGAAAAAACTCCAGAGAAATCTAAGACTCCTTCTAAGATGGTTTCATAAATGTAAAGTCCACATTAAAATAATGCCAGAACTTCTTAAGTACTATCTTAAGGAAGTACTAAGCCTGATATAAATAATAATAATAATCCTAATACACAAACAGAACCTCCATTTAATTATCAATAAGAAATCAATGTTGAATAAGTTGAACATCAATAATCACCTAAATCTGCAAATAATGATAAAAACATTGATTAAAGTGTACATCATGGAAATAGTATGTTTATTGAAAAGAGATATTGTCCAATATGTAATCAAGATTAAATTATTCGTTCTAAACATTGTAGATAATGTAATAGATGTATAGCATTATATGATCATCATTGTCCATGGGTATTAATATAAATATTTATTTAATAGACAAGTAATTGTATTGGAGAAAGAAATAGATGTGTATTTTATTGGTTTCTATTTTTCTAAATCTAAGAAATACTATATGTAATGAGAGAAGTAAGTTTTAATTATCATTAATAGGCTTTTCCACACCTTGACTTCTCTTAATACAAAGGATTATTTTTAGCTTAGGTTATAATAAGTCTAATTATATCAATATCTATGGCATTAATGGTTCTCAGTTTATTTTTATTCCATTCTTTATTAACTTGTAAGAATATGACTACTTGGGAATATAAGAGTTGGAAGAGGATTTCATATCTTAAAGATTTTCCATAATAATTAGGATCACCATTTAGCAGTGGATGGAAATAAAATCTTCGATAGTATTGTCGTTTTTCTGTGCCTAAATTAACAAATTGGGAATATGGTACATAAAATTTGAATTTTATAAAATGAATAATTAATCAATATAGTGATAATGTTTATATCAATATCAAGAAATTTTATAATTCAATTTAGATTTAGAAAACATATAAAATAAATAAATTAATTATTGTTGTCACAAAAATTATAATTTTAATAAGAAATTACCAAACATTAGAATAAAAATACACCATTTAAATTTCAAATGGAAGATTAAAATTTTTTGGAAGAATTATAAATTATATCTATAAATTCAAGTAAAGAAATGTAGTTAAATATTTACATTGTCTATTAAATAGAATTATGTAAAAGAGATGAAGAATTAAAAAATAAAATATTCAAATTATATTTTAATTATTAATATTATTATTATTATAATGGAATAACACAAACATATTTTGAATGAACAAGATGATCATCTTAATGAAATAGCTGATATTGCAAATAGATTACACCATGCTGCTATCAATATTAATGTTGAAATTGATGATCAAGGAAAGTATGTTTATTTTTTTTATTATTTTAAGTAAAATTAAACAATTAGATGTAGAAATGGATAAAACTTAAAAGAAGATGAATTTTGTATAAAAAAAATTAGGAGACTTACTAAAAACTAATGGTAAAAATTTGTAAATATTAAATTCTAGATTAAAGTTAGATCTGTACAATTCTTATACTTTTTGGGACGCTTTGTGCATTAATTTTCCTCTTGATTTATACCTGATATAATATATAATATATAACAATATGATAGGAATTAAATAATAATTTATATTGTCTAATATTTATACAATATGTTTTGATCATATTATGTTAAATTCTTTCTAATTATGTTTTATTTTAATTTAAATATTATATAAATAATTATAAATATAATGTTTTATTGAAATATAAATATTTATTATCATTTAATAAGCGAGAAACCTTCATTCATAGTCACAAATAATTCTGGTTCTTGATAAGAAAACTTATCATAATTGTCTTCTTGAACCATAGATTACATTGGAGTGTCTTAAACAACTTCTTATGTGAATGTCTAGATGATAAATTTATAAATTGAATAATTGATACAACGTCAAAATTTCTGAGATCTCGGTCTCCAAATAATTTAGGTTTGAATGGAGGTGCAACCTTTTTATCCATAAGATCATTCCAATCAATACCATTGAAAAATGGATGTGATTTCACTTCATTAGATCCATCTGATCCTAATCTATCTTTAGGCTTTTAAAATTTAATTCATAATAATATTACATTGTTCTTTAGTAATTATTTAATAAGATCTGTAGCTTCTTCTGAAATGGGAGTCTTAATTTCAATTTGTCTTTCTAATCTACTACGAATCATTTATCTTTTATTTTGAGAATAGAATGGTGGGATGCCTTATAACATAACATACAAGAGAATTCCTAAAGAATACCAATCTGCACTTTGATTATGACCCTAATAAATATAAGTAAATAGAGTATTATTACTTTTTTTAAATATATTTCTGGAGCCATATAATCATATGTACCACAAATAGTAGTAGTGAAATCTCCTTCTTTAATATCTTCTTTACAAAGACCAAAATCTGTTATTTTGATATGACCTTCTTGATCTAGCAAAATATTTTCAGGCTTTAAATCTCTATATATAATATTTTGATTATGTAAATATTCTAAAGCTAAGATAATTTCAGCACAATAAAATTTAGCCCATGATTCTTCCATTTTTCCAATTCGTTTTAAATGATAAAACAATTCTCCTTTTGAATAAGATTATATAATTATACCTCCAATCATAAAATCAATTACAAAATACAATTTCTATTTTGTTTAGAATGCATAATATAAATTCACAATAAAAGGACACTTAACCAAAGCTAAGATATTTCTTTCTGTTTCCATATAAATTCGAGAATTCATTTATTGTATAAGATCTTTTCTTAAAATTTTCATAGCATATAATTTTGATTAACTCTTATGATTTACTAAAACTACCTTCCCATAACCACCTCTACCAAGAACCTTATCTAGAGAATTCATACTTTAAGAAACTCAAAATCCTTTAATGATACTTTTTCCTCATCACTTAATCTGATTTGCTCTACTTACATTCCATTAAGTTCATCTTCTTATTAAAACTTTTCTTATGATAAGGTTGTGTGCTATTCTGATTCTTACTTTGAGAGACAGAGTCCCATTTATAATAATAATCTCTATTGTAAATATATATTTTAAATAACATCATTTGTGTTATGATTAAATATTACTAATTGATGTTATTCATAATGACTTCAATTATTGGAATATGAGTTTAATCTGATTCGGATTTTATTGGATGAGATTATTAAGCAAAGCAAGATTATCATTTGATTCAACCTTTTATTTTAGCTCATCAATATTTATTAATTAATACCTTAAAAACACCCTTTGTTGAAGGAAAATATTATAAAATAATATATACAGTAAAAGTATTCAGGTTTCCAAAAGGGAGATGATTAAATCATAAATTATTTGTGTTAATCTTGCAATTATAATTGATCCCCAATCTATCATTATTAAATACTATAATACACAATCATTCTTTATTTTTTCTAATTCTTCAATCTAAATATAACGATATTATTCATCTTAATCTCTAATTAATAAATGATCTCCAATCTATCCAATTAAATATATGAAATCTTGAAATGATTAAGTACTCATTATTTTAACAACCTTTATTTTCTCCTCTGTAATACTATCCTATTGTTTATTCTCGGCTTTTAATTACTAAGGTCTCCCCTTCCTTCCTTTTATAGACTCTGATGATGGTCTTTTTGTTCCACTCTATCATCCTATTTAATTCATACAGGTGTAACTCCAAGATGTTTATTTTTGATGTGAGTATACAGAGCAGCATTCGTTCCATATTTCTTTCGACATAGGGAATCTCCACATATATATTCCTTTACTCTTTTTTTAACCTCAGAATCACTAGAAGATTATGAAGTTGTTATCATAATTAATTTATTCTTATTTATTGTATCAAAAAATCAAGACCTTTCAATTATCTTTTATCAAATATATGTTAGATCAAATAGCCATCATAAAATAGCATAAATTTCATTATTCAGTTTCTAACCATTTTGTTCTTTTACCCTCTATCCATTCTCCTCTTTTTCTTGCTCCATTTGCAGTTATATATACTCCTTCTCCATGTTATTTACCATTTTCCCATAATCCTTCATATGATCTTCCATCAGGCCATTAAAATTTACCAAAGCCTTACTTCTTATCTTCTTTGTACTAAACTTTAAAATAATAACTACATTTCCTGTATATAATCTGCCATCTGACCAAACAAATTTTCCATATCCATCCATTTTATTGTGCTTCCACTATCCCTCATAAACTCTTCCATCAGCCCATTTATAAACACCATATCCATGAATATCATTCTGACTAAATTCTCCTTCATATCTATTTTATTGGAAACTATAATACTTAGATCCATCTGTCCAAGCAAATTTCCCCTTTCCATCTTTTTTCCCTTATTTATATTCACCATCATATATAGCTCCATCAGGCCATTTCTCAATTCCCCTTCCATCTTATTTATCTTCACTCCATTCCCCCTTATAAACTGCTCCATCTAGATGATAATATTCTCCATATCCACTTGATTTATCTCCATTCCAATCTCCTTAATATAAGTCTCCATCTGCATGAATTAATCTTCCAAATCCAAATGCTGAACCATCTAACCAAGTTCTATTTCTAAATTGAAGACAAATACCCTTCATATATAGATCCATCTTTCCAAATTTAAGTTCCTCTTCCGCATCTTTGATTATTTCTCATTTCTCCAGTGTAAACTGATCCATTATCCATAACTACATCTAACTTATAGGTTAATTCATGTGAGTCAATTATTTATTAAATAACTATTAATATTCAATTGTTGTACCATCATTTATTCTGTGCTCAAACTATCCAAACTTTCTCATAGTTTATAATACTGTTTCATTTGTAATTTTTTGTTCTAAATCTGTCCAATATGAACTCTTTGCCAATTCAGTCATTTAAACAATAAATATTATTAATTCTTTATAAGATTAATTTAATATTATCAATATCCTATCCAATCTTCAATTTTATATTCTAATTATTTAAGATTCTAAAAATAATTAGCAACTCAATTATTAATTTATATATCTATAGATATTCTTCTAATAATAAAAACAATTGTACTTCAACTAAATTTATTAATAAATAAAATTTCTAAGCTTTTATCAAATTATAATTATAATATTGAATTAAAATATTATGTATAAATTAAATACTATGTAGGGTCGTTCCTTCTTTAATTTTCAAGCTCCCATTAATTATTTATCAAAAAAGAACTTATTTTAATCAGCTACTGAAATTAAACCCAAAAGAATGGATACATATGGTAGGTTAATTGTAGCTCAATCATTACCCAAAGAATTTTGGTTTAGAGATTATCTTAAATCTAATAGAAAATACAAAAAAGAATCACTTAAAATATATAGACATTAAAATCCTATATATTGTTAAAGAATGGAATAATTTTAGCATTTATTAGTTTATTCAAATCAAGCCTCTACTCCAAGTCCATCAAAAAAATGGAAAAAATTTAAGAACATAATTTTAACTAAAAATTCATAAGGAACAATGACCTCAGAAATTATTAAATAAAAATTTAAAGAGACATTAAATCTCTTAATTCCATAAAAATTTTAATCTCCTCCTAAAAGTGCTCGATATTCAGTTTAATCACCAACAAAAAATATCAGTGATTTAAGTATTCAAACAACAAATAATTAAATACAGAAACTTGATGGATTGGATTCAAATCGAATAAATTATATACCAAGTCTATTATCAATAGATAAATAAATTAAAGAAAATAGTATAAATTAAAGTAATACAAATAACAATTCATTTATATAACATAAAGATATCTCTTCTAATCAAGTGACTCCTAGAAATAGATTTATTAAAGATTGTTGCAGATTGTATGGCTTAGATTCGCATATGCTACCTTCAATAAATAAATTAGTTTTTTCAGATTAGATATAATTAATTGAAACAAATGAAACTAAAAATGATAAAATAGAAATAATTACAAAATCAATAGAGAAATAAAATTATAAATAAAATACTCTACTTAATTTAATAAGAAAGTAAAAAGAATAATAAATAAATCAAAAATAAAGATAACACTCTAGTTCACTAAAAAAAATAAAATGTAATGTATGTAATAATAGTGTGAGTAGAGTGATGAGTACATACTTTCCATCACTTAAAAAGGTTAGTAAACGTAATCTCTCATGATCAAATAAATTATTGATTAAATATAAATATATACTTATGGATATATATAAAGTAATATTAATAATCTATTCATTTTTATTCCTAGTTTTCTAAATTATTCTCTGATTCTTTTTAAGATTATGCTTTTTATTTTAGATAGTAAAAGTTCTCTCTCTCCTTCTTGGTATAAAATGTTCTTAAAGACACTATTTAATCTTATTACCATTTTATTTCATCATTAACATTTAACATTGGTTCCATTTTCATTTCAGCATATGGTGAATAATTTTATTCCAAATTTGATTAAGTTCTTCTGCTCTTTTATCTTTGTGTTTATGATTTGCTATTAACAGGATTGTATTATAAATTGAGTTCTTTTAACATTTAAATAGAACAATAACATAGAGGATTCTTACCTTCATCATTAAGAATATCAATATTAGCTCCATTTGATATGAATAAATTGATTAAGACTATATTATTTGTAATAAATGCAGCAAAGGTAGGAGTAAGTCCTCCTTAACAAGGCATATTGACATCAGCTCCTGCATTGATGAGAAAATTGCAAAATGTTATACTTTACAATTAAGCTGCATGATATAAAGGACAATACATATTGGTATCATAACAATTAACATCTTGAGGTTCAAATTAAAAACCTGAATATTCTGCCCAATTAGTATTACCTACTTTTAAGGCTAAAAAGAGTTTTCTTTATTTTAATTTCAATTAAATCATTGAATGAGGTACTTTGACTTTAGAATAATCCATTTAGACTCCTTTTTATAATAATTATTTGGAATTGCCAGCACTTTAAGCAATAGCTTATTTAAGACTTTTATAACATTCCTCTATATCAAGAGAATTATAATTTTTAGATTTCATTCTACTAAGAATTCGAAAGAATTTAGGATCTTTTTCTTTCTCTTAATATTCTTTTTATCTTTTTTTTTCTCTTTCTCTAATATATCTCTTTCTGGAGACATATGCTTTTAATGCTCTCTTAATTTTATTAATAGCAATTAATTCAATTTCAGGAGTAATCCAATCTGATTTATTTTCACCTCCTTCAATAAATTATAATTATGGACTAGCATATTTTCTAGGTTTTTTTGGTCCTCCAGTATAGAAATTAAGAAAATTAGATTAATTTTTCTCATATTCTTTTTTTTAGACTTTCAATTTATATTCATTAAAGACTTTAGCAGGTGTTGGAAAATACTCCTATTATTGTTAGGGAATTAAACGTAATTTGGATGAAGGATGAGTTTTTCTGATAACATTCATTAATATTAAAGATTCTTCTTTGGATGGAAAGATTGGTTTATGATTTTCACTTTTAACTCCTAATTTTTAATCTCTTCTTTCATTTTTCTAAGAAAATAATAATAAATTAATATATACTTTTTTTTTAATAACATTCATCATAATTTCTTTAAATTTCCATACATATGGATTAGCAATAGGATTTCCTTATTTATATTCTTAATAATATAAATTATATTTTTCTGAATCTTATTTCATAGTAGTTTTAGTTTTATCTTTCATTTCTCTTAAAATATTACACATCTTAATTTATAATTTTTTAATAGAATTTTATTTTTCTTATCTTTCTAATATATTTTTGGCTTATCTATTTTTAATAAATTAAATTTCATTTCTTTCTTTAAGAAAATCATGTCTTGTTTAATTAACTTATTTTTATATATCAAAATGACTTTTTAATATATTTTCTGCTATTTATAATTCAATATCACTAATAATATCTTAATCTAAATGATTGATTGCACTTTAAATAAATCTAATAAATAATATTATATATATATAATATACTTTTTATCAGAACATCTATTTAATAATACACTTGTATTAATAAGATATAATAGATCATCTTCATTCATAGATTAATATGATTCAAATTTAGATTCTAATTCTTATCTTTTTTATTTATTTTATTATCCTTTGTCTAAATTACTTACAAATTCACCAATAGCTATATTATTCCAAGAACTACTATTAATTAATTTACTTAATCTTTATTTAGCAGATAATCTTTTAGCTATAAATTATTCTTCTTTACTTTAATTCCATTTTTCAATTCTAACAGATTTTGGTGAATTCAATTATACATTAGATACATTTCTTTTATTCTTAATAGTTTTTAATAAATTAGTTAATTCATCAATAATTTATCTTGTATCTGGTTTTTTATAAAGTAAATCTTAAATTGTATCACCAGTTCGATTAGATAATTAAAAAGATATTTTACTAGTATTATTTTTATCATTTATCATTTCAACTAATGCAAATTTTAATCTTTTTTTCAATTATCTGAATTTTGTATCAATTTCAATCCAATCAAATATATCCAACATTTTATCTTAACTATTTGTATTTATTGTAATATTATCACTTTTTCTTCTTTATATTTCTCTTTAATCAATTCTCTATTTCCATTATTTTATTGAATCAAGTACTTAATTTTATAACTAACTTAATATATATTATTCTCTTTCTTAAACACTCTCAAATTATTATACTCTATGTAATGATATTCTTATACATTATCTTAAATTAAATACCCTAATTCTTATGCAACTCTATTCAATTCTTTTATTACTACTTCATTTTTATCATAACATTAAGTACACAAATATTCTATTTTTTCAGCAAAAAGATTCATGCAAAATTCATCATTATAGAATTCACAATGTCTACGTTTAGGAGGATTCATTTCTAATTATGATATTGTTTATTTTCTGCTTGCATGAGCAGATGAATTTATTGCTGTACTAATTTAGCTTTATGCAAAACTGTTTGATCTCTTTAATATCTTTTATACAGGATATCTTTATAATTATCTTCTAAATTGATGCTATTATGAGAACTGTTTCATTTTCTCATCAAATTATTGAATAGTTTCTAACCCTAAGAAAATATCATCATCCATTTTATATATATATATATATTTAATATACTTAATTTAAATTCTCTATTTGAAAGAATTTATTGATATATTATAAAAATAACAATTAATTTAATAATAATAACAATAATATAAGAAACATATCTATATATTATTTGCTATATTCATAAAATTAGAATATTTATAACAATTGAAGAAATAAAAAAAAAGATTATATTTTATCCAAATTATTGATTAGAGATTTAATAAAGAATCTTATGTGTATTATTCTTAATGTTTAATTGTTTTTTATATATACAATCAGAATCTTGTTCTATAAATTATATATTTAAAATACATTAACTTAATCTTAAATTGATTAGATATTCTATATATATTAAGTTATTTGGATTATAATTTTGAATAGATTCATATAATTAATTTTCAATGAATTTGATTAATCATTATTAATTAAATATATATTTTTATTAGTTATAATTAAATAAGTAATTAGGATGAAAAAAAAATATAATTAAGTTAGATAACATTCATTCTAGATTCCAAAGATTACATCATTATAACCTTTATTTACTACTTATAATGATAATCATACTGAACCTACAACTCCAATAAAAATTGATTTAAAATCAAAATAAGAATAAATGAAGTTAGAATTAGATTAAAAAAATAAATATTTAGAATAAATTATAAGTCTCAAATAAGAACGTTATCATCATAATCGAAAAGAATTACTGTATCATAAATTATAAAATATAGAGTAATAATTACATAAATGGAATCAGACTCGTAAAAACATTGAATTGTAAACTGATTTTCCTAATTCTAGCATAAAAAAGGCAAAACAATAATATTTGTGTGAGTATTACAATTCACAACTATCCTCAAAGCCTATTTAAACTAGATAAACTTAATATAAGAATACTAGTTTTCATGATTTTCAATAAACAAAAACCTATGTCAGAAATGCTTAATCTTAACCAAGAAAACAATCCTTTTTCAATATCCAATATCAAAAGAAAATTAACGAAGTAATTATATTATGCTATCTTTTTTTAGATTGAAAAAAGAGTACATGTCATGTAAAGAAAACTCAAATTAGGTAACTTGGATTCACAAGTATCCAATTCCTTTTAAATACTTATTTAAGATTATTCCTAATGATTATCCTACATTAACTTATATTTCATAAATATTTATTTTTAAATAAAACTGCAAATCCTTCTTACCCAAAACTATGATTTCAGCTCACCTTCATGTATACTTTATTAATAATAAACATCATTAGGTCGGATAATCATAACCCCATACATCAGAAGCTCCAGTCTTATAATTCTTGGGTAAATCTAAGAAGCGTAAACGTCGTTCACTTGACACCAACGATTGGATTTCTTTACACGACCACAAAATTAAAGGCAATTCCCATACCTAATACCTCATTAGACTTAAAGTCGACAATGTTGTATGGTCTTTCTGGACTAGATATAGTATGTTATCTGAGCTCCATTAAACCCTTGATGAAGTGATCAAGTCTCAATTACCCACTTTCCCAGAAAAAAGACTCTTTGGTAATCTTAATCCCAATTTCATTTAAACCAGAAAATCATAACTTGATATCTATCTTTAGGTTCTTAACCAATCTCTTATATATTTAGGCCCTCTTTAAAGATCCTTATGTACGTGATTCCAAAGTATTTTAAGACTTCATTACGAATTCCAAATAAAAAGCCTTCAAAAAAGCTGACCTTGATTCCCTTCATCGATTTAAATTGGATGTTTGAAATATATATAAAATTAGAGTATTAATGTTTTTATTGCTTCTCTTAGCATTTGTCCATCCAATACCAATTTCAGATCAAATTTAACCTACCTTCCTCAATAATCTTGACATATAAGAAGCCAGTAAACCTATTTAAACCAAGTAAGTATTTTTATTAGAAATTGCGGATTTTTTTTAAGGAACACCTTTCTATAATTTTCTAGGTTATTTTACATTTCTTATTTATTTAGACTTAGAAAATAAGGACAATTAAACCAAAAGAATAGTAATTGCCACTGTTTTGTCAATTTTTCTGATAGTCGTTTTGTGCGTGATTATCTAATTCATATTGGATATAGCCAAACAATCCAACATTTAATTAAGTATTGAAAAGAAGTCAAACTTGTCTGATTGATGAGTTTTAAAACCATAAATCATGGCTTAGTTTTAATTATAATTATCTTAAAATAAACCTCTTATTATAATTTTTGTATATAATTTGAATTTAAATTATTGATAAGTGCATTTAATAAAAAATACAATACACAACTCTTATCATAATAAATCTTATTAATATTTCTATTTCAAATAGACAAACTGGTAAGAGATGATTTTCAATATAAAATATTTTATAAATTATATATTGAAAAAGGATAATTGAACAACATAAATTTATATGATGTAGTTTTTTTTAATTATTGTAATGTATATTCATTCAAGTAAGTATTACTTGATAAATCTCGCATTCCACTATATTTGGAGTTGTTTAACCAAATAAATGAGTGTTTTTATTAGTAATCTAATATTAATCACATTAATATGAATTTCCCAAATTAGAAGAACCATTCTGAAAATCTGCTGCAATATATATATCACCACTCCCAAAATAAGGTACATATGATTAATGACAATAAATAGCATTCTATTTGTTTGCATCTTTTAAAGGATATATTTAATCATGAGTCTAAGAAAATAAAAATGATGACATTGTATTATCTTAAACATAATTATTCAAATTTTAATTCCATTAACAAGGAGAAAACCCACCAAAAATATATCCACTTTTAGATTTGAATATCATTAATAAATTCGATTTCCCATTTACTTTATTCCAAAAAGCTTATCCATTTAATCCATCTCTAGTTTCCAAATATATTTATGAAAAGTTTGTTACTTTTTTATTCAATTTAGATTAAATGATATTAATTATCTTTTATGATTATTAATTAGAAACGAACTTTGAATCATATATTATAGTAAATTATCCAAAGTTTATTAAACTAATTTATTTTGCAAATTCTATCTACTTAGCATTTAATTATTTAAACTATTCTTCTAATTTTCTATATTAAGGATATTATTCTTCTTTTGGATCTCTTGGTTCTCTTTTTATTCGATCTAACATCTCAATCAATTTTTAATTCAATTCTTAACAATTATTTTTTGTAAGATCTTTTAAATATTCATGTAGAATTTGTTCATTTTATTCAATAGCTTCTTAATTAATTTAATCACCTAATTATATAAAATTGATTGCAAATTATGTAAATTTATCAAATTGGATAATCTAATTTTGTTATAATAATTTACTTTTTATAATTCTTCTCTAATTTTCTATTTCTTATTTAAAATACTTTCTACATGGCATTTTAATTCTTAATAAACTCCCTTAAGGATTTCCTATATATCAGTTATTTTAGTTTCAAAATCCTTGAGAATACTTTTCATGGCTTATTCATTACATTTATCTAATTTAATTAAATACTCTTTTAGAGGTGATGAAATATTCAATTTAGATATAAAAAATTCAGGTGACCTTAAAGCCTTATTTAGTATATTAAGAGATTATACATTTTTAATATGAATTAATTCTTAATCTGAATTTAATGCTTTTAAATCCACACAACATTCATCACAAACAAATTCTGTGTTTTATTTTCCTATATTGATGAAAAGTATAAAGGATCCTTCATGTTTAAAACAGGGAATTGATTTTATTTTAGATTCTGTTTGCATAAAAATATTTATTAATAATTGAATTATTTTGATTTTAACAAATATATAATATTTTTGAAGATATTTTGAAATTATTTTATAACTTAATAATTTACTATATTATTCATGCATATGTTAACATTATTATCTCGCATTATTCTATATTTGGAGTGAGTTAACCAAATAAATGTGTACTATTAGTAAATTAATATCCATCCCATTAATAATGGTATCCTAAATTAGAATAACCAGATTAAAAATCTTAACCAATTTGTAAATCATGACCATTACCAAAAGTAGGTCCAAATGATTGATGACAATAAATAGCATACTATTTATTTACTTCTTTCAATGAATATATTTAATCATGAGTCTAAGAAAATAAAAATGATGACATTGTATTATCTTCAGTAAAAGCTCCACCAATTTAAATCCATTAACAAGGAGAAAACCCACCAAAAATATATCCACTTTTAGATTTGAATATCATTAATAAATTAGATGTCTTATTAATACATTTCCAAAATGCCTCACTATTTAATCCATGTTTTTATCCAGAATATATCAAATATTGGTTTTTAATTTTTTTATTCATTTTTTTTTCAATTTAGCTTAGTATAAAGTTAAAATAATCATTTCTTAATATAGTATTTGTTCCACTTTCCCATTTAATATTTACAAATTAATAAACACATTTTAATTCTTTTAATAATTCATCATGATTTTTTGAATAGTTTGCCAATTCTAATTCTTTACTTTTTAATGTAGATGTTGTTTCCTCTAAACTCTTTTTTGTTTTATCAATAGTTTCACTCAATGAATTTGTTTTCTTTTCATAAACTTCAACAGATTATTACAATTATTAATTTTTATTTTCAAATTCTTTCAATTTTATTTATGAATTTTCTTTTTCTAAAGATTCCTACGTTAATTTGTCTTAAAGTTCTTTTTATTTTTATTTCAATTAATTTAATTCATCATTTAATTAACTTGATTGTACTTACAATTATTCAATTTATTTACTATCTTCCTATAACTTTGATTTTTATTACTAGGTTTCTTCTTATAATACTTTCAATTATTTTTCATTTTCTTCAGCCATGATATATGTTTTCATTTTAGTTGAATTAAACTAAAATTTTTTATATTCTTCTTAAAATCTTTATGACTAAGAATCTACTTAATTTCTTTCATCTACCTATTTTTGTAAATTCAAATAAAATTCAAAGGATTTATCAATTATATTGATATATTCTTATAATATTTAGAAGTATTTAATGAAAGAATTATCATCTAATTTAGTATTACTTTGATTTTTTTAAATAAAATCCCCTATATTTAATAATTCTAATTGATTATTATTTAGAGTATTCATTAAATTATGAATTGTTAAAATATCATATTGCATAAGACTTTCTAAACCTTTCTCTAATTCTTAATAAACTTTTGAGTCATCTTAATCTTGTTTTTCTAATTTCTATTTTAGATTTGCATGCTAATCTTCTTAACACAAAATATCTACAACATTTTAGATTTCTTGTTATTCTAAATCCTAAATATTGAAACTTATATTTTCATAATTATTATTCTATTTCAAGGAATCATCTTATAAAAATTATGAATCAAGAGATTAAATAATCTCAGAGATTACTTAATTGTATTTCTATTTCAAATCTAAAAGCATTTGATTGGCTTTGCAAAATCTTTCTTTTCTTTTAGTATTGTAATCTTTATTGATATCGCATTATTCATCTGTATATTTACGTAATCTCTCAACTACTTCTATTAATCCAACATATTTATTAGGACATTCTTATACACATTATACACATGCAAATCTATTTTATGATTCATTTGGATTTAAATCAATCATAATTATCTCTTTTTTATGTTTATTACAAATCTACTTTAAACTTGGAGTTTTCTATATAATTTTATATAATTACAATCGCCTCCATCTTTATTGGCTCTAATTTAATCTAAAATGATTATTCTATTTTTTTAATCAATTAAATTATTTATTAGTATTCTTATGTAGCTGGTATTTCCTGAAGCTACTTTTTAATTAAGAATAATAAATCTTTAATTATGTCTGACTCCTATTTTTATGTTTATTTTTATTTTTCATCATTAACCCCAGAAGTACTTAATAGTGTTTAAATATTTTCATCCAAATTTGTAGAGTCGATCTATGAATCTCTTTATTCTATTTCTTTCTAACTTTCAGATATTTTTTGACCAAGATTATTTTACAATTCAGCAATTGCTCCCTTCATAATTTAATCAAGCTTTGAAAAAGATTATTAGAGTTCATTCATATAATTAACTCTTTCTTGAGTTTTCTCCTTAATTTCCTTATCGCATTTATTCCTCTTCTCTTTAATCAATTCTATAAGCTTATCATACAATAAAATATTTTTATTTCCAATCATTTATATAAGACAGTTTACACATAAAGATTTAATAACTTATTATTCTGATTATGAATATTCGACAGCAATTATTTCAAAATTTTTATGTTCTTAACAAGTTTTTTTCTCTAATTCTTGTTCAGACATAAAGATTTTTTATATTATTAAAATAATTATTAAGTCAGTTTAAATTTATGTCTATATAGTCTTTAATTAATTCAAATTATAAATTATCATCTACTGTTTAGAATCAATTTTGATCCATTAAATTCTTACTTTAAATAATTAAGTAATATTATTTATAAAGATTTTATTAAAATTATTTCTAAACTAAAAGGAAAAAATTATAAAAAAAAATAAGTTTACATTCATAATTTATATATTTTAATCAAAAATATATGTACAATATTTAATATTATTAGAATTATTATAGAATTTTATTTTTTAATTATTTTTAAATAAATAATAAGTATCCTTTTAGATTAATTCTAAAATATATTGTTCCTAATGTCACATAAAATAATTATATTGGTCTAAATTAATAATTTATTTAATTATTAATACTCAAATTAAAAGTTTTGAGGCAATAAAGATATAACTATAATATAAATATCCTATATAATTTATTAATAAAGAACATTTTAATATTTAAATGTGTATTATGATTATTATATTATTTAAAAATATTTATCATTTTAAAATAAGTTCAAATATTTCGCATTCTTCTAAATTTGGTGTTGCCTATCCAAACAAATGGATGGTTGCATCTGGAATTTAGTATTAGTCACATTAATAAGTTGTCCCTAAGCTAGAAGATCCACTTTAAAAATCTGTACCTATATAAAGATCATGTCCTCCAAAAGTAGGACCATAAGAGGAGTAACTATAAATAGCATTAGCTTTATTAGCTTCTTTCAAAGGATAAAATTAATTGTGAGTCTATGTAAATAAAAATGATGATAATGTATCATCTTGCACATAATCATCTTTATTTTATATCCACTAACAAGGAGAAAAAGCACCAAATATATTGCCACTCTTAGATTTAAATAAAATAAGTAAATTAGATTTTCCATTAATTTTATTCCAAAAACCAGTGTAATTCATTCCATCTCTTGTTGCTTAATAAATAAGTAAAGAACATCTAATGGACTTTTTTGTTTTATCCTCAATTTATTTGCAAACTTCAGTGCAAAATTAGGCGCTGAGAAGCTTAGGCTATTCTCTAAGGTTTTCTTTATATTAGTTGTGCTCTTATTATAATTAAGTGTATTTTTATTAAGCAGTTTAAATTTCTTGATCCTTTATTGTTAATTTTCCCTCGGCATCTTGCTAATTTTTAGTATTTTCTTATTTCAATAATTCTATTTATTAATTTAATGTTTCAATCTACTTAATTGATTCTTCCTTTTTAGATTCTTCATCTTTATATTTTGTATTTTCTTATTTCAATAATTCTAATTACTAATTTAATGTTTCAATCTATTTATTTTACTCATCCACTTAAGTTTAAATTAATTATTATGATTATTTTTTTTAATTTAATTCATCTGACAATGCCACTAACTATTTATAGTTTTCTTCAGCAGTTATAAATACTTTCATTTTACTAGAATTCTTTTAGAATGCTTGATATTATTATTAGATTATTTATGATTGAGTTTCTTCTTCTGAATTCAATATTTAAGATAATTTTCCTTTATTTTATAAATCATCCATGTCTGATTGTAACATCCTATAAAAATTGAATGCATCATCAAGTATAGAAATATATTCATCTTATAACTCAAATTTCTTAATGAATAAATTGATATCTATAGTTTGACCTTTTTCATCTATATCTATAATTTAATCTACTTTTTATTCATTTAATTAATTTTAATTCTATATTCTCAATAAATTATGTTTTGTTAATAAATCATATTTCATAAGATTCTCCAAGTTTTATTTTAGATTCTAATAAAATATTGAATCAATTTAATCTTAATTTTCTTATTCTTTTCTTAATTTTAGATGTTTATCTTTCAAACTTAAAATTTCAACTACCTTTTAAATTTCTTGTTCATGTAATTCATATATTTCTTCTACTATAGTTTAATTAGTTTAAGACATATCTTTATTCATAATTCGCTTTCTTTCTAATTATTAAATAATATCAGACAAAGTTTGATTATAAATGTCTTTTAATTATTAAATGGATTTGATAGCAGAAGTAAATTTAGCAAATCTATTATTATTATAATTAGTTATCATTTAGTTTTATTATCTTTTGAATTCTTTCCATTTTATATTTGCATCTTCTATTGTAATATATTCTCTTCTTGGATATTACTGAATACATCTTGAGCATGCTAATCCACTTTGATCAGATTCATTTTCATTAAGATAAATCATTATGATTTCTAAGCCATGATCATTATTATTACATGTTTAACCTAGGCTTAGAGTTTTCTAATTAATTTAATTTAATAAATACATGTTTATCTATTCCTTTTCTAGAAACAGTCTGTTCCATTTGATATGAAGTTTAAATTTTTTTTATGGATTCAAATATTTAAGAGAATTATTACGCATTTGACATCCAAGAAAGTTAACTTTAAATACTATCCATTAATGATTTGAAGCTTTCTATATCTATTTATTGTTTTGGAGTATCATAAACAAAGTTTCCTTTATAATAATTAGATAAGGTTTCAAAATCTTAATCTAAATTTAAATCTTCTATAGTTTTTTCCTTGCATTCAATTTCCTATTAATTTGAATTGATATTTTCATCAAAGTTATTTTACAATTTCCCAAATACATCTGAAAAAAGTTTATTAATTTCAGAAACAGATGATTAAAGATTCTTAATATTTTCTAATTGTTGTTGGGTATCTGTCATGACTTATAGTTTACATTTGTTTTTCATCTCCTAAATCATTTCAAGACCTTCTTTCAATAATACTATATAATTTCCATCAACTCTCTCAATCAAACATTTTACGCATAAGAATTTTTCCTTTTTTTCTTTAGGAGCTTTGAGATCAACAGCAAGTATTTCTAGCTAATGAAGTGTACAATTCTTGGCTTCTAACTCTATGGATGACATTCTATTTTAATTATAGTTAAACTTTGAAATGAATATGATGCTTTTAATATTTATATGATAGAATTCAATTTTGTATTTGAATTCTATTAATTGTTGTGAAATTTTTATTTTTATATAGAACATATTATAATACTTCGTTTTTTTCTATATAATATAATTGAAACATTTAATTAATTACTCATGTAGAGAAAAAGTTCAGTATTGCAAATGGGATGCAGGTCCTAGTAGTATTATTGGTTTGAAATATATATTTTTGATTTAATCAATTTTAGGAGTAGCCTTAGTTTCAGATAATGAGATTTATTCTAATTTATGATTCTTAATATCAATTTTATAAGGTCTAAATGATGATGAATTAGAAACTATAAGAATATTTAATGAGAATAATACTAAAATTTTCATAGAATGCAGTGGGTTACTCATCCTTTTCAGAGTCTTCCCAAATTGATTATATTTTTTTTATTTATTTGATCTCTTTCATTTACTTAAAGGTTATTTGATTTTCCTTTGATAATTTTTGTTTTATTGAATATTGCTGTTATGAAATTAAATTAAACTAATATAATTATAAAATTTAAGTACATTTTAGAGCAATTATTTTTTAATTTAAATAATGAGTTTCTTTAGTTGTTTAATAACTAGGTTGATAGTAATAAAAGGATAATTTCTAATAATGGTTGGTTTTCTCATAATCAGAAATTAGTAAGTAGTGTAAATAATTTTGGGTCCATTTTATGCTTTGATTACTTAGTCAAATGTAATTCGATTTAATAATGTTTTTAACTAAAATTTGAATAAATATGATTACTTATTCTATCAATTAATCTTCATTCTTTTGCATAATAAGCTAAGATAAAATTCTTTAGAATTCAATATTGTAGGAATGATCATTAGTATTTAAACATTATTTGTTTGATTTCATTTAGTCTTTGATAAATTGATATCTTTTTATACAGAAAAGTGTTACTTATTATTGTTATTGGTATATACAATATATTTTTTAGGTTTTTTATTAGTAAAAATAGTAGTAATCTAAATAATTTATAAATTTGTTATACAATTCCATCTTCCAATAGTTATTGTGTTCTGGTTTATTTAAATAGTATTTAATCACTAATTTTGAATTCAGGTTCCATTTAGTTGATTTTGAATTTGTATGGTAAAATAATTAATAATATATTAACAACAATATTAGTAAAAATTTAGTAATACTATTGAAAAAAAAGTAAGAGTTGATTTAATAACAAAATATAAAAAAAATAAAATAATCAGATCAAAGAATTAAATTAGTTTATTTTTTGGAGTGTTACTTTCTTAAAACAATAATTCCGAGGGGATTTTGATCTTTTGGTAATTATTAAGGTATTTAAATGAAATTAATTTTTTCGAATAAATTTCTAAGTGGTTGAATAATATCATCTTGAATACTAAAATCATTATGTGTCTATTTATATATATGTAAGATAATAAATACCATATTTTCAGATAGATGATATTATTTAATTTTGGATTTAGTTTAGGAGATCAATCTTTTAGAGTGATCACAAGTGATAAATTAATCTTTTTATCCATGTATAACTAACATGGGACATGTGACATTTGAAATAATTTTTAAATTATCAAATTTTTGATCTATCAATTTAGCCAATACAGATCCTAAATAGTATATTTATAATACCAATAAAACTTTGAGCAACTTCTTTAAGACTAGTATAACCACTAATAGTAATTAGAGCAGCAGGATTAAATTATGAAGCTAATAGACAAGCAGGACCACAACCCATACTTCTACCCATAAGAATAATGTTTTCTTTCTTTATTCTTCTTTTGTTTATGAAATATTAATAGACAGCTATTGCATCTTCAGAAATGATATCTGCGGAAGCCTAGTTTGTAAATAAATGATACTGATTAATTTTGGTAGATTCCATAACTAGGATATTCGACTAATATTAGATTTACATTAAATGTAGAAATGATAGGATATAAATATTCATAACAATTATATCTAGATTAATGACTAATTTTTACATGTCTTCACTGTTAGAATGGAAAAACATTATGTATTTATTATTGAGGTCATCTAGGAAGTTTTCATGTTTAACTAACAGAACTGGAACTTAACGATTTTATGGTACACCTGAGACTTTATTTAGAAGTGATTACTGCATCTAAAACACTACTCTGAGTTGCCTGATTAAATCTGGAGTAGTTCAACATTTGGTAGTAGTGATATGGATACTTTGGTGTATGTTGGTTTTGAGCTTGGAAAGAAGAGCTTGTTGAGTTGCATCACTGTTTAAATTTGCTTAACAAATAATTAAATAATTATTAAATTATGTATTCTAAATTTATACAACAATCACAATCATAAAAAATAAGTGAACCTGCTACAAGAATTTTCCGTTTTGAAAAGTAATCATCTCTAAGATAAAAATTAAAATCAAATGAAACTGACAATGATGCAATATCAAGAAGAGATAGAGCAATCAAATCAGTCGTATTTATTATTAATATATTAGACAATTATATAAGAGATAATAGTTTCTTCTACTAATTCTAACAATCCTAAAAAATTACTCAAATTGATAAGTTAATTTATGTCATAAGAACATAATATGCAATAAATTACTGAATAATTAGATAAACAATAGATTGTGACATTGTTCCTTAACATTCATCTTTTTCAAATACCATAACTAGTTCACTTTCTCCATCTACTTTATGATTGTCTCTTATAATGGGATACATAATATTAGGATGTTTTTAAATATATATTGTTACTTAACTATGAATTATACTAAGGTTAAGCTGGATAATTAACTAGAATACTTGAAATCTTGTCTGAAATGTAAATGCTTAATCCTGATTTCAGTGCTTTTGAAAATGAGTTCTAATTTGATATTGAAGAAGTAAGAAAATTCTTAATTCAATCTAGATTTCCAATTCATTTAATCGTGTTTAATTAAGAATATTATTCTTATCTAGTTCTATTGATATATTACATTCATTGAAAGGTTCTGTTGCTCTATTTGAATAATTAGAAACCTTTGTATTTTCATCTATTAAAAAAAATGAAATCCCTAATTTCAATGATTTATAAACACTTGTTATAGCCTATATATTATTAAGTGAATAATTAGATATCTCAAATAAATTAGGTTATGCTAAATAAGCACTTGAAATTATAGGCAAAAATCCTGATTATTCAATATTTGAATTGAAAAAGAGATTCATAATGAATGCAACCAAATTATCACAAAAATATCTAGGATAATAAATATATGATTAATTATTAAGTATAAATAGATCATTTAGTCCTGGATTTACTAGATAATCAATTACTCATCTAAACTAAAAAGATAATTAATTTTTTAAATTCTTAGTATCATAATTAAAAATAACATATGCAATTGATAATGATTCAAATTTTTAAATTGATTCAAAGTGTAATAGTTTATTAACTGAACCTATGATCAATTAATTATTAGATAGGTATATTATTTAAATAAACAATAGAGTAATTCCATAATCAATTAAAAAAGAAAAAGTAAATTCAACATTTACTGAACAAAGTCAATAAGATAAAAAACCAATTATAATAAAGAAATAATTCTCAATAAAATAATTAAAACAAGAAAACATCTCATCCTCTTAAGTTTAGGTACAAAATTAAGTTTCAACTCCTTCTTAAAAAAATCAAGCATAATAATCCACATCTTAATATAAATAAAATACTTCAAACAAATTAGACTCTAATGAATTTGAAATTTTATAAAATAAATTAGTTCATTAATAATAAGAATTATAAGAATTAAAGTAATTATATGCTAATTAAATGTTGTAAAAGAAGTCAGATCAAAGTGTACAACAAAATTAATAAAATGAATAATTAAAAAAGAAAATAGAGTCATTAGAAGGTAATCTTGTTTAATTAAAGAATGAGAATAATATTTATAAAAAAGAAAAAGATCAAAAATAAAATGAAGTTCATGAATTGAGATCATTTATTCAAGATTTATAAGATAAATAATAAAAATTAGAAAAACTAATATAATAATAATAATAATAACAATAAATGTAATCATAATAATAATAAACTCTTCTCTAATAATAATTAGCTAATCCAGCACTTTAATATTTAAAAACTCAATAAAGTAGTTATTCAACAAAAGCTAATACTAATATGAATATATAAATACCAATTAGTAATTCTGAAACTAAAAATAGATAACTAATAAGAGGTCAAAGTTAATTGAGTCATTCACCTGGTGAAGAATTCAAAAATGAAATGGATGATACTAGTCCTAGAATTATAAGATAAAATTAAACTTATTTACTTCAATTATTAGATCTTCTTGATATGAATACAGGATTCACTAAAATATATAATAAATTACATTCTACAAATGATAATAATCCTTGGGAAAGTGAAGTAACAGTAATTCATAACTTTAAAGTTGATGCCATGATAACAGATTCTAATGAAGGAAAAGTTTTGATGTTAAAAGCATTTAATTCATAAAACAATTAAATTTGTTCAGAATAAATACCATTTGATCTCCTTAAAAGTTTACTTGGTTATGTAGATTTTCAAGACTCTTTGCCAACTAATTTACCAAATATTAGCACTACTCATCAATTCTTTAAATTCTTAATTCTACCATACACTGCTGTTGTTCAAGATGATAATACTCAATAATATAAAATATAACTTTGGCCTAAACCTTATGGAATATTAAATGGATTGAATTTAAAATTAGATTTCCTTGATTTCAATTGTCTTGTTTATGTACATCATTTAGAAACTGATTAATTTAGAATAATAATTTTCGATCCTGCAAATTATGATTGTTTTAAGCTAGATTTAGAATTAGATTATTCTACTATGGATATATTCTTCCAAGATGCTAAATCTATTAAAGATGAATTTAATTATTATTGTAAAAGTAAATTACTAAGACTAACTGAAAAATCTCCTAAATTTGGAGAAGATGATGTTGCTGAAGCTTTAGTTGAAAGACATTTCTCTAAAGAAAAAGTCAAAGCAGTTATTGCAGAAGCTAAACCAACTTAATCCTTCTCTTAAGAATAAATTACATTGAAATCACCTCTAGAATTTCTTAAATATATTAAATTTATTGTATAAGCTTTTGAATAATAACTCAAAGCTTTATAAATTACTTTTGCTAATAGTATATTGGGAATGAAGTACTTCAGATGTAAAACATGGAATGCAGGCACCAAAAGTTAAATATAAATCATTAAAGAATAAATAGATTAATAATAATTATCTATTCATCTAGTAAATTGTTTTGAATCATTTGGACCTAATAAAACTAAACTTAAAGTTAAAGGTAATACTCTTATTCATTTTTCTGCTATTCAAAGAGAATTTGCTGTATCTTATGATAAATTATAGAATGAAGAGAGAGCAACCATTTTATAAACTATATTATACTCCTATAACCTTAATATATTTGAAAAATAATATGAATAAGATGAGTAATAATTTGATAAAAATCCTATTATTTAAAGTATTTATGATTGTGGATCATATAAAAAGTATATTATATTTAAATATTATAAGAGTAATTGCTTTTGATAATGGTAAAATAAGTTAAGTTACAATCTAAGTTATTGGATCCAATAGGAGAATGTGTGGAATCAAATTCTCAGTATTTAATATTGATGAAACTATTGAGAATGGAGTATTTCTACCAGTTTCTCAAATTGAATGGGATACTAGAGCTATGGAAAAACAGAAAATTAAGGCATCAGTTTAAAATGTACCATTTGCAGAATATTTGCTTACTTAGATTCTAAAATGTCCAACCACTTCATCTGTAAACAACTTAATATTAATAATTATAGATATTATTTAAGAAAATATTAAATTCTGATTTTAAATCAAATCAAATTAATAGTAATGAAATTAAGAATAGAAAAACATTCATTGAAAGAATTGATAATATATTAACTTGGCAAGAAGTGATTGCTAATTTATGAGTATTAATGTTATATGTTATTTTTAATCATATTATTTTATCTCGTCGATTTTATTAATCTGATTTTACTATTATTATTATGTCTTTATAAAATATTCAATTTTTAAAAGATGGTATAAATTATTAATTATAAATCATACTTATAATTTGTAAATTATAAAATGTTGTAAATACCATGTTTTTAACATGATAAATCCCTCAAAAAGTTTATTCTAATAAACAAAATGGAAACTAAAATGTTATGTGATGTTTGTTTAACAGAAATTAATTAAAAAAGTAATTAAGTTAATCCAGATGATTTAATTTACTTGTATAATGTATTTATAAATATCATCCTTTAGGCATACAAGACTCCAGAAATATTACTTAAAAAAATAAATATATCTAAAGATCTCTTGAATTTCTTTATGGAATAACCTAATTATGATGAATTTCAATTAAATCATTAAATTAAAATACTTGAAAAAAGAGTTGAAGAAATAAATCATTTTCTATAAGGAATGTTATAAGAATTAAAATCTAAAGTAATATTTATTTTGGAGTTAAAATCAAAAATTAGAAATGAACTTGAGCATGTTATTTTTTAAAATATTAATAGGAATTTTAATTTAACAATTTTAAGAATATTATTGACAATTTAGAAATATCCAGAGAGTCACTAACTCAATAGATTTTAGAATAAAATGAATAACACTTACATCAATATTTTCAAAAATTAATGAGCAACGATGTTGAAAATCTAAATAAAACACTTTATTAAATATTAGAAAAAAGAAGATTAGAATTTGAAAATTAAGAATAATTCTTAAAATTGGAGGAATATTTTCATCATATTACCTATAAACATTAATAATTGATTAAATAAATTTAACCCAATTTTCCTAATGTTTTAATTAATTATAGGTCAATAATAGAACAATATAAATAAAAATTATTTGATATTATTGGACTTAGATAAGAAAAAACAATTAAAAGCAATTAATTAATATATTAAGGAACAAGAGATGGATTATAAGGTGATTAGTTTTGGTATTATATTAAAGGTAGATCTAATTTATTAATGATTTTTCTATCTAAAAGTGGTTATGTATTTGGTGCATATACTCCATGTTTATGGACTCCAACATTTACAGGAAAATATGTATAAGATGATTCCTTATCCTCATTTTTATTCTCATAAACACATGATTAAATTTATCCTATAAAATACAATCAACGAGATAAAGCAATTTATTGCAAATATGATTACGGACCATGTTTTGGTAGTGGTTGGGATATAAAAATACTATCTGATTTTTAAGAAGGATCTTCTAATCATATAGGAACTACCTATAAGTGTGATTAGTATTTAATTGATAAAAAAAAAATTCATTTATTTGGTTAATGCAAACCTTTGATAATTGAATGTGAAATTTTTTAAATTTGTTTTATATGAAATAAATATTTATTATTTAATTGAAAATATATTTAATTAAGTAATATGGACAAATTTCCAGATTGTTATAATCAATTGATGTAACATTCAACAAAATCATTTATGTCATTGTTATTTTTTCTATTTATTTTCGATAGATAATTCTATGGTTAAACTAAAATTTAATTGATTTCAAAACTAATAGTTTAATATTATTTAAATAGATTAAGAAAAAAATTAAACTTTAAGAATCACAAAAAAGGTGAATCATATTATTATTTTAATGTATATTCATTCAAGTAAGTATTACTTGATAAATCTCGCAATCTGCTATATTTGGAGTTGTTTAACCAAATAAATGAGTGTTTTTATTAGTAATCTAATATTAATCACATTAATATGAATTTCCCAAATTAGAAGAACCATTCTGAAAATCTGCTCCAATATATATATCACCACTCCCAAAATAAGGTCCATATGATTAATGACAATAAATAGCATTCTATTTGTTTGCATCTTTTAAAGGATATATTTAATCATGAGTCTAAGAAAATAAAAATGATGACATTGTATTATCTTAAACATAACTATTCAAATTTTAATTCCATTAACAAGGAGAAAACCCACCAAAAATATATCCACTTTTAGATTTGAATATCATTAATAAATTCGATTTCCCATTTACTTTATTCCAAAAAGCTTATCCATTTAATCCATCTCTAGTTCCCAAATGTATTTATGAAAAGTTTGTTACATTTTTATTCAATTTTGATTAAATGATATTAATTATTTTTTATGATTATTAAAAAGAAACTAACTTTGAATCATATATTTTAGTAAATTATCCAAAGTGTATTAAATTAATTTATTTTGCAAATTCTATCTACTTAGCATTTAATTATTTAAATTATTCTTCTAAATTTCTATATTAAGGATATTATTCTTCTTTTGGATCTCTTGGTTCTCTTTTTATTCGATCTAACATCTCAATCAATTTTTAATTCAATTCTTAACAATTATTTTTTGTAAGATCTTTTAAATATTCATGTAGAATTTGTTCATTTTATTCAATAGCTTCTTAATTAATCGAATCTCCTAATTATTCGAGATTACCTTCAATTTATTTAAATTAATCAAATTTGATAATCTATTATTGATAAAATAATTACTTTTTTTAATTCTTCACTAATTTTCTATTTCATTTCTAGAACCCCTTTTGCATGCTTTTCTAATTCTTTATAAATTGCTTATAGGGCATTTTAAATGTTGGAAAACTAAGTCTAGAAATCATTTAGAATAATATTCATGTTTCTTTCAAGATAAATATCTAATTCTCCAAAAAATTATGAGAGGAAAGGGAACAAATCCAATTTTGAAAGTAGAAATTCTGGTGATCTTAGTGCCTATTATAATATATTGAGTAATTATTACATTCTTGATATGAATTAACTTCAATAATTCTACTTTAATTTTTTGTTTTTCCAAATCCATACAACACTCCTCACAAACATACTCAGTTTTATCTTTATCTTGTTTTATAAATAACAAATATGATCCATCATGTTTCAAACAAGGAATTTATTTCATATTCTATTAAAAAAATTAAATAATTTAAGTAAAGTAATATATTTTTTATCATAATATTAAAAAAATCAATGTTATTTTTTTAAGTGTTATTAAATCATATGTTATTTAACTAGTAAGTTGTGTTATAAATTTGATATTTTATCATCTGTAGTTTAACTACCATTAGCTTTATTGAATCTATCAGTATATTATTTCCTTTTGTCTTCATAAACAAATTTATTATTATTAGATTTAGGTTATGGGGATTATGAAATTTGTGTTTAAAGAAATGAACTAATTTATCCTGATGGAAATACAGAATGAGTTTCTTACATTCTAGTTCCATCACTAGGTGTTCTAATATGTTAATATGTAATCATCATATTAGATCCCAATTAAGGACTAAATTATAATAAATCATCTTAAGGAGTTAAATTTTATTTTAAAGTTCTTTCTTCCAAATATTATGCTAGTTTTTCTCTTAAGGCTGTTGAATCTTCTTTGACTAATCTAGGTTATGTATAGATGTGTTAATGACTCTATTATAAGACAAGTTTCATTTCTAACATGTCTCTAAACAAATGATCAACTTTTGGATGTTTTTTAAAATACTCAAGAGGTGGTTAAGTTACTCTGTATTTATCTAATAGTCTTTAACCTTTACCATTATCTCTGCTTTCTTTCATTTGAGTTAATGTTGTTCTTGGTTCATCCAAGTTTTTTAATACATTTGATACTTTAACTTAATTAAAGTTATGTGATATAATTTAATGTGTAACTAATTTTGCTCTTGGAGTAGCTTTATTGCTGAGATTTAAAAGTGAATTTATAGATGGTGATAATTAATTTAAATTAAATTTAATTGAGTTTGGAAATCTACCACCTCTATCTGATCCATTTTCTATTTTATTTAATTATTACTGTTGCTGTTCCATTATAATAGGCTCACTTTATTATTTCTTCTATTTTTTTCTAAATCTTAATTCTTTTTAAAATTAAGTGGCACCTTAAACTTAGGTTAATTCAGGTATACTAACATTTGGGAATAAGTTAGTTTAAGTTTATTGCATCTACTATTTTTTAAGATTCTTTTTTTAGAATGAATTGAGTCTATAATCCAAATATCTGTTATTAAGATAAATATCAACTTATTATTGAACAAATTCATCTGATACATAGAATCCATTAATATAATATAATAGAACATGATATGAGTTGAAGAGGAATCTCTGATCAATTTTATTTCTCTCTTCTTATGTTTGTTATTTAAATATTGTACTATGTATCAAGAACCAGACTGCAATTAAGATGAAACTTACCATTTCATCTTTTGGTTAAGGTAATTCATTAAATATCTTCCAATATTATAAATGCAATTTATGACTTAATTGATAATTTTATTTCATAAGAACAGTAGTGTTTACTAATTCTAAACATGTCAATACGAATTCAACAAATGATTCTAATTGCAAGCATTCACAATACTTTTATCGTAAATGTGGTTTACTCATTTCTGTTTTTAGTACACATTCAGCATGTCTGTAATTCAGATAACTTTCTAAAGATTCTTTAATAATAGCTTCACTATTATCTAACATATTATTTATAATAATTTATAAGTCATATTTAATAATATCATTAACAGAAAGCATTGATGTTCGCTAGATCTCTAATATTCTAACTAGTAGTTTATCTATAACCTATCATCTATTCAAAAATACTAAAATGCCTTAATATACAATATAAAAAAATGCTTTATTATATTTTATAAATTTGAACGTTAATGAGCAATGCTGATATTCAATATATTGAAACTCATACTCAAAGAAGGCCTACAACTGCATCTCTTTAACACTCAGTTTAGAATTCACATCCAATCTCACCTCTGAAATATGATTATTTGATTACATAGCATACACAAAATTCAATATCCCCATTGAGATAATCAAATTAAAAAAATAGATTTATACAACCCTTTAGTTCCTTAGCCATAATATCAAAATAATAAATTGACAATGACTATAAAAAACTATCATTGCAATCTCCTGCTTAAGTATTTGTAAATGTAATAAATTTTCTATATTAAGTGTTTACCACCAAAGGCGCCTGAATTATATAGATCTACAAATTCACCCATTAGAATTGGATAATTTAATTCTAAGACTCAAGTTTCAGATAGAGGAATGGATGATAAATTATCTGAGTTTTCACTCTAACTCGTTAATCAGTAAACAGTTGAAGATAGATTGAAAATGTAAGATGCAAATATATTATAATTCAAAAATATTAAATTCAATAAACATAGGAATAGTGAATAAGATTTCAAAACTTAATAGAATAGGTTATCTGTTAGAGATGAAAACATCCAATAATCTATTGCTTATAGTTAACACACTACTAAACATGTTTAAAGTATTTCTGATTTGTAAAGCAAGTATGATAAACTAAAAGAGGAATATGATTTATAACATAAATTCTTATAGGAAAAAGAGAGAGCTTATAATGATCTATAACTAAAGTATTAATAATTACAAAGATTACAATAATAATATTAATCAAATAATTCAGAATCAGATTAATAAACTATTAAATAATTGAGAGAAAAATTGTTACAGAATGAAGAAAAATTATAGGAATACTCAGTTGTTCAGTTTCAAATTTAATCACTTAAGCAACAAAAAGCAGAAGCTGAAATGAAGTCAAATAGATTATTAACTGAAAATTCATAATTAAAAAATGAGCTTACACAATTATAATAATCATTATCAAATTGTAAAACCTAAGTAACTTAAGTAAAAGAACTTGAATTATTAGTGGAAGTTTGTTAAAATGATTAAGATGGATTTATCAAATCTTTAGAAAGTAAAGATGCAGAAATTCAATATCTGAAGAATAGATTACAAACTTCATAAGAACAACTAATGAAATTTAAATCAGACAATCTTAAATTATTTAATGAATTATAGAATGTATAATAAGAAATAAAGAATATGTAATCTGCAATTATTTAATCATAAGAAATAATGAAAACAAATCAACAGCTTACATTAGATATTGAAAATTTGGAATTAAGTAAGAATGTGTTATAGGAACAATAGGAAAATATTTTAGATTAATACAAAAGATTAAGTAGCATCAATGAAACACTTAAATAATAATATTAATCATCACAAAATGAGATTAATTAATTAAAAATTTTATTTGAAAATGATAAATAAAATTATGAATAATAAATTCAAGATCAGAAGTATTAAATAGAATAACAAGATAACGATTTATAGAATGCAAAAATGGAGAATGAATCAAACACTTAAAAAATTAGTGAATTAACGTAATATTATCAAGCACAATTTGCAGAATTGTAACAATCTTTGGATAATTGGTTCAGATAATAAATAGAGACAGAATTGAAGAAAGTTGTGGATCCAATTACAGAAGAGAGAGACTATTATTAAGAAAAATTTAAAGAGGCAATCTAAAAGTGTGAATCATTGGAAGATCAGAATTAAGATATTATTGCTGAATATGAATAATTAACTAGCAAACATTTAGAATTGAAGATGTTGTTCGATTAAATCAAAACTATTTCCCAAACTTAATTGAAGAATTGAATTCCAATATTACACTTATTATAATTATAAATTAAAATAGTTAAAAAATGCTCAAAAAATATCTCTCATCATATTATTCTAACGAATAAATAAGATCTAAAAAAATCAATTTGAAAACAAAATTAGATTTTTAAGGATTCACTAAAGCAAGTATTATTATTAAAGTACCTTAGAATTCATTAATTAAGATTTAACTTAAAGAACTATTGATTATAGTTCTCCAAAAATTTAACTAAATTTAGGGTCCATTGAAAATCAGCATCCCAAAATTATTAAGCCTTAAACTAAGCAAACAAATCTAAGTCTCTATGCACAATAAATATTGTCCAGTAATTAAGTAAATTCATCTTAGAGAATAATAATCAATCATCAATGGACAATACTCCTAAGAAAGGATTAGATTTACTCATAACTAAAAGAGATGAAGCATATAAATATAGATCTGTTTCATAAACTCAAAGAAATCAATTAATCAAACGATAATGTAGTGAAGAAAAATGTAAATCAAGTGAAAGAATCAAAGTTATAGATGTATTTAATTAAAGTCCTAAACATAATAAATAACCTAATTCATATTAAACATATATAACAAGTAAAGAAATATTAAAAGTTAAACTTAAATAGTAGCAATAACATTTATAAAACAAATAATCTAAAATCTCCATTCATATTGTAACATTTACACTCTATTCTAGAATAATGCATAGCAATAATAAAGTATCAAATAACCAATCTCTAGTAGACTCAATGAGTCAAGAGACATATTGTCACAAATGAGAAGAAACTCAATAAACACATAAAAGTTGAATAACAATCCAGATCGAGAAGGGGTCACTACACAAAAGAAAAAATATTTCTTTAATTCTCCACAAAACAATGATTCTATGGGGTTTGAACATGATAGTAAAAGTAACATTTAAGTGGCTCGGAATCTAAAAATTGAACTTGAAAAAGTTGAAAATGAAAACATTCTCGAATTATTGTTACTCTCAACACAAGAACTAAATAATAAATTTAAGAAGAGTCAACTCATAAGAAATGAATCTGAAGAAAAAATTCCCATAAAAATTAGAGTTAGAGCTGGTAATAAATTTCCTAAAGACTTTTTTTAATGAATCATAGCTATGCAAAGAATTATTCATATTTTATGCCTTTTATTCATTAAGGAATTTTTATAATAATCACATCAGGTTTTTTAATTATCTATAAAATATCATTATTCTTATCAACCCTATATTCCACTATATGTTATCATTTCTAAATAATAAAGTAAATATTTTATTATTGTTCCTTCAATCTACTTACTTTTTGTAATTCTATCACCAAATTCTTAAACAAATAAATAGTTTTGATTTGCTTTTTAAAATTTTGAATTACAATAACAATATTCTAATTAAGTTGATTTAGTTCAAGCTTCTGCATTTATGACTAAATTTGTATCTTTCAATATAATTTGGTTTATCAAGATTAATTTATAAATCGTCTAATTACCAAAAATGATTAGAATCAATCTTTTCAAAAAATTTAGATTTTTGAAGTATTTTACTTGAATGAGAAAATTAAATGTTATCAATGATATATTGAATGAAAGATTTAATTAATATATTATATTATTATAATTATATTATGTTTTAAATTAATTTTATATACTTGTCTGTAAAATATGTTTAAGATAAAAAAATTAATTTTCTTTATTTTTCAAATAATTAAATTATTTAAAATAATATTCATGCATAAAAATTTGTTCCAAACTTAGTCTTAATAAATAAAATTTTACTGTTTTAATAATTTGAATATAATTCTAGAAATAATAATTCTTCGAACATTCATTTAAAAATAAATCCTTAATAAACTCACCAATACAATACAAAATTGTTTTTATTTATAAAATTTAATTAATACGTTCAAAATTTTCAAAAATTCGTAATTATTTATCATGGCGACAAAAATATTCAAGAAAATGCCCTTTATGAAAAATTTGTATAATTCTATCCTCTAAACAGAAAAAAAAAAACTAACATTAGGGAGAACTAAAACAGAGTTTTGAAAACTAAGGAAAAAATAATAAGATCTATTATTAATAAATGATTAAAAGTGATAAATCTTAAATAAGACCAAAGCAGATATAATATCAATCAATCCAAAAATAATTTTAAGATAATAATAGCTCAAATGATAGCGAAGACCAATTAGAAGATTAATTATTTTTTAGAAAATGTTAAAAAGGACTACATAATTCTCAACATTCCTATAATCACTAAGGGAAAGAATCAAAGATTAATAAAATAAATAAATCATTAAAAGGAGGGAAAGAATTAAGAGAAAAAAAAAATTTAAATACCCTCCATGAATGAAACTAAAATAGAGACAAAATTAAATCTATTTAATTGGAACATCAGTTCCTTTAAAAGAATACCTTATCCATAATAAAAGCACACTCTCCACACATAATCTGCTTGAAACAGGTGATAGGCTAACAAGTAGAAAACTTATTTAGATATACATACTACTATGCACACAAAAATTCTTTAAGATCTGGAGGCATAATAATAGGAGTTCAAAAATAATTCTATTCAAAAAAAATTACTAATTATTATTATCCTCAGAATAATCAACCATATGACAATTTAATAATTAATATAGTAAATCAAATTGTAGAGTTGGTTACCATTAAAGGATACTTCCACAGTAGACAGGAATATAAAAATAATTTGCAAATCTTTAAAAAAATAATAATTTAAATCATGGAATAAATAGGATACTAAACAACTTTACTAATATGTGGAGATTTCAATTATGATACAATCCCTATTTCATTCCTCAAAGATTTAATACCAAACAAAATAACATTCTAAAGAAAAAATTTAAACAACCTTATTCGCTCATAAACTGATCACATTATAACTAATCAATAACTAAAAACAAAAGTTTAGTCTTATTGGAATGAATAATCAGATCATTGTTTAATTGAGACAAAAAGCAAATGAGAATTGACTCTGAAATAATATTTATCAATAAGCAAAAAGCAATAAAGAGTCTCAAAAATTACAGAATTTACATCCATGAATAAAAAAAGAATCAGACTGTAATAAATAAAAGATTTACATCAAAACATCTTATTATATGAATAATTCAGAAATCTATTTTCAGAAATAGAAATTCCTATTTTAAACTATTGAAGAAAACAATCATAATTAATAAAGAAAAAGAGATGACGGATTTAACAATTGTTTTTAACTGAAAAGCAAGAATTGGTTTCTGGTTCACAAGTGTTTTGTAATTGTTTCGAGCAGTTAAGCAAATATTCGAAATCTATATAATATGAACCCCTAACTATTCCTAAATTCAAACCTTTAACTTTAAATTAGGTTTAAGAATTATAAACATTGATGGCATTTGATAAAGCAATTTCATATGATTGTATAACTCATCAGATGATAAAGAATTATAATTGAAACCTTCTAAGAGATGTTTGGGGTCCTGAGATCTTTTAAGTTAACAAAAAGTTAGGATGGGTAAGATTAATTCCTTTATACAAAGTTCATCCTAAAAGACCTACTTCAGAATAATTTAGACCACTAGTAATTTTAAGTCCCCTCTTAAAATTCATAGAACTAAGATTCTATAAGCAATTAAAGGATTATATGATACATGGAATAAAAAAAGGGATATGGCACCAAAATTAATTTGTTGTTAATGAAGGATATAATAAAAAATTATACAACGAAAAATCATAATCTTTATAGATTTTTCTAGTGCATATAATACATTTGAAAAAAGATCGATTATATAATTTAATGTCGATGAATAAAATCTTACCTGAAGAAGAAATATGGTTTTTTGCAAACAATACACGACAGATCGCATATCTACATCCACACAAAATTTAAGAAAAATATCGTTACAAAAACGGGGTCCCATAAGGTTCTCCTAAGTCTCCTCTCTTGTTTAATATATACATGGATAATTTTCTGAAAAAAATATCAGAAAAGCTTCAATATTCAGTATAAACTTTAGGATACGCAGATGATCTAGTATTTATATTACGCAAAAGCCAAATAAAAGATTTTTGATAAGTGGAAAATTAGCTATCTCAAAAATGGGAACCTGCATATTAACAAAAAAAAGTCTGGAATAGTGCCAATCAAATACAATTTGAAATAATTAGAAATGAGCGTTCTTCCTATAATATATAAATATAAATATTTAGGTGTAACATGAATTATAAAGGAAACTTAAAATAACATATAAGGAATTTAAAATAAAATATCAATTATAAACTCTAGAAAATTAGACAAATAACACAAAAGATGGAATTCAAACATAGATTAAAATTGTATATTAGATACTTAGAACCTTATTTTCATATTAGAAAAAATGGATTTAATTAATAAAATATCGATTTAAATAGTTTACAAAAGAATATTTGTTCAAATTTGGATGGTGTTCTTGTACAATTCATAGTAATTAGAGTATTACTTTCAAGCAAATATTATAAGATCATTTAGGTCTAACCTACTAAATATTCTTAGAATAATTAATATCAAATGGATTAAATGATTATATCAAGGACAGGATGGAAAAAGAAATAGAACAATAAAAAATTTTTAATTATAGAGAAGAGAATTTGAATATTAATATTAGTATCATTTCCTGAAAAAGAATGTAATAATAATAATACATATTTTTAAATTATATAAATGTTTTAAAACTCTTTAGAATAACCGTTTAGGAATTGTTATTATAAAAAATGTATTCAAATAAATTAAATTATTATTAAAATAAAGTTACAACTAAATATTTTAGTAATA